TTCAATAATCACTTCAAGAATAGACAGGTAAGCATTTCCAGTGTGCGAATTGATGAAAATGAGTCAAATCATCCTCACAAAAGATATCGATAAAATTATCGATTATAGTTGGTCGCTGTCGTGAAAGAGATTCGCTTATTTAAATGGAAATGTGTGAGGTTTTAGAAATGCTTATCAGTTAACATTATTCTAATTACGTTGCAAAGAGATTTTTTGAAATTAAGCCTTCTAGAATGGCTAAAATGCATCTCCCAAACTAAAATTGTCTCTGTTTTTGTCAAATTTCTTGAGATTAATGTTCCTCTGTGATGTTCCTGAAAATCCTCTTCTGGATCAGCGGGAAGATGCATGAAGGACAAATTTTCGTCTGAAAATTTAAAAAAAATTATCTACCCGTCAAAATCCCAATTATGCCGTCTAAAGCACAAACGCCCAATATGGATAGTTCTAGGTAATAGCAGCATCAATAGAACAGGCATAAACAAGGCAACAAACAGGATATAAACAAGTTGTTTTAATGAGTTTCTTGAAGGGTTGAAACTGGGAAAACCAGAATAACAAGTTTTAAGGCTGTCTGTCCTCTATCATGCTCAACTTTATTTTCACGGGAGTGAAATTCACGCACCGTTGAATTTGATCGATAATTAAACGATTTAAACTAATCAGAAATAACTTTGATTCCAGAGCTTTTGAATCAAATGCCTGTGTTCCCGTTATAGTGAAGCTGTGGCTAGAAAAATATGGCTCTCTGTTTGGTTTCTTTGACAAATATGTCAACAGCGAACGGAAATACTTTCATTATCGTCATTCAATTCAAGTAATTAAATTTTCTTGCCATTCCCGATAGCTTTTTGTTCGCAGTTTCATTGTTGTCCACTACGGCAGCCAGGCCAGCCAAAGCAAGCATCGTATCGTAATCCGTTATCCGTTAAGGCGGGGAGACCTATTGTTCATATTAGCCAATCATTGAGGGGACAGACTGCCTTTAATAGGGTGCATGATTAGAGCGGCGTCCATGTCGCAACATTATATATAAATTATATATAACTTAAGATTTTTAAGGCTAGATTCGTCATTGATAGAAAGAGGAAAATTGATCATCTTAAAGAATTCTGTTGCATTCAATGAAAGTTAGGTCAATAAAAAAGTTATATTTCCATAGGGCCTAGACATGTATAATTAGCAAGAGGCAGCTTGATGGAAAAGGCAAACCTTTTATCAACATCTAGCCTGAAGAGCTTTACTGCAGAAGATTGGCATGGAAAGATAAACAAAGCCATGGAATGGATTATGTGCTAGTCTGAAAAAGTACTGTAACACAATTAAAAGTTAAAAGTTACAACAACCATTCAAGAGCAGATTGCAATTTTAAGCACAACCTAATTCTAGCAAATGAGCTTGAAATCAACAAAACCGGGAGTGCAGGAAAGTTAGAAAAGCACCAGAAACAGACCTGCTTATCAACAAGAAGCATAAGGAAAACAAAATGATAGGAGATGATGGTAGCAGTAGGAGATAACATGATGGGTTGAAAAGGAAAGGATAGTCTGCCTGAGCACTTGCAGATACGAAAGGACTTTGAAATACCTCTTATCCAACAAGTACTGAAAAAGATAAAACAAGGAAAGGCACTTCAAGAAAAAGCAAGTGATAGTGAGAGCAAGAATCATGTCAAATCTAAGATAAATCATAGTGTATAGTTTTTTGTGTCGATAAAGGGACAACAAAATGTCATGTTGTGATTTGTGCATATATTAAAATAGCATTAAATACATCATAATATTTAGTAAATGTTGTAAGAGAGAGCCATGCTGGAGATATACAAGCTAAGCTTTTTTCTGTTAAGTTCCTTACGACACGTGTGCTCTTCGTGTACTACCTACGATACAGAACATAATACAAATGTTGTTTACAATCCAAGGTACATCATTGCACGGGCAATAGAAGTACCTCATAGAGGAGGAAGTAGGCTTTCACATTATGTCTCATTGATGGCACACTGGACCACAAAAAATTACCAATGTATTTGAAGATTTCAATCTAGACGGAATAAACCTACGCATAATTCGAAACATGTACTGATAAAAACAGCACTTGTCAGGTTGTAAATGAAATTGGAAAGTAAGAGAAGATCAAAAGTGGGCAAGGACAGGTTGTATCACCAGATCTGCTTTCGCTTTGTTACGATATCATGGTGGGGTTCACTAAATATCGTTATCACTAATATAGAAGATGACAAAAATATCAACAAAATCACCATAGATATGACAGAGTTTTGCAATTTATAGCAACGGCAAAGAAGATCCTTCTGGCACTATTTGGTATTCTAAATGATGAAAGTGAAAGTCTTAACAGCAAGATAAAAATGTTAGAGAATTACAATTGATAAAAGAATGCTGGAACAGGTTGATAGCTTCAATTATGCTGGAACAGGTTGATAGCTTCAATTATTTGGGAGCAGTAGTTGCAGCTGATGGAAAAAGAGCACGAAATGTTTATAGTAAACTAGGCTTCCACGAAACAAATAGGTTTCAGGCATTTTCTTGTAGGATTAATTTGCGAGCAAAGTTGAACGAGATTTCCATGCAGTAATTTGACCTACAATGCCTGCCAAAAGTACTTGGAACACCCACCAATTTACGCTGCATTTGATATCTTTCATTCCTTTCATGAAAAAAATTTGCTACTTCCGCCCCCTTCCCCCTCAAACAATGTTGATGATTTAGAGAAATATCATAAAAGAAGCGCAAAAGAAAGTGCTTCCTAAAATCCTAGTCCGTTTGATAGTAAACCAACATTGTTCCGTGGGGGAGAGGGGGATGATTGGTTTTGACCTTGGAAATTGATGTCAGTGTTCCAAGACTTTTGGCAGGCATTGTACGTGAGAAATCAGGTCATATCTAGAAAGCACAAGAACAAAAACAAAAAGGCTAGGAAAACAGCTAGAATAAACTGGAACACAAGACAAAGAAAGGCAAATTGGATACTATCATTGGCTTGAAAAGTTTGTTTTGAAAAGAATCACAATGAAAATAAATTTTGGTGTTAGACAGGGTTCTCGACTCATTTCAAATTTATGTTGATGACCTTTTGTCTAAAAGACTGCAAGGCAAACATGTTAATAGCATTGAATTATTGGTATAGCGGTTTTAAGGTTCCAACGTGCAGAGAGCGCCTAACAGAATTTGACCCTTTAAAGGATCGTTCTTTAGCAGTCAATAACGAGTGAATGCCCTGGAAATGCAGAAGAGGGTAGAAAAGCCAGTCTTGCCCTAAATAATCTAGTGGAACCTCTTCCTATTCAAGTGGTTGTTCATTATTCGCGTAAGAAGAAATTGAGATATTTTGGGGCCATGGTCAAGAAATATTACCCTCGGACTTGTGGACACGTCAATATTTAGCTCACAAGGCTTTACTTGCAATTTGAGCTTTTACGAATGTAAAGAAACTATTCCAAAAGGAATTCCACACAAAATGCACCAAGTTGTCACTGAACAGTATATTTGCTAGCAAAAGCGCCCTAGCAAGAACTTGCAAAAGAGGACAATTTACGTAAAAGAACCAAACAGTCACCAACAGTACTATAGGCTGACAATACAATCCACGATAATCGCTTCGAACAGAACAAGAATCAACTTGCAACAGACCACCTCTTCTTTTCTACTAACTTTGATGTGCTCAACAACGATCACCATACAGCATTTTTGCACAAATAAAATACCAGGGGTGTGTGGAGGTAAGAGGTGTAGGGATGTTTTTGAGGAACCCACCGATACCGATAAGTTTGATCTTATCGGTGAAAGTTCAGATAAAGATTTCGATTTGTCTGTAATTGTGACTACTCACTATCGGGAGCGCCATTTGATAAAATTACTGAGAGGGTGCAAGAAGTTTTGATTTACTTAAATGATAAGAAATGCTAAGAATAAAAAGCTGAGAGATTATGTTCAAATCTGAAGAAAATTATGTTGCAAAAGCTAAAATGTATAACAATGATACAAGAAAATCGTTTTAAACTGTCAATTAGTTTTCAGCCTGTAAGTATTCATTTAAAAGAAAGCTTGCATTATTTAAAATTGGCTTTGATGGCAAAGATGGCCTTGAAAAAGCAAACATTTTATAACTTATAAAGAGATGTTGTGATTGTGAATTGACCCACTGTATTGTGGATTATGGTCTCATAATTTTTTTAATCAGGGAAATTCGTAGTGAACCCAAACAAGGCTAGCCTCGCAACGGCTCTGGGCTATATTTTCAAAAAAGCTTATGGATCCAGGCTCCAGGGTCTATCATGGGTCTAGAGGTCTAGATGTTGGAAATATTTAGATGCATTCTCCGACCATCTCCAGAATTTCTTTTTTGCAATTTTACTTTGCCGCCAACCGTGGTGGCGTCTAAATAACTTAACGCCGCCTTCATACCCTTACCCTCACTCAATAGTGACGTCCCTGATTGATAATGCAGCATAACTCTTGTAATCTTCAGCATAACTTTTGTACTTTACTGTGCACTTCCAAAACTTTTAAGAAAAGTTTGAAGATAACTAAATGAGGGGCGCCACTTTGACTCTTGGCCCCCTGTGATTTTATCCCCAGCACGCCACTTCACTGTGTCGTGCAACCGATGGGGGCGACCCCCGTCGTCGGTGACTAGTTGTTAGCCCCAGAATCACGGAACTCTCTAATTTCCATACTGCTCGACCTTATGTCGTAATTAGTTTACCCTAAACCTAACCCTAAAACTAACCCTAACCCTAACCCTTACCTTAACCCTAACCCTAACTCTAACCCTAACCCTAACCCTAACCCTAACCCTAACCCTAACCCTAACCCTAACCCTAACCCTAACCCTAACCCTAACCCTTTATTTGAAATAATTAATCATACTAATTAATTACTATTAATCATGCTTATTTATGACTATCAGGTTGAACAGTATAGAAACTAGACAATTCCCAGAATCACGTGGGTTTGAATAAATATGGCTAGTCTCGTTCGCAACCATTTCCCACTGTCAAATTTGTCTTCGCCGACGTAAAATGTGACGACCATGAGATACAAGGAAAGATTTTTTACGAAAATTGCAGCTCACATTCAGTAACATGATGAGTACTTCTGTTCTAAGAAAAATTAGGTATAAAGGAATAGTTTGCAATGACGGAAATGTGCTTATTCTTTTTGGAATTCGTAGAAAATCAACATTTCCAACCACCAGAGGACGGAGTCACAACTCAAGTTTTTGCTTAGGCCCTCGCCTTGGCTCTAGGTATACAAGCACAGGATCTCAAAATAATGGGGAAAATACAGATTTTGATGCTGCAAAAAAGTACGACATAGTCATTGCTGGTGGAGGGCTAGTTGGCACGGCCCTTGCATGCTTGTTAGGTAAAAGTACTGGTTTCTTTCAATAAATTTCCGCATGAGCATGATTAGTTTCGATGTTACGTAATTTTCATTCAAGACTGGGAAACATTGTCTCACATGCATTTACATGTAAGAATGATGGTCCAAACTCGCATCTCAGATAATCTACATTTGCATATAAAGCCACTTGTTAGAAATATAGGAAAAACCAAAATATTCAGCTTGCAGCCGTTATTGATCCTGCTCGCAGGTTGCACCTTAGACACCTCAGAAAGTTGGTAGCCTAAATGGCAGACTGAAAAAGTTCCCAGGCGCCTGTCATATATTGCCCACATGCTTCATGTTTTTTTAGCAAGGGGTATGATAACATATGAAGCTAAAAAAACTCCATAAAACTTAACACTACCAAATTGTGATGTCATCAAAATTCAATTTTAAGAATATCTTAATTTTGACCACATAATCTGGAAGAAATGGGTAAATATTTTGAAAAAGATAAGGCCAAATAATACCATGACAGAAATTGGACACTGTCGCGACACTGTAAAGTGCCAAACTTGTATTACGAATACACCCATTTTTAAAAAAAAGAAACACGTTATAAGAGACAACACCCTTTTTTTATAAGAAACATGCTATAAGAAACAAGAACTAGGCAATCAGGAAAAATTAAAAAACTTTCAGAAATCATTTGTTTTTGCTCTTTGACTCTTCAACTAGGTGAGAGATAAGAGGTTGCAATTTGTCAAAAACATAGAACCAATCATTCACCCTTTCTATACTCTCTCATTACTTTTGATCTGCATTTCTGCTTTTCTTTATGCTTTGAGGTTTTTATCCACCAATCTTTATTATGTTTTTTTTCCACTCTTCTGTGCTGTTTTCAGATTAAGAAACTCTTAAAGTGGAACTGACATGAAAAATGAAAAAACTTCATAAAATCCATTTATTTCATTTTAGTATAGAGCCGGCAGTGCTGAATGGAATGGTGTAAATTTTTCCTGCATATCTTTTCGTAAACATAATTTTTTCAAGCTCCAAAGTACTGGTTTTTGTCAGATTTTGTCGAATAAAAAAACGCGGCCAAAGAGGAATTTCAGGAATTTGTGACGTATTCTGGTGTGTTCGTGCACCGGCAAGGTCAGTTTATTGCGTACTTTTGAAGGATGGCAGACATCGGGCATAGCAAAAAACAACCTAAATACGGCAAATATTGTTGTGCTGGTGCACTAAACTATACTGGCTGTTTAGGTAACAGTCACATTCCCGAAAATCAGTCGCAGAAGTTTCCGAAAGCTGAAAAAAATAGCGTCGATATTGGGTAAAATTCATGAGAAGACACAGGACCGTTTTCAATCCATTGTCTTCATCCGACCTATGACCCAAAACACACGTTTTGTACAAGAATTATAACAATCCTAACAATCCTACCAAGTTTCGGAAAAAGCCAGCAAGACCCAAAATTCATTTTTAGTACATTAGTTCTAGCTACTCTACGAAGTTTCAATCGATTTTGAATCGTTTTACGGAAGTAAATATGAGGAAACAAAGCAGACATACGAGATAGCTGTTATAAGGCTTAAGTATGGAGCTCGAACAGGGGGCGTTTCAGATATTCTCATCAAACCAGAAAAAAACAAGGGGGAACTAAATGTATTTTATGCACATTAATTTTAGTAACTCTCAAAGTTTCAATCGGTTCGGAACATTTTTACAAGTGTACTTAGGGGTTTTCTATGTGCTGGTGTCTTCAGCAAGGGGTTTCCCTGGAGCTTGTTGTTGTACAGGGAACTCGATTATTGGAGTTTTACAATTTAAATTAGTATACACTCGAAAGAAGGTTGTTCTTTATGTTGTTTTGAGTCGATTTAGTTGTCTTGCTTTGGCTCTAGTGTTGAAGATCAGTTCACATCAGGTTGTGATGTTTCATGTCGAATGTCAATTTACGGGAACACTTAGGCCGTGTCAAAAAATGTTTCCTGACCGTAAACTATATAATAACACACCAGAATGCGTCACTCTCCCCAGACTCTTTTCAAAAAACCTCCTACGACTCAAGCCCCCCAAAAACAAACTTATGGCCCTTATTTCGAGAAAATATTTGCAGATAAAGAATCAGTGATGTTTAATGCCTAAGAAAAAACCTTTTGCAAAATTTTGATTTTTCATGTCAGTAGCATTTTAAGAAAGAATGAGTATTGGAATTTCCTGTACTGTTAAGAAACTGGAGTACTCAACGTTGACTTTTATTTCTTATAGAAAAGAAGTGTATTTCAGTTATTCTTTCTTGAATTTTTAATGCGAATCAACTTAATCTTCGATTACCCTTAAAATTGCATTGTACTGCACTTTATCTTTTTGAATAAAGATGAGTTTCATTGGATACTACTCAATGAATCTGTGTTTCTACAAAAAACGTTGCCATTTTGCAAAAATCTAGGTATCTGATTTGTCATTTTAAGGAGTAGTAATGCACATAAAACAACTGTCTTCTTAAGATAACTCATTGATACAAGTAGGCAAGGTAATATATTTTTGGCTTGTATATACTCAAATATAAAAAGATAAGCAACAAATTCTGCAAGGGCTAAATAGCCCATGCAGCGAAACCAGCAGGGTCTTTTTTAGCCGACATACTTTTTATTCCCAGAGAGGCCTGCTTTATGTGAAGAGAAAATTGTAATTTCAGTACATGAGCTGTCAAGCTGACTGCTTTCAGGAAATGCTTGATTTTTTTGTAATTTCAGTACATGAGCTGTCAAGCTGACTGCTTTCAGGAAATGCTTGATTTTTTTGTAATTTCAGTACATGAGCTGTCAAGGTGACTGCTTTCAGGAAATGCTTGATTTTTCTTTGTAATTTCAGTACATGAGCTGTCAAGCTGACTGCTTTCAGGAAATGCTTGCTTTTTGTAATTTCAATACATAAGCTGTCAAGCTGAAGTAGTAGTTAGGTCTGTAAGACAACAGAAAACTAATTATGTGGCTCCTTTTGCAATAAGCTGCAAACTACCTGTCTTGTCCTAAGAAAATTTTGATTTTATACTGGAAAGTATTTCTTTGTTTATGGGTGTATTAAGCAGATGTCATTTGCCATTTATCCGTGGAATTGAGGGCCTTAATTTTTTCAATATGCTTAGATTGTGTATGACCAGAGATGCTGGAAGCATTACAAAAAAGGATAAACAAAAGCAAATTAAGGAAACCTAGTAAATTTTGCAAGAGCCAGAGAGACAACTGCTTTGTGCACCCAACTTAGTCCAACCAATTTTCTTTGACATATGTTCCCACAGTGCAAAATTTCTAAGTATCCTACTACTTGCATGCAAGTTTTATTTTTAATTTCTGTTATCTCATGTACTTTATAGCTTATTTCTAAATGCTTAAAAGATTTTGTCTAAAATTTTTAGGCAAGGATCCTGTATTTCAAGACCACAAAATTTTGGTTTTGGAGGCAGCCCCATCAATGGAACTTCTAAAACACGCACCTGAGAGATATAGCAACAGGGTATCAGCAATCACCCCAGGAACAAAAGGACTTCTTGAGTGTGAGTTTTGTTAAGGAGTTCTATATTTAAGCATTTTGGATGGATATATGTACGCTGGACTGGTAATGATGTTTACATAGTTTTTATGATATGAAAAAGGGCACATGAGCTGTTTGCATATCTTGACTTCTTTGTGCATGGGATGGCATGGGTTATTTTGGAAAGTTTGCTTTTTGCATGCCATAGTTTTTAAGCTAGAAATTTTGGTTTCCAATACCAACTTGCCTTAATTCTCAGTTTTCCTAAGCAAGCCACACCATGCAACGCCACATCACACCACGCTAAGCAATCCTGGGGAGAATACATTCTATAGTATTTTTGTCCATCTGGGATGTGCCGTTTATCAGGGTATTGTTTTCATTTACCTCAAAATTATTTAATATTGCAAGCCATAGGTTTCACACCAGTAATTTTGGTGTCTGATTCCCACTGCCAATTTGCCTTAATTTGAGAGGCACATCACGCCTTGCCACGCTACCCTAAGCAATCTTCAAGAGAATAGATTGTATAGTATATTCGTCAGACTGGGATGTGCAGTTTGTCAGGGTATGGTTGTCACATACCTCAAATTATATCATATTGTATCATTTTCAAATAAAAATGCAACCCAGGCCTCCGGGGCTTCAGGGGACGTATGAAGCTAACAGTAGTGGAACAGTGGTCTATAAAAGGGAAATGTTTTGCCGACCATGCCCCTAAGAATACAGGAAAATGGTATGGGATGCTGTGTGATACAAACTGAACAGTCTTTTTTATTCTTGTCATGATTAGATATTATCTTCTATAACAATGTTAAATTTCATTGGTTAATAAATTTCCAGGAAGCAATTATAGGATTGTTTGGCAATCATTTAAAGATAACTTAATTAAAGAAAGTATCAATACTTTAACACTTCGGTAACCAACAAAATGGGCTTTGAATTTTGCGATTCTTATCTCCCAATGCTTTAGGAACATTTCAAACATATCTTTGAACTTTAAGGCTGCCAAATTTTGGGAAATTTTCCTCACAAATTTTTCCCTTTGCGCAAGCAATGTTTTGTAAACTTTGGACAGTTTGGGCATGTATGAAGGTGTGCACATGCAATCGCATCTTTGATATTATGAAGACTGGTTACCTGCACTTAATTGTTTTCAAACTGAAGTATTGGCTCTAGTAGGTGTAACTTTTTAAGCAGTTTTAATTAATCTTATGATGTTGATTTATTAATTCTTGGATCAAAGGTACATATGTTATTTCACCTTACTTTACTCTGGGATGGTGTCTATCTGCCATTGTTGTTCAAGACCAGTTTGAACAACATATTTCTCAATTGATATTTCTTTGCAGGCATTTAGTCTTGTTTTACAGTAGATATGTTTCAAAGAGTATATGTTTACAGATATTCCTATAGAACTGAGGGTAAGGTGACACAAATTATCTCAACTTTTTCAATATGGAAATCATTTTGTATTGTCTCTCTTCCAAAGATATTGGTGCATGGGATGAAATCAAAAGTCTCAGATACAAAAGTTTTTCAAAAATGCATGTAAGTTTTTAAAAGAATTTAAGAATATGCTTCAGAAAAAATGGTTTTATTCTTTAGTGAAAACCAAATACTAGCTATATACTTGTTTATCTGAAGATAAAAAAAATTGAATTTAAAAGTTTAATTGTTGCGGTCATTTTCTTTATGCTCTTAAAATCATAATATCCTCACTGCCTGAAGTGTTTCATGCTTACAACTCGCCTTTTAGAATTGGGCATAATTCTTATATTGAGATTTTCCTCACTGAAATTTTAAATATTTCTTTTGAAATGAAAAGCATTATTAAATTTTTTTTTTCTATCCACCTATCTACTTTTTGGTAGGAATTGTGAAATGCAAAAATTTGTTGGTGGGCTATGTAAAATGAATATTTATAGCACAAAATTGTTTCCAGTCTGAAATTTTTGTGGATTTTTTATGTACATGTTGGATGTTTCTTTTGTAGGTTTGGGATGCTTGTGGGGCTGGCTATATAACGTTCAATGCAGAGGGTATTCGGCAGGAAAATGAAGAAAACACAGACCATAGCATGGCCTACATAATTGAAAACTCAATCATACTATCAGCAATGACACAGCAAATTCTAAATGTCCATCAAAACGTGGATTTGCACTACAGCAGTAGAATAAAAGACATTGAGTTCCCAGCAGATAAGGTGATCTTTTTCACTGTTAGAAAATATTGTAGTAATGAGAAGTAGTCAAAGCCTTTTTCCTAGGAATTTGTGTTGGGTTCTGTTGAATAAATTTGCCGTCTCTTCGTGTAGGTGATTTGTATGCGTTTTTCAACATCAAAGCAAAAGACCATGGCTTGTACAGACAGAAAGAAAGTTTTTTACTCCCTTTTAATTATCAAATGTGTGTGGAATCAGCGGTTGCTGATAAATGAAAAACGAAAGACACCAAACGGATTATTCTTCCTTTCACTTTTTTTTCAATCCGTGCATCTGGACATAAACTTACGCTTACCTGTTATAACGCGATGACATGTTTCCACTTTTACGGTACAAAGTGTTTCCACAAAAGCAATAACGAAAGGTGGATCTACCTTCAACATCAAGAATATCTCATTCCTGCTTTGATGTAAATATCCTGAATCGCTGGCAGACACCTGGGGGGAGGGGGGCGAGTGAGGCATTGGCCCCCAATGTTTTGGAGAACAATCATATCTTTTGTTCTAAAACAATGGGAAATGTGACGTCATCTTATCAAAACAATAAGCTTCCCCCCTATATTTGACCATGTATCCGCCACGGTCCTGAATCCTTTCTTTAAAAGATTGATTCCCATGTGACTCAATGTTTTTTATCGGAAGCCTCGTCTCTAGCTTTGTCATTAGTCTAATCTTTTTCGATTTCATCTCAAAAAAAGAAAAGTCTTTCAACTTTTGATTTACAAGTTTCTCAATTTCAATAGATTTTGATGATTGATATGCTACAGAAGTTCGTGTTTTTCTTTGTCACGGTTTTGACCCCTCATGCCTTTGGCGTTTGCCATAAATGAGTTTGCACCCAAGATTGTTACTATAACACATATTTTCTCTGCAGTGTGAGAAAAATGTACCTCAACTGGTCCGACTTTCCCTTGAAAATGGCAGTGAATTTCAGACGAAATTGCTGGTAAGAACATGTTTTTTGTCAGTTTTAGCTGAGTTTTAAGTTGCGTGAAATAGTTATAGAAATACTTAAAAAAGGCGACATATGCAATGAGAATTTTGATTTATTTTGTCTTGCTGCTTGAACCTTTTTGACATAGTAAGCAATTTGACTTTGAGAAAACTGTGGCTTATGACCCTGCCAAACCAAAATGCTGAGCTTCAGTACCGTTCGCTGTTAATTCCAACATTTGACCTAGTAAAGTAAGCTACATTTCCTTGTGTTCCAAGATCTTCCTTGTAAAGAGGAAAAGGAGAGACCAAGTAAAGAAAACTGGAGAGAAAAGAAAATAAGAGATGGATATAGAATGGATATAGAGGAGAAATGGGAGAGATTAAAGTTCTGGAAGTAAATGCAGCGGGCCAATTACTCATAAAGAAGCTTGGCTGTACGACCAAGTCTGGATAGACGACCTAATTACTAGTGAGTCCAATATCATGGTCTTCAATTCGATCTTGCACTGGCTTAACAATACATTTGTAATCTTTCACAGAAAAATTCAAGTTAACTTCTTAGGAATCTTAGGAAAACATCAGCTGGCCTAAGAAGACAATTGGAGAGGATAAATGGAGATAGATGAGAAAAGGGAGAGAGAAAAGGGAGAGAGAAAAGGGGGGAAGAAAAGGGAGAAAGAAAGAAGAGAGAAAACGGAGAGAAGAAGGTGAGAGATAAGGAGGGAGTTAGAGAAGCAAGAAGGGCGATAAGAGAATGGAGCAGCTGCACTTGGTTGAATGGCCCTGGGCAAGGAGTTCTAATTTCTCTGTGACTGTTTAGGAAAACTGAGAATTTTTAGCTAAAAATTTACAAAATCAGGAAAGGTTACATTTTAATATCGGGTCAATTTACGTGAAAATTGCTTTTATGATGTTTGCTAGTTTATGCTTGGCTGGTGTTACAATCGAGTAAACTGGCATTAGATTTAATTAAAAAAGAAAAAATGGCTTTGGTTTCATAGCGTATTGTAGCCATTCTAAAACATTGTTGTGTCACCACTAATAGGGAGAAGTGGGAGTCGTCGAGGATTTCCTAGGTCTGTTTTGTCGTGTCATCTTTTCATATTGCCAGATTATTTATACTTTTTTAGCTGACAAGGAAGTTGTTAATCTTCACGATTTCTTTTTCTTTTAAAACCGTTAATTCTACAGTCAAAAGATGCATTGAGCTTTGCGTTTTCTGCTTTGTGCAACTTATTGAAAGCAAAGTAACACGAACTATCGCATGTGACAAATCCTCTTGTCTAGAGGCATATTTGTTTGGTTATAGGAGTAATTTATTGGCTTAATTAGCGGCGTATCGTTAAACAAGGTGAGAAGTGGTAGACAAATAGAAAATTCCCGACTGAATTTGATGACCTTTGCTTTGTCAGACCCTGATGTCATTGTATCAGCCATAGTCAAATTTATATTGCTGTCTGTATCGCTGTGTTTCGTAGCTAGATCACGGTTTCGATCTCTTGATGTGCAATTGTACGCGGAAAATTGCTTGCTCCTTTTGATCAAGCCAGTTTAATTTATCTGTTTCCCAAATGCGCATTCGCTGTAAAGTTTGCAAACATATGATCTGAATATAATTTTCTCTGTTCCATCTTTAATAGGATAGTTATCTGGCCAGTTTTCACTCTAAACATTTTTTATAATAATTTATATATCTTTGCCCATATAAAGATACCTCTTGAAATTCCTGCTATCAACCCAAATGGTCCTGCTTTATTTGAACTTGATTCATCACATTTAATCAACTGCTCATTAACACGTAATTAATATAACTCATTAACACATCGTAATTGCTACGGAAGTTTTTAAGATACTGATTTAATACATTAGGGTATCCCTTTTCACACTTTTACCAATTCTATATAGAATCTATAATAGCTTCTTTGTGCAGTCCTGGTAAGGGTTGTTGTGTGCTCCCTACCCGATAATACTGTATTAAATTACCACGTAAAAAATACAACAAAATGTTGGTTTAAATTGGTGATGATTCTTTTTAGTTTTAGTATAAATCTAATTTTTATACGACATGTTTTAGGTTGGTGCTGATGGTATCAATTCTTTCGTCAGAGCCAAAGCGAAAATGAGATTTTTGGCTCATGATTATCAACAGACTGCTGTCGTTGCTACGTTGCATCTTGAAGAGGTTATCAATTTTGACATCTTTTTGTGTGCCTAATTTAATAAGGCTATTTTCCAGATGGCTGGCCAGACTTACCTCCCTAAAGGCTCGTCTTTGCCAAAGGGTGGGCTAGTTCTGTTCCTTCAACAAGACTAGGCAGAATATAGCCTCCCGCGTGTTTTTGCAGATGATTATTTGTGAAAACATTCTCGTGGGATACTGGAATGGTATACTGGGTTGGGATACTTAGATGAAATACTAGAATCGAAAAATTGAATGGAATATCGAGATGGTATACTGGAATAAAATATTGGAATAAATGGTGCAATGTACAGAATACTGGAATAGAATAGATTGAATACCGTTTAAAGGTGCCGAAAGGTGCCGTTTAAAGGTCCTTTTTGAATGGTCGTGGTGTTTGAAAGGTCCTTGTCAAAAGGCTCAGTTCGTTAGGTCCTATTTAAAAAGTCCTGTTTGTTAAGCCCTATTAGAAAAGTCACCCTCGTTCAAAATCGAAAATGCGGATAACACGGAATTCTCATTCCTTTAAAAATAAGGTCTTATATCTCAATTCTTGAAAGAGCTCTGTTGCTTTGCTAATGTATTTCCATTCCAGAAGCTTGAAGCAAAATTTCACTTTTCCGCGTGTTCCGCGTGTTCCGCATTTTCCGCGTTTTCGACCTGGCTCCTATTTAAGCTTGATTATTTCAACATAGCATACAGACAAATATACAGGCGCATTATCTATACTTACGTAAGGGTTTTTATCCAATTAGGTAAATTAATCAATTCTAATTAAAGATAAGGGTACAGTGCTTTTCAACGAAGAAATACTTTTTCGATACGGCAATTATGTGTCGGCTTTGAAAACGGTGTCGTTTGGGAGGAAATATGGGTCAACCGAGACTGCACCTTGAAAGTAGTTAAGTGTTCCGTGTATCAAACCCTTTACTGCAAACCGATCAATCGTCCATTCAGTTACAAGCATGACAATCATTAAAAAAACTCATTATGAGGACTGCGACAAAAACATGAGTTCTATTTCGAAAATGACACTAGAGGTGGTAATCGACATAGTAATGTTTTTGATGTAAAATTTGACTAAGCCATATTTGAAACGAGTAAATTTGTCTATACAATGTTGGTACCAGAGTCAAATATACTTTGCAGCAAATATGTCTTTGTCAAATCTTATCATTAAAATGCCGATTACTATACAGAGGTGTCCTTTTTGAAACGAGACTCGTGTTTTTTCATCGTAGTTCTAATACGGAGCACTAGCAGCGCTTCCAGCCAACATTAGAGGAATCTAGGCGACTTTTAGGGCCTATTCACATTAAGTAGGATAGCAAGCTCAAATAAGATTCCATTACTGAACTTTCAAATATCTGAAATTGAAGTGGTGTCCATAAAAAGAGTGGATTGGCCAACCTAGGTGAGATCCTACAGCTAGACCTAAGTCTAATTTCCAATACGAACGAAATATACACCCTTTGAATAGGATCTTTCAACTAGAACCTTTTGCAATGGACCTTTTTTTATAGGGTTTTACGAAGAGGACCTTTTGGGATGGACCTTGAAACAGGACTTCTCAAACTGGACGTTTCTAGTAGAATCTTTGAAATAGGACCTAACGAACTAATCATTTGGGAAAGGACCTTTGAAACAGGACTTCTCAGACAGGACCATTCGAATAGGACTTCTTTTTATGCGACAATATAATGTCTGGTTGAGGATTCAAACCTATTACTTTGCAGTTCCCTCAGAAAGGACCTTTCGTCTGTCAACCCTTAGTAAATTCTTTACTTTTCACGCGAGGAAAAAAAACAAAAGCTGCACTAATTGAGCTGCCAACAAGTTATTTAATTTCACGGAATCCATTTTCGCAGAAAGCAATTTGCAATTACTGGTGGTTGATAAGGCTTTTTTGGAAAAATCGGTAATTGCATCAGAGCTATTAGATTAGTGTTTTTGTCAGTTTGATGGCGGTCTTGGAGACAGGATTTTGCAAAAGCGACATCATTGTACCATCATTGTACCATCATTGTACCACTATCGTACCATCATTATACAGTCATTAGAGACTACGTCGTGTCTGGGTCGTGCAAATTTTTTGTCACGCGTGTGGCTTCGCGGTCATGTCCTCTCTTCAGTACAGGGTTGCCATTTGGCCTTTCTCGAACAAAATTTTCGAATTTTTGCCTTTTTGTCCCGTCTGATAACCCTTATACTTTACCCCGTGTACTCCGCTGGCGGATGAAACGTACAAAATGTTTATTTGTTTCGGTGTTACTGGAGGAGGTCCAGGAATTATTTGAGAAACGTACACTTCTATGGAAGCACGCCAAAGTGACCCATCTACCCTATTTTCATCAACTTTTTCATGTATTTTGTAGATACTTTATTGTATCACAATCACCTACCCCATTTTTTATATTTGTGGCAGATTTTCCCTTAGCAACCGACCACATACCCATAACCTTTTGTAAAGGCGAATTCCTGTTTTTATTTGTTTCGTCTAATTTGTCTGGGCCACCCTTTTTTCGAATTTAAACAAGCAGGAAAACTGCAGTTTAAATCTCACTTTATATTCCCGTGATTGATGATAATACGACGATTGTGCCTGCCCTTGACTGGTTGCCACCCACATATATTTGGGTTCTCTCACATAGTTATGACAAAATCTCCCGACACACCATCAAATGAGTCATTCAGTCATTGAGGACCAGTCAAGCCCTAAAGAAATTGTTCGCCTCATCGAAACAAAAAATATTGAATACACCCCTCCAGTTGAGAATTGTCGTTTTCGAAAACTACTCACAATTCTTTACTGTTGCTGGTATATAGAATTTCATCGCAACTTTAGATTTAGCACCAAAAATAGATCCTTGTTCTGTAATTCTCTGTTATGCATTTGTTTCTGGTTAAATTCAAAATTTCAAATGTGTACTTTATTTCGAATGTGTATTCTGTCCTTCAAGAGGTACCAGAACCTAGCTCGGACAAAAGCTTTGCCGAATCTAATATTCAAACCCAAAATCCGGCACGTTTGATAAAAACCAGAACCGGTGGCATAATTGGCCAAACCGGCATCTGGTGAGATCCGAAAGCTCCCTTCTTAGAAGATAATGCTCCCTTCTTAGAAGATAATGAAATCTCTCTCGATATTAAAGTTAACTGTAATCATCGTTATTTTACTTTAGACATCATTACTTTTTAGGAAACACCAAACGACGTTGCTTGGCAGAGGTTCTTGCCCACAGGGCCAATCGCTATGCTCCCGGTATGTTCCACTTGATGAAACTACAGTGTACAAAGTATATACATTTAAAACCACCGAGAATATATGAAAATTTCAAATTCTATTGGCAAGTAAGGGCTATCTCTTCTATTCACATTCCACCGTCAAACGTTCCATGTTCTCAAGATAGCCGGTGAACAAGGAACTAGTCTTAACGTCGTTTACGATTAACGGCTGTTTTTGTTCCTTGAAAACTGTTTAAGATTTTTCTTTCGTAGAACAAGGTTTGACTTTTAACTTTGGCAGTTATCATATTTGCTGGTGGGTGTAGAGGCGGAAGAAATTTGTAGACAAGTGGGAAAGTTTTCTTACCCCATTACAATATTTGACTAAATTCAATGATACTTGAAACCCCATTTCAAATTTATGGAAAAAATTAATACCCCAATATCGTTTCTACTCGTGTCATACATCCAACTCTTTCTATTTCTTTGTATGAGAATCTTGTGTAAGCGGAAATATAATTGAGTGAAATCTTTCAGACTCATCAAAATCATTTCTCATCTATTGAAGATGAGAAGCTCTTTGATGCAATAACAGTTGACTGCAGCCAGCGAATTTTTTCTATTATGCTATCAAGGCATGGTGATGATCCATGCTTTTCCAATTTGCACTAAGTTATGTTTTAGTGCACCAAGTCAACTTCTAAGTTTGTGATCAATGTCCTTTCGAAAAACTGCATTGTTATATATTGCTGCACAATAATAATAATTGATTTATGCAAGATTTATATCGGTGAAGATGTACTAATATAGTTGGATGTCCTTTCAATGTCCTTTCGAAAAACTGCATTGTTATATATTGCTGCACAATAATAATAATTGATTTATGCAAGATATACATCGGTGAAGATGTACTAATATAGTTGGATGCCAGTAGGGTAGAGCCAAAATATGTAGAGGGGGCCATAGATTTTTCTCCATATTGTATACAAGGTGAATATCTAAACTGTTTTTGTTTGCATGGCTCCTCAACATCAAATTCTTTACCTTTCCATTTTTCCTAAGCTTGAAACATCTTCCAATGTTAACGTGTTACTTGAGTAGAAAAATCTTGAAAATAAAGAATTCAAAGTAGTAAAATTTTTCCAGCATTTATAGAGTTTTCAGCTATCAAGAGGACTATTGAGGTCACACATCAATGCAAATGTCAAAAAGACATATCGGTTCAATCAAAGATTTTGATCCTGGCAGAAATGAGCCACGATGATTTAGAATTACCTAGGAAGAAGAGGAGGGGTGCAGCCCGCCTTTGAAAAGCAGAAGGAGGCTGATACCCACCACCCCCCCCCCGAGTCCTCCTCTTCTACAGCCTTGTTTGGTACCCCTTCAGTAATTAGTGAACAAATTTTGATAACCCAATATAACGATGCTATGAAATTTCATATCCCACAAAAAATCTTCCACCCTGGTGCACAGCATCAAAAATGACAACTCCCTTAAAGTGTCCTATGTGAAACGAGGGTCTCTGCAAAATATTTCAATATCGACATTCAGCAAAAGGTTTTGCCGCTGATGTCAAGATATTGAGTAGATATTGAATTGGACGTAGTAATCACATATTAATATCACATATTAACATTTAAATTTATTGTTGGAATAGGCTTTGGACATGTTGAGCCATACAAGATCCGAAAGTAATGATCCGAAACACCATATCTGTAGACCGAAGGAGTTTATTATTCCCATAAGGTGCCAGTGGTGATATTTTATATATGCATTTGGCACTGATTGGGGTAGCCCTGCCTGTCGTGTGATCTTGTTTTTGATTAGCCAATGGGGATATTTATGGGACTTTTTCGATTATTATTCAGACGTTTTCCATATTAAAATTGTCAAACACAAAGCTTTAGTGTGTCTTGAAATGTTTGCTTTTTCAAAGCCATGCTCAAATTTTGTACCGCTAAAAATTATTTTGAATTGGTGCATCATTTACAATGACTTCGAAAACTTTTTAAGATCTTTTTTATGTTTATTAAAGAGATACTAAGATTTTTGTGTATTCTCATATTTAGCACAAAATATTAAAAATTATTTTGCTTGACGTAGAAAAACACGAAGAGGAAAGGAGATACAGTCCCGTCAAGTAGAGAGAACCTGATTTTTCAAAACATTTGTTAAGGGACTATTTAGCATTTTGCTCTAACTTCTTCAAAAATCAAAATAGCTTCTCCTACAAACTGCATATCGAAATATGGCTGGCTGATTGAAGATTTACCTTGCTAATCTAATTTTCTTTGTAGCTGTCCAGAAACAGAAGCTCTTTAGTGTGGTCGACGACCCCTGCAGATGCAAGGGCATTGATTGATGTCCCCGATGACGAGTTTGTCGATGCAGTGAACAATGCATTCGTGAGTACCAAAAACCCTTTTCTCATTAACAAGACTGGAGTTAGTCACCAAATCGCAACATACTGCCATCATTAGTGATCAGCTTCTAATGTATTTTACTATCCTTGATCAAGAACTAATTGAATTCTTGACCGCCAGGCAGGTCTAAATAATCCAAATGGTCCACGGTCCAATTGTACATGGTCCAAATGGGACATTTTTTGACTGAAATATGCATTGGCTTTTGTTGTGAATATGACATGTTTCACAATAACAAATTATACCCAAGCTACTGTTTAAGTTAACTTTCCAATTTTGTATTTGAGCTGACCCTGCTTTAATATGATTCTATTGAAACAATTTGGTTACATCATTCCACATTGCATTGCACCACAGCGAAGTTTATTAACTGTTTTTTAGTGGGCTGATTGCGACCGTCATCCACTGATTGATAGATCTGCAAGTGTCCTTCAGAGTATCATTAGTGCTATCCAGCCAGGTAAATGCATTAATTGAAGTTTTGTCATGGTTACCTTTACCTCTATATCGCTGTTGTATTAACCTTACGCTCTCAATTCAGTAAGTGAGCCGCGCTCAAAATGGGCATATAAGAAATTGCGGCCTAACAGGAGAGGGAACACCTTCTCCTTTTTAAGAAACTAGGAATTCTAATTTTTTCCAGTTTATTGTGATAAAATTAAAAAAAGTTAATCAAACTTAGAAAATGTATACCGTATTTATATAAATTCTTGCATGTTAATTTATTTGGGTATCCTCCACTATGTGGCATGATTCTTGAATTAACAATTATATAAAATAGAGTCTCTTATTGAACATATAAGAAATTAGCCAGCCACATTTAACAATATTTTCTTACATGTAAGGAACTAGATACGAAAATTTAAGTTTCTTCTAAGTGGGGACTTACTATGCCTCGACCTTCAGACATACGCCCGGTGAAATAATGGATTATATTTCTAATCTGTGTAATTCAGGATTTTGCAAATGTATTTTTTCAAGTGATTGAAAATCCAGGTAAAGATCTGCTTAGGCTATCTATAACTAGATTAAGGAATTTCCTCATGTGCTTTTCAGTTTGTTTGTAGAAAAAAGATGTTGAAATTTCAAAAAAAAGTGATCAAATAAGTGCATTTTACATAATCATTAAGCATGAGATTCAGTGTAACTTCTCATAGTTAAAAATCAAATATCCCTTTGATAGTACAAATTGCGTTTTTCTTTTGCGAGATGTTCTGTTATTTATTCTACTAAACATTTTCCCTAGCCTATTTTAAGCTTTGTTTTGTCATCATGATATGTTTTATATTTTATCATTATCTTTCGTGTCGTTTGCTTTGTTTTGCGTGGCTTTGGATGTCCGCTTTATATTAAGTAATACAAACCTTGTACTGACTTCTCTTCTCCAATTCTAGGAACATTTGCTGGTTCTAAATTAATGCAGCCCCCGACAATATCCGGCATTGACAGAAGTAGCCGAGCAATGTACCCACTCGGCCTTGGTCATGCATCTCACTACGTCAACAGCAGAGTGGCTCTCATTGGGTTTGTTCCTTCAGTGATTCTTCCAATTCCCATTTTTCTAAATTTCGAGGATTGTTTATCTGCAAATATTTCTCTCTCTCGTGAAGAAATCTTTATTCGCTGTCTATTCAATAAGCACTGCATATCCTCGATTCCTACTTGCATTCGCCATTATTTAAGTTCGCAATCTTTGATTTTTATTTTGAATTTCGGTTATAAGTTTTTAAATCAAGAGGCTGTCAACTAAATATAAACCAGAAGGTTGATTTGGGCTAGATCTAGTTTTTGATAACTCTTCCGTCGGAATGTGCTTTCCTGCTGAATTATTTTTCTTAATTTCTAGCAGGCATATTATAGGGACTATTTTCACATAATTCTTTTTGTATCAACACTAAATGGTCTATGATAGAGTTTATGAGTTTATCAATTAAGCCTTTAAAACCTTAAAAATAAACAGTTGTTTCTATGCAAAGCTCGTAATACGCTTTTACATTGCTTGGGAGTTTTATAATTATGCATCTAAGTAATTGCAAGCATTATTTAAAGCATCTTTGTGGCCTTTCTTTTTTCATTAATCTTTCCCTGTTTTCAGGCTTGTTTATGTAGCAAATTGTTCACTCTACTTTCAATTCCCTGCATCAGTTTCATGGTGCTGATTAGTGTTGTAGCGTCCGTAAATTGAGGTTATTAATAGCGAAACAGAGGCTCATCGAGTAAGCCTAGGCGACGATTGCACCTAGCTGTTAGGTTAGAGTTGCAACTTAAATCTGCCCTGTCTTGCGTGCAAAGCGTAACCAAATGCATGTTTTACTTGTAAACAGCGATGCTGCTCATCGGGTGCACCCGCTGGCTGGCCAAGGTGTCAACCTGGGGGCGAGTGATGTCCAGTGCCTGAGGGATGTGCTTGTTGATGCTGTTCAGCATGGAAATGATATTGGTAATTTTTTACCTTCTTACACCATTGAGTTTTCACTGTCCACAGTATGCTCTTTTCAACCAATCCTCTTAGTGACTAGACTTTCCCAAAGTCTTTTTTTAAGTCCTTAAGTCCGCAAGGCAAAATACTCGTACCTTACAAAAATGGACTTTGGAAAACTCTACAAAGTGACCTTCGCACATTGTTCAGGATGGGGGGGGGGGGGTTGCTATTCACTGATTATTTTAACATTCACTTTTTTAAAACAATCAAGAAATGATTAGAAAATAAGATAAAACTTCTGCTAATCATATAAAAGTCAGTTATCATTATCATTGTAAAATATGTGGAGTAAAACGTTTTGAAATACAAAAATAGACAGTGGATGATGAAATAGCCCGAAGGTGATGATAGTTATCAGAATATAATCAAAGTGATCAAAATGTTATCAAAGTAATCAGGTAATAATCAGATTAAAATCACAAAATAATCACATTTGATTATCAATCATGAACCTTTCTTTGGAAAGAATTCTCCCTCGCATTTTCTATATGACTGTTTAAAGTAAATTTCTTGATTAACTGATTCTGCTTGTTCTTCCTTGCCCTTTATTGCATTCGACCTTTAGTTAAACAGTACCAAAGCTGCGAAAAGTACATTTGGTTAGGTTTATTTTATCAGGGAAATTTCTACAGATATATGTTTTGTTTGGTTTAATGTTTCGTGAATTATTATCAGATTTCAGTACCGGAGATGTTCTTGAAAACTCTTTCTCCTGGTTTAATTACCTCTAAAATAAGTTTCTCCTTTTTGCACAACAAAAGTAAAGTAGATTTACTTTATTTAATTTTACTTGGAAGATATAGTATTTGAAATCTCGTCAAATTATATTTTTCCTCAGCTAATCCATTATCTTGTTATAGTCTAGTATTCAAATTAAATGACTCACCCTTCCCATTATCATTTTACATTTTGCTAAGTTAAATAGTAAAAATGAGCCTTTAGTTTTCAAAATTAAACAGCTTTTAAAACTCCTGATCCTTTGAGCTCCCCTTCTCAGTACAAGGTTTTTTCATTGCAGAGCTGTGTAATCACATCAAAGGCAATTTTCTCTCTTTGTAGGTGACTTGGATCATTTACTTGAATACGAGACAATGCGCCAAAGAGAGGTTGTTCCAATGATGACTGCAATTGATACACTGAAGAGACTTTTCTCTACATCTTTCTTTCCCTTCGTTTTCGCGAGAACAATTGGCCTGCAAGCTACAAATGCATTGACACCATTAAAGGTAAATTATCCATACCTGAATAATGCACACGATTTTCTTGTTTGCCTTTGTTTTTAAACACCCTTTGTGATAAACTGATATTAAGTAGCTACTATGCTAAAACACAACCTGCCAACGCTCACAATTTTTAATACTTGATAAATTTCGTATACAGAACTAACTGAACATAATGCATATACATATAAGAAAAAGGATAATGAAGATAACTGTCTTACCGGTCTGTCAATTAGTGATCGATGCCTTATAGGCACAGCTGTATAGGCATGTTAAGTTGGCCCTGTCTGCTGTTACTTAAGTAATCAAGATCAGCAGTCTCTAACGTGACTGTGGGAGTTTGTCGCAATGACGAGCAAGTAAATATATCCTAACGAATAAGCCACTCACCTTATTTCATGGGCCACCCCCTTCATTGTTGTGAAAAGGAATGCCCTCTGAAGGAAATTGCTGTTGCGCATGCTCTTTAACTGTGCATGCTCTTTCGGTTGGCTTATTTCTAAAAACTCTCATGTTCCAGTTCCCAGTAAGCAGTAACAATAGCTTTTCAAATCTAGTTGTACTGGTTGTGCCAATTTCTCTGCATTATACTACACAGTATTTTTGCAAGCAAATAACCGCTGTCACTGTACGGAAATGACGCGATTGATTGTAGGTGTTAAGGGTAATTTGTCTCGTAGCCTCTTAAAGAATTTCGGGTATAAGTTGATCAAAATATCACCTCCCTTCCAAAATTTGGTAAAAAGTGCAGGTTTTTAAGGGAATCGTTTGGTTTTCTAGCTACTAGATGTATGAATTTTCTTGCTGAATTCTTTGTCAAGCTATTCATATTTTCAAAGAGTGAGGCATCGTATTATGAGCTAGCCATTTAACACCTTCTTTCTGGAAAATATAAAATATTCAAATCATTTCAAAAACCCACCGCTCACAACAAGGGCTGATAGTTAAAAGGGAGGACGCAAAAGTGAACCGTTTCTTCCTTTGAGTTAAAAGGACCTGTATCAGGATATAAATCACCTTTTGGTCATCGACGTTTCGAACTGTGAAAATAATATCCATTTTTAAGTAACGGTTGTTTCTTTTTCTTGTAATCATGAGATTTTCAGGAGAAAATGAGTTTGTTTCGTGACGATCTATTTACTATGCAAGTATTTGTCTTAGTGTTGTCTATGAATTATTGCATTGTACATAAATTTACAACAGGGTTCCCTTCCTCAAAAATTTAGGAGGGGGCTCTGCTGTTATCAGTACCAAATGTGCTTGCATTTGTGTTCAGGATTGTCTGTTGTTTGCGTACGAAGTCATTCAAACTATTCATCAACGCAAAAAGATTGATAAGAAATTGCTCATTCATGGAAAATCTATAGCATAATAAAGGGTGCTTCCGTTTTAAGGGGGCTCCCAGGGGAAGCTCCCCGAAATTTCTCCGAATTTTAACAATTTTTCGTTTTCTCATCCTTGTATATTTATACTGTGAAAATTCCTGATGTACATTTCTAATATTTCATTATCCACAGATGCTTGCATTTTGATGTGAATTCACCATTTATCTAATATTTTTGTATTTTTTCATATTTAATAGGATCAAATAATAAAGCATGCAATGAAGTAACTCAAGTCATCCAAATTAACAGAACTGGGACGTCCAGTGACAGCACTTCTTTCACCGGCATTCACATTGGCACAGACACTCTATAAGTGCATTGACCTTTACCCATACAGGCGCTTTTCCTTTCTAGATTTGCAATAGTTTTGTATGTGATAAAGTATGTTTTCATGACAGATGGTAAAATTTACAAATTGGTGTAAGGTATTTTCAGGGGCCTTTTGCATGGTTTTAGCACAGAGCTCGTCATTGCAATCAGCTACGTGTGGAAGTTGAAAGCCAGCTTATAAAGTTCTTCATATTTGAATTTGCTGCAAAATAAACTGTTCTGCTTCATTAGTTTGTTAATGAAAATGGAATTTTGAGCTCTGTACTTCTTTTGTTACGAAATGGAGGAGAAGATCTGTTTAACTATGAACGTCAAGAAAATTGTTTTTATAACCGTTATTGCATATCCGTTGTTGCTTTGGCCAAAAAATACCTTTTATCGTTCTTGAGTGACATTTTCAACACGCAATTAATTGCCAAGCATGGCTTCATCTCCTTGTTAGTTGTTTTCAAATGTTCTACTGTCATTCAATAATGCGTTGAATTGTCTTTCGCTGCAGTCAATGTTACAGCTCTACTTTGAATTGTATTGTATTACTTTTGCATTAGATAAGGAATGCTATTTTTGCAATATGCATAAATGTTACACCGTATGTAAAACACATGAATCTTCGTATAAAGCTATAGTAATTTTGCATTGCCAGTACACATGCATAGAAGCGAGGGTATTTATTAAATGGAAATTATGTTTGTAAAAGTTTTCTTTTTTCTAGAAGTGATTAAATTCTTAAATGTTTGAAAAATATTTCATTGCCTCAGTTATGTTTTACCTCGTGCCTCAGTTTTGTTATATATCAGCAATAGAAGACTTTGATGAAAAGTTTGCAAAAATGTTTGTTAATATCGCTAAAGAGGTCACGGAACTCATGACGTTTTGCCGTGTCTCATACAAACAACAAACTAAAACTGAAAAAACAACAACAACTGAAAAAACAACAAAAATCAAAGAAGCATTAAGAAATACGACGAATCTTCCTTAATAGGAAAACATCAAGATCAGCATGGCAAATTTTTTGGATAAAAGCCTCTGGCATCTAACACGAAAATAATTTGTTGTCGCGTTCAATGATGGAAAATCTAATCCAAGTTGGTTCATTTTGTCATTTCTCAAACTGTTGCTAAATGTGTCGAGCTTCTTTTGAACAAAATATTTCTAGAAAAATGCATATAAAGAGACTCATGTTTTACGATAAACTCAAATAAAATTCACCAAGTTAATTAAATTAATAGGGTTGTTATTGAACAGAAAAGGAGATGTATAATAATGACACACTAATTTGGTTGAGGTGTAAATAAGCTAGATTTCTTAGCTATTTTTCAAGATTTATACTGTACAGAGGAAATGACCTTAAATTGAAATAATGAAATAATATCTAAGTTAGAGATTTTTAATGTTTAGTTGATAATAACAGGTGAACAATAACAGAAGTAATATCAAAATTGATGTTAGTGGAAAGGGAAAGACATTGATGTAAAAAAGAAGATGTTCATATCATATGATTGTTAAATTGTACTAAATGATTTACTTCAACTATAGCATCAGCTGAAAAACTATTTATCAGAGAAGCTGCTATGTCCACAGAAAAACAAACAAGGCGATGATATCATCTGATGGATTGATCCTCTTTTGAAATGATCCTCTTCTAAAAAAAGGCTTAAAAAACACTCCGCTCTAACAATTTAACTATACAATGACGCAATAACTCGATAGTTTTTTTCAAGCTGCCAACAAGCACAGTTGTATGGCTGCCCATTTGTAGCAATATTAAAAAAATGTTTTATTCAAGCAAATTTCCGATTTAATCCTGATTTTAATTGTAAAATTCTTCATTTAAAGGAAGATTTAATGTAAAACACATTCAATACCGCAGAATGCAATCGAAAATCTGTATTCAGTTCAATAAAATTTATTCAGCTAAATAAAATGTATTCAATTCAAAATTCAGTACAGAAAATATGTTCAATGCAAAAATGTATTCAATGCAGAAAAACATGCTCAATGCAAAACAACCTTTCAATCCAAAGCAAAATGTTCAACATTACTGGGGCGAACGCGTTCGTAATAACACTTAGGGCCTACACAATATCAAAGATGGAAGTTGAGGACGATCAGGAAGAAATGCATTTGAAAAGTTTCTTTTCTAATATTCATGAAAGAGTGAAAAGAGATATTACAAGAATCTCCAATCTTGAAAAGAAACTGGAAGATGGAACCTTTAATTACGCTGAAGATGGCTCATTGGATGATGAATGTTCCCTGAGTGGAACCCTGGGTACAATTGAATTGCTCAATTCAGCGATACAGTTTCTTTTTATCAACAATACACCGGTAATTATTAGTGTGAATGATGGAAGAGTATGCTCAGATCTAGAAAATGTGCTCAGCATGCTTAGAAAAGATCTCGAAGATTTACATTTAAATTTGTCATGAAAATATAACACTTTTGTGCGCTGAGAATTCCAGAAAAACGGGTAGAACATGCTGGTCGACCTCTTCTGTCAATACCAACAGAAACATTGGAGGTAAACTCCTGGAGCAAAATTGCATTAATGTTCAATCAATCAATCAATCAATCTTTTGGCACTCATATCAGCAATTTGTGCAAGAGAGTGAGTCAGAGAATAGGTGTCTTATCTAGATTTCGTAATATAATACCTACCAATGCGAAACTAACAATCTACAAGTCAGCCATTCTCTCTCACTTAACATATTGCAGTACAGTCTGGCACTTCTGCAAAGTAGCAGATAAAAGAAAGATAGAGAGACTCCAAGAGAAAGCCCTTAGAGTTGTTTATAATGATAAGTCTACGCCATATGCACAACTCCTTATGAAAGCAAACCTGCCATCTCTCCAGAATAGACGACTTCAGGACATTGCCATACTTATGTATAAAGTTAAAAACGGCATAGCCCCACACTTTATAAAGGATTTGTTTGCAGTAAAAGAAACTCCCTATGAATTAAGAAACAGCAACTTTGTAATTCCGAAATTTCGTACGGTAAAAGAAGGAAAACATTCAGTAAGATACTTTGGCCCATATCTGTGGAGCAAATTAAAGAGAGCTATCAAGGAGGTGACAACAATAACCCAATTCAAGAAATGTATAAGAAAAATGGACTTAGAAACTCTTTTAGACTGTAGACTTTAGTTTAGTTGTACATAGGATTTTTAGAAATTTTTATGTTTTAATAATTATACTGTAATTTCATATTTTATGCTCTAATTTAACTTTATATACTTCTTTCATTGTGTCCCCAATTAGCTTGTAAGCTAAATATTTTTTGACACATTAATAAAGTTTTTGATTGATTGATTGATTAATGTTTGGATTATCTAGGTGGACGATATTCTGCAGAGTTGAAGAATATGGATTGACCCATCTACAGCAGATCAGCGATTTTTCTGATGATAGGCTCGATGAAATCATTTTGGATTATATCTCAAGGCATGGTTCGACTACTGGAGAGCCATACATAAACAATTACTTAAGGTCAGTGGGGATGCATGTGCAGTGAAAAAGGGTACGAAGCAGCGTCAACAGGGTGGGTCCTCGAAATGCAGCTCTGAGGTGGGGTGACTTGGTGTCACGGAGGACATATAGTGTTATTTGGCCAAATTCATTATGGCATTTAGACGGTCATTATTCTTTAATTAGATGGATGTTCGTGATATATCTACATGGCTGCATCGACGGAAAGTCGAAAAAAATTATATTCTTGAAATGCAGCACAAACAATCTTGCAAACACTAATTAGCCCCCTGAAGGCTTGTTTATTTTTGATATTTTTGGATGGGGTCTTATTCGAAGAGGGGGGGGGGCTTATGTGAGGTGGGGACTTCAGGGGGCTAATTCGAGGATTTACAGTATATATTATAAGCTGCCTGGTTAAATATTTATTTATGTTATGATGTCAGATATGTCTGCAGAATACTGCTGACAGATTTTATTTGTTTGGTAAAATCATTTGTTTGGTAAAATCATGATAAAATCATTTTAGACATTAAGAATTTAGCCATTATTAAAAGACCTCGTTTATTTTAGCAGGATTTTCTTTATGAGCATTAACTAGTTTTTACCAAAAGTATGAATTTTTAAGGTAATTCTTTAAAAGGCCAGAGACAACCTCAGATGGCAAAAATCATCAAATTTAAGGGGGCAAATTCAAGGATTTACAGTAGCAATGAGGGCTTATTCGAGGAGGAGGGCATATTGAGCATTTTTAGTTCTAGGATGGGGGCTTATTGGGGGGGGGCTTTTTTGAGGGGGGTTCCAATTCAAGGATTTACGGTATATCCTAGGAGATGATCTGCAACTGCAGGAGAAATGATCAATGCCCCCATTTAATGGGTTTACCCTGGGGTTTACCAGACTAGCAGCATAATCTATTATGCTCAGGTACACAAAACAGAAATTCCTGATAACTACAACAACAACTAAACATAGTAAAACTTGCAGAGAGAGAAGAGAGAGAGAGACAGTTGCATTATGAATGAGTTAAATATGAAACTAAAATTTTAAAATTGAGAGCTGTCCTGTTCTATACACTTTAAAGTGTGGCCACAAAAGCATGTAGCAAATATCATATTCTAAAGAGGCACAAATCAGAAATTCTAAAAATATTGTAAAAACTCAACCAGCACTTCAATTATAAAATACACAGCATTGTAGAATTAAAAATTAACGAGTTTACAAAGGGTCAAAATAAATTTTCCAGGTCTAAATTCTTGCTAAGAGCAGTATCTTGGTTAATCTTACTTGAGGATAAAAATAGAGATGTTTTTGTAATGGGGCATAAAAGAAAACAACTGCACTTGATAACATTTTTGACAAATGGTTCCAGTTACAAATGGCCACATATAGACCCATAGCAGTGTATTTTAAAATAAAAGTCTCTATTTTTGACATAGAAGCCATCTTCTGGGCAGATACCTCAGCTCATTTACCTCTTTTGCATCCCCAAGCTACAGAATGGATATTGATGGCAAAAGAGACAAAGAGATGTTTCCTCCTTTTTCAGCAGAATATCAAGACATGCCTTTATGGACAAAAGCCTGACAAACATTGCAGATTCCCATTATCAAGTAAAGCACGAATATGTTCATTGGATGGTGCAAGCTTCAGACTTGTCAACATTGGGAGCATTTGAAAACTTAGCAAGACATATTGCCTGCAACCATTTGCTGTGCTCTTCTGTTGTGTTTGCCAAAAAATAAAACGTCCTCTTGCATTGAGTAGGTCTAATGCTGAAACTATTTTTACAGCCATGTTCCTCACCATCTTCAATCATTGCTCCGGCTAAAGGAAGTGACTTTATGAGATCCTGAAAGAAAACATACTTTACTTAAACAAAGTTTCAAATCTAAACTAACATATATAAAATATCATCATAAACTACGCAAAAGCAATTATTCTATTCCCTCTGACATCTTGCAATGATTATTTTGATTGGTCCCTAAAAAGGAATCAACCAGTGTGCATTCTATTAACCTGAGACCGAAGATCTTTAGCCTTCAGTGTGTGGAGTAATCGTCTTTTTCGATGCGTAGTTGTGCAAATGGTAATTCTAAGTTTAGTACTTTCGTTATAAGTTTAAATGAAATGAAACATGATGAATAAGAGCCTCGTATTTATTTACCTGCTCTGAATTTCCGTACTTAAACTGGTTAGATTCGATTTTAGCAAATACTGGTGACCACCTGTTGGATCTCTTCCCTTTCTTTTTCAGTAGGCCAGCACAAGCTTCAGTTTTCTCGTCACCAACGTTGTCTTCATCTGGCAAGTTCGTGCCTGCCATTTTCCATAGAAGTTAAAATATTAAGAACATATAAGCGATAACACAGGAGGGTTCATGTACTGTACTAGAAAAGCCTTTATGACAATTTCTCGTGATGAAACAAGCAAATCAAAAAAACAAATTTGCTGTTGGATCAACCTCGTTTGCAAATGGCGATTATCAAAACAACACGACGTTGTTGCGGGAGACAAAACATTGTAGCAGTGGTCTTTATCGTGAGGTAGTATAAACTCTATTTTAAGAATTTTTTAATTTTGACAACAAAACCCAAAAGATCATAATGAAATACCACTGACGTCCAAAAATAAGAAATTACAAATTGACTCAGGGGCGTGGTGGGAATTTTTATGGGCCGGGAAAATTAGTTTCAGGGGCACACCAATTTGATACTGATTGTTTCTTGTTGTCTGATCACTTATAATATGTTAGACAGGGCCATTGTGAGGCAAGCCTCCCCCCTCCCCCCACACACACAGCCCCGCAGTTGCAACACCCCTGATGTTAGAATTGAGTCCCAATTTTAGCAATCATTCTCTTCCCCCAGGAGATTTTGAAGAGGATGGTTGCTAAAATTGCTCTGATGGTTAGTTTGGTTGCTAAAATTGCTATGGTGTCTAAACTGCTCTAGTTGCAGTGGGGTAGATAGAGGGGGATCAGAGGGGGCAAAGCCCCTATAGAGCTAAACTGCTATTTTGTCGGAAAACTTCTGGTCTTGTCGGAAATTTAACACGGTTGTCTATGCTTATCTAATTGCTTCGTTTTGATAGGAAAAAAATTAAAGCTAAATAAACATAAGAATATCTGAATATATCAAAGGATTTATTTATTTCAGTTCCGATCTCGTTATCTTATGTTAAAATTTATGAAAAAATATAAATGCTTGTTAGATTTTTGCCGGAAAATTTAGGTGTCTCACCCTGCCTATTAATTTTTTAATCTAGGCCATTGTCTGATGGCTATTACTTCTGTTTGCTATTTGAAATAATTTGATCATAACTGATATCTAAACACAATAATGCAAATGCTATAGTGTAAATCTGTATGACATATATATATTGTTGTATGTTGCACTGTTGCAATCACATTTTTTGATAGAAACAGCGGCTTTTCAAATTTCTTTAGCCTAAGCCCTCAAAGATGAGAAACTCTTGACAAAAATATCTTTGCAAACCACCCAGGCAGTCAAAGATTCAAACTGCTTCTACCTTACTTCATTTGTAGACTTTTGTCATGATTGTCTCTATTAATGACATTTTGTTTTAATGGAGAGGCTTTATTATTACTTTGAAATTTTTTTTAATTGATTTCTTATTTATGGGCCCCTATGGCCACGGGCCCCCGGTACATACAAACCGTAATGCTTCAAATGCTTTTTTAGGGCGAACAAGAAACTTTTTTCAAAGTATTTTCCATTGCATTTTGGAAATTTTTTCTGGTATTATCCCTTATCTTTAAAAATCAGATCGAGCAAGTATCTCTTGTTTGATAACGTTCTGGTAAACTAGGCTTCACTAAGGAACAACATTTGAGGAAGAACTACGGATTTTTATTGGTAAATAAAGTCTAAAGAACAAGTACAATTCGGGAGGAAAGCTGGGTATGCACTCGAAATAAGAATGAACTTGAAATGGGTTTTGACACGCTCAATTTTTGTATCAGTTTTGCATATTGTGAGTGTGCTGCATCAGTAAGTATAATATTGTTTTTCCAACTGCTAGGAAAAAGGAAAACTTGTTTTTCAGATTAAAATACGTTGGCAACTTTGAATACTGTTGATGCTGTCTCTTCCCATTTACGAAATATATCCAAGCAATGGATAAATATTTCTGTCACAAAATTTAATTCCCGTCCCGCAGTTCAGGCACCGCGCAGCCATTGGGCTAGCAGGGACATAGCCCACCCACTTTTTTACAATAATAGGCTAGAAAATTTTTTGAAGGTTTATTCTAACGCAACTTTGGATAGTTTATGCAGTAGCAGTTCTCATTGACTGGGAACCATTTTTGTTCTTTTTCTAGGTGTTTTATCTTGTTTAATGATACGATGTATTTTCTAACTTGGTTACCTTGGTTTTTTTTACCCTCGAGCTAATTATATCTATTTTTATGGTTCTTGATATCTTCTTTGAACCAGACTCTTTTTAAAAAATTCAATAGAAATAAGCAAGCATTTTCTAAAAGGGGCGTTTTCTGGCGTTCCAGAGGGCGTGGCCTCAAAAAGTTTCGGTCGCACCCATTTCAGCCCCTCCACTTTTAGAGTAGTGCGCAGTCCCTGCCGCAGTTAACGCTTTGTAAACTTCATACGACGGACACTTCCAAACAGAAACATACAGTAACCCAAAATACTTGTGTCCTACTTGTGTCCGATAATTGAACTAGGGGTTGTAGTCTGCTAGCTCGTAATTGAAATAGCTAACAGGCTTCGGTCGCTTACAAAATTTCATTTATTATAAATAACGGTAAATACTTTTAAAGAAAAGGTGATAAATAAATGTGGAATGCGAGGAAATTCGCTTGAAACATTCGTCTTCCTCGCTTCAATTCTATTTTGTTGACCATCAACAAGAAAAGCTGAGAGAAAAAAGTCCTTTAGTGCAATAAAGTTCATAAAATTCATGAAGTTGACAGCATAATCATCACATTATTCACATTGATGTACCAAATAACATACAATAAAAATAAGGATATGCGTTTAATTATTTCAACGTATCTCATTAAAGGTTATTCCCACATTAAGCTGGCTTGCACAACTAGCATTTTCCTACCATAAAACATAACGCAATTTTGGCTGTAAATTCAACGAAATGATTATTATGCTGACTTTGTTCTGCCTGCCTTTTCAAGGTCTAAATGCTCTTTCTTGTCCTCTTGTCCTCTCCTATCGCTGTTACATTTGTGAATTGCTTTTAACTCTCCATCTTTATCCGAAAAACATTTAGCTTTGGAAATTAAAAGCGCATATTAAATGACTTACAGAAAACTTTTGAAGCAATGTATAATACATATATGCGATAGTTGACTGTTTTAGATATACGATATCCAGTGGCGTAGATAGCCAAATAGCAGTGGTCATGCCCTCCCCTCAAATTTGAAAAAATATGGGTGTCGCCAAATTTTACCACGCCCAATTTTTTAGTTGATGAATTCCTTTTGGAAATTTTAATTTTAAGGCTTGTGACTTATAAAAAAATTGTGATTAACTTTTGGAATGAGCTTTCCTTATTTCATAGCAATCATCTTGTTACACTATGAAATTACCTTTATCTTATAGCTGTGACACTGTTTTGGATTGTTGGTAATTTATACAGACAGAGTTCTGACAATTTCCAAACAGAACTGTACAAAAGACATTAAAAAAACATTAGTTTAGTATAGTAGATAAACTTAGCTTAAATTAAAAATTGTTTTGTTCTCCTAATCTCTTTCAATTTGCAGGCTGAAATACATTTGTAAATTTTAGAGATAAGCTAAAATTTGTATATGAAACAATAAATCACATGAAACTGAATGGGAGCTTTTTGGTCATCTTTTCCACAAATAGTCTTATTATCAATCTGTTGAAGGTATTTTAAAGCCATCACGATTAACTAACAACCCCAATAGAATTGATAGATGAATAAAACAAATTGGCAAATGAATATCCAATGTAAATATTGATATGAAATATAGGAAGCTAAAATAATGGATAGGCCTAGTTGCAAAATGTTTTCTGCAAAGTTAGACTCAATAGAAAAATACCTTGCAAAATAAGTTTAGCTTAACAAAAACATTGATGTTTCCACATATACTTGTGGTAAATATCCACATGATTGGATTGTCCTTACTAAATCTAGCAAACAAGGGTTGTAAATGAATAATTTGATCTTGTAAATTTTCAAATACATCAAAAGTTGTAATAGTGAAATAAAACTGTTTAACTAACAAGATCAGTAACACGCTTGACTTGTCTCTGGTCATTTTATTTCAACAGCTATAAGTAGTAAAAAGTACTTTCAACTAAAAGTGAAGTCAGTAGAGCTTTGAGTTTGACTTTAATTGTGTGTAAAAACAGTGTTATTGCATGTGATAATAAACAAAAAATTGAAGAATAACTTTAAGCAAGTTCTGGCATTCCCTATCCATTAACTACAATCTTATTGTCCTAATCATAATATGGAAACAATGCTTTTAAAGGGCTTAACAGTTTCTGAATATGCTGCTAAATGTCTGGAAAGTTTAAGCTCTCAAATCTGTTGGTTTGGAAAATAACACTGTTATCTCCTCCATCCATCTCCAGTGAACAGCATCAAGATTTGGCATTCACTAAATCAAGAAGATTCTCTGCAAATGTTCAACTAGTAACAATTGATTACTGAAAAGGCTGAGAGTTTGGTTTGGTTGCATAAAATGATCCTGCTCGCTGATTTTATGTCCAAAATGGTCTTTCGTGCCTGTCACTTCTCCACATAGTGCAACACCATTAAGGCTGAAAAACCCTGTCGTTGCCATAAAATGTTCTGGAGATTAACATGAGTCGTGGCTGCTTGGCAATAAGCTTTTGTTTGCATTTTACTTACAGAGAATTAACTCCCAGCTCGTGGATCTAGGCATAGCAGCGCCGCCATCGATGCCTCGCATTCGCGTTCACGAAATAACACAGGACGGTTCTGATGATTATAATGATGGTCATGCCTTCTCGAAATGGCATGACTAGCCTTTGTTCTCTCCTGCGTCACTCCTATTGTTAGGCATGACCAAACATAGGGAACCAGCGTTATGGGCATGACTAAAACACAGGGTTTGGTCATGCTCATAGTTATGGGCATGACTAAATTGGAAACCCTCTGTTTTAGTCATGCCCGACAATAGAAGAGCGCCTTCGGAGGGCTCCATATTCTTGGGTGGAACCATAGGGCTCCAAAGGCGAATGGCCTGAGCTATTTCATCAGGAGAATAGGACTTTATTCTTACGAAAATATAATTTTTTGAAAAATGTTAACTCTGAAAATAGATGGTCATGCCCGGCATGACAAGCATGACCGCTAGCTACGCCACTGACGATATCGCTGATATAAAACATATAATATAAAGCATAAAAACCTCGTAATTTATTTCTTAAATTTTGTTTTTTATTACATTTGAATAATTTAATTTCATTTTATTTAAAAATTCACCTTGGAAAACCAAAAAACTAGATGCTAACTAAACGAGTTTATCACTCATAATGATAATTAAAATTTGAGCCAAACTTTTCCAGATTTCTCCTTTTGGTAACAGTACTTGTTGCTTCTTCTACTCTTCGCAGTGCTCCAGCACTTAAAACCTTCTTCTCTAGACGCTTTCTACAAGAATTATCGATCTTTTTTATATCAGTCAGCCTTGTATACCTAAGCTTACTTTCACTAGTCTTTCCTTTTCGTTGTTTCGGCCCTGCTCCCAGGTTAGTGCCAATTGCCATTGCAACATCCTTACGTATCTCATCAGCTTCTTCTTGGTCTCTTTTTCGCTTTTTCTCTGCCTCAATTGTCTGGTCTTCAGGGTTTGTTGGCTCACCAACATCATTTCTTGGTATAATCTTCCCATGAAAGGGACATTTCACCCTGCCAAAAGAGTGGAATGAGAAAGTGAGAAATTTGGAAAAATATAAAATTAAGGCTCCCTTGATTTTTCAAATGTATTTACAGGGTATAAAACAAATAAGAATACATAAGAACATTTAACAGAATTCTGTTCATTCCTAAAAACTATTTAAGGATGCAGCATTTGTACACACAGTGATTCTATCGCACCACAAAAATCCCTATAAATATAAAAATTATGTGATTTGAAAACAGTAATGATTTGCTATGAAATATTTGTTACCTGTCTTGCCTCTCACACAGTTTTCCATTTGGCATTGGTGCTCTGCACTTCCATTTAACCTTCTCAAATGTACCTGCGAATATCATGGCACGGCTCCTTAGTGACTCCTCAAGCCCTGCTGGAACAAACTCTTCATTGTGCTCTCCATTACACCAAAATTTATGCAAAGAGTCATTTTTGGTTATTGGTGTGATGTGCAACTTTTTAGAGCTCCAGTACCTCAAGTCATTATCAAAAGGAATAACAGGTGCTTTCTTAAGGAGCTCCTTTGCCTTTGCTTCCTTTTCTGATGACACTGGTAATTCTGATTTGTTTCTAGAAGAGTGTGGTTCTAATTTTTCTGTTGTCCATGATTTACCTTCCTCTTCCTGGCTTGTAGCCAAGATCCCTTCTGAAAAAAGAAGGGATCTAAACTGTAAAAAACTAACTAAAAATAAAATAATACAGAAAGTGGACAGCAAACTCACAGGGAACAATAAGGGCTTGGTAACCCTTAGTTAAGAGTCTCCATGATGGAAACTATTAAAAAATCTGTCTTTGAAATCCCAGAGCTAGATTTGGCAGAAGCGACCTAGCCATAAAACACATTTATTATACCACAGCTCTGTTGGGTGCTTCTGTAGGTGGACAAATGAATTGAAAGCAATGATTGATTTTGCAGGGAGTTTACACTGCAGTAGCAGCAAATTCCAGTGAAATGTATGTAAAAAGCTAAATTTTGAAAATGGCATAATTTTAGCACCTGACTTTTCCAAACTACGTTAAATTTTCAGCACAGGCTTCTTTCAACATGAAATTTCCAATTCAATGATCTCTATTGATAAAGACATAAGTTTCAATAGAGACTTATTATGGCTATGATTGAAACTGCTTTGATACCTTCATTTGCTACAATGAAAGTTTCAGACTCTGGAACATCTAAAAATTCTTCATCATTGTCACTGTCATTAATGCCAAAGTTATCACTTTCTGTATCCTGTTTCTTGTGAATAATTTCAAGATCTTTGTGCTTATCAAGCAAATCCTGAAGTTTGTTTTTCAAGTCAATGCACCTTTGTATCTGGTTACTACCATTATTACACTTTGTCAATATGTTGATCCATTTGTTAAGATGAGGTAAATATCTGCTCTCTGTTTCATTGACAATATCTTGAAGAGACTTCAATAAATCTGCATTATCCTGTGTCTCATTGATTACAGTTTTTCCTAAAGGTATAGTTATTGTCAAACTGTAGTTTTTCCCAGATATTCCATGATAGCTACAAGTATCTGTGCTATCATCTAAAGTCTCTGCTGCTACATCTTCTTGTGACCCATTATCATCATGGGAATTACTGTCATGCAAAAAGCTAGTTCCTTGCTCCCCATCCTCTGTTCCATATAAATCACAAGGTCTTGGCAAAATTAAACTTAAACAGTTATTTCCTTGTAACACTGATGACTCAATTTCTGTACACATATCTTCCATCTCTTTTCTTACAGTCTCCAATGATCTTTGTTCAATTTCTCTGCGCCTTCTTTCCAACTCTTCTTCTCTGTTTCGTTCTAAGGATGTCCTTGATCTCATTCCAGCAAAATCTACCCTTTTAACGTTCTTTAAATAGTCGTAGGCAAGCTCTAGCTTCTTGTAATGTTTTCCGTACTTTTCGTTCCAACTATCAATCCTAGACAAGGCAAATAATTTCAGCTTCTTGGCAGTGCTAAGCGGGGGTGGTAATTTTTTCTCATCGCTTGTTTCAAGGCAAAGCTCCATTATCTGCTGGAAGTCTTCGAAAACAAGCTGTCTAAATACGTGTGACCTACTGAACAGTTCATCTAATATTTGAAAACAAGAGAATCGGATTTCAGAGTGCTCCTTTTCCATTTGAGAAAGTATAATGCGATACACCAACTTTATGTTGGAATCAGATTTCTTGCAAATCCTTTTCAAAGATTTGAGAGACTTCTCGCTAAGTTTTGCCTCCCCACTAGTAGAGAGTTCCTCAACAAGTTCGAAGAGCTGTTCTTCGTCATTTTTCTCCAAACACTTGCTTTCCATCTTGTCGTTTCATTAGACTTGACTGTGAGTGATAAATAACAAACAAAACGTAGAACATTTACATCCTGCCTCAGTTTCGCATTCAAAACAAATTCACTTTAGGATTACGTCATTCCTCGTCAACCTCCTTACATGAAGTACCGAGAAACCATACCCGCCAAAATCCGGGAATGGCGGTAATTACGAAAGGAAATTTTTGTGATTTGAATTGTAACTGATTTTGCTGATATCTATCAATCATAGATCCACGAAAAACATCGGTATGCTGTAAGGTTTTTTCAATTTCTCAATTTCTTTCCTTATGAATGCAAGGCATACACGACGGGGAATAACCGGGGTTGCCGTCGTTGTTTCTTCTCACTCACACTTTTCCTTCCTCACCCCTTCTACAATTTATAATTTTCTTGTTCAATTTCTAATGACAAAAAAATTTTGTTTGAAACGTTGAATTGATGCTAAACTTTGATCCAACTTATGATTCGAAAACTGATTTCGTAAATTTAGGCCTTATGTTATGCAACCGGAAGGAATTTGATATGCAGCTTTGATAATTACAATAGGAATAAAATTACAATTGTCAGGACTCATGACCGAGTCTCATCAGTTCGTTCACAAGAATCAGATTATTGAATTTCTCTTAAAAGCCAGGCAGATAACTACAAAAAATTGTCTTTTGTAGTTTGTGTTTTGAAAATTCATGCTTTTGGCAGACCAGATGTGCTTAGCAATCTGAAATCTAAGCCAGGTCAAGCTAATTTCAAGCAAAATCACTATTTCAATGCTGGACAAAACATAATATATTACCTGGATGCACAATATATGGTTGATAAATTACTGCATCAGGAGCATTTGCCTGGTGTTTCATTTGGGAATGATTAGTCATGCATCCAGGAATAAATATTTTCATTGTAAAGAGCGATTTCTGGATGCTGACAATTCAATTATCAATCACTGATTTAAGCCAATCAACTTGAAAAACTCTTTTTGAGAACTTTGACATTGATTTTCCAAGAACTGACACATGCTCAATTCTCGTTTCCTATTTGTTGGTCAGATGGAGGGTGCCTTGGCAAGGTATAATATGGAGACATGACACACTTCATAAATTTGTTTCTATTTCCTGAAGCTATTTTTGCCTGTTTTTTCTTTAACTTTGCTGAACAAAATTGAAACCTGCTCAGTATTCTGAAGTCATTGAAACTTCACTATATGGCACATTGCCCTTGACAACAATTTGATTTGGTAATCACTCTTTTTGGCCCAAGTCAGATGGTGATAATGAGGTCAAGAAAAACATGATTAGATAAAATATGAACTTTGCAGAAAAGAGTCCCAGGCCCACTCAAAACTGTTTTCATTTTGTATCAATTTGTTTCTTACCACATAGGCCTTCTGTTTACAATGAAACAATCCAATCTGATATGATTTGTACCATTTTCTAGTCTGCATGCAGACTTTTCAATGGTGCTTATCTTCTTGTAACCAAGCCAGGAGGTCATAACATCTTTAGGGAATCTAGTTTTTATCTAGCTTCAAATTGAATTTTAATTCTTTGTGCATAAAAGTGCTTGCCTGGAAACCTAATGTACCAAGGTAACACAAGTCACATGATAACAATGATTATATGGCTAGCATGAAAAGACACCACCAAAGGCATTCAATGAAAAGGGGACTGTAATGATTTGTTCCTTATAAAGGTGGAAAGCCACCTCATTGGCCATAAAGATAAAGAGTTTGAATATGGCTATATAAACAGGAAAATTTTTGTGTCAGACTGGGAAATTGAATCTGATATTGATGAAAATATTGTTTAAACAGGAAGTAAGACTATTTCCTGTAAAGGTCTTAGCTTATAGCCTTGATAAGGCATGCCATAAACTGCACCTCTTAGGAAAGAAGGAGGTGCCAAAATCTGCATGTGCAATGGCAAGCCTTTCAGAGGCAGCTTGTATCAATAACTTTTGGTTGTTGTTTCAACAGTCAGTGCTGCTGTCAATCATTTTTTGTTGATCAATACTCACTCTGGTATTTTTATGGCTGAATAATCAAAGGATGTTAACTTGAAGTACTGATAATAAAAGAAGCATTGTGACCTGAAAATCACTTGCTTTGTCAGGTTTAAAGTTCAAAAACAATTCTACAGTCCCTGATTTTATAATTGGCGCCTCTGAATTGGAACAAGGTGTTTTTCTTCATGGTTTACTTTTTGCGTTTTGATTCTTCTTTATTGCTTTAGTGTCATATTTTCTGTTAATGAACTTGAATTTTATTTTTCATTTCTACAATGTTTAGAAGTATATTATATGTTATGATGTTATTTGCTTACAATAGAAAAAAAGCTGTGAATACAAAATGGAAAGCCAATCTAAGGAACATTTTTGGTCTTGTAGGTACCAAAAGAGTGGAATAAAATGTAAACTTTAGAAGGAAGAATCATCTTGATGCCAAACTTGAGGGTTTCTCTAAAGTATGAAGAAATTTGAACTCCAGTGTAATGCCAAAGTCAAGTCAAAGTCAGGCAACATTGTTCCAGACATGGGGGTACTCAGGAAATACCCACACAGAGCCATTACAACATCCTGAAAATAAAATCTCCAAAAAGAAGGAGAAATGTGAATCAAAAAAAGGAAAGTCTGCGGGACAAGCTGGGAACAGAAGTCTGATAGAAAAGAAGACAGAAACAGAAAAAGATAATATTGCAGAATGTTTAGAAAATGATGATGTAATAGAACTCTGTGAGGCTATAGAAAAAACAAATAAGGACACATTTCTTGATAAAAATCACAATCCAAATTGCACTCCAGAAAACTTACCAGGTTTTGATTCTTCTTCTGGACATAACTACATCTATCCAATAAATTACCCAATAAGAGAGTATCAATTTAGAATTATAAAGGAAGCACTAGTTCAGAATACACTTGTTGTTTTACCAACTGGCCTAGGAAAGACATTTATTGCTGCTGTTGTGATGTATAACTTCTATAGGTGGTATCCTCGAGGCAAAATTTTGTTCATGGCTCCAACCAAGCCTCTTGTTGCACAGCAGATTGAAGCATGTTATAGTATAACTGGCACACCCCCTGAGGATACTGCTGAAATGACAGGTATATTTTTTGTATGGGTATTGTGGCAATGTACTTTGAAGTGTCTTGTTTGATGAAAGGATATAGGGCAGGAGTGGTGATTCTTTTAAATATTGGTCTATTTAAAGATTGAAAGTAAAACTTTTAGAAAATTCTCTGAAATTACCCAAAAGGTAAGCATTTCTTGGGTTTTAAGTTGACATTATCCTCTAAAAAAGTTCCCAAGCAGGCAAAGAACATTTTTATTATTCATAAGACATTTTCAAAAGGCCAAACTTCCATAAAAAAATATCTCTTAACACCCTTCTATAAGCCCCCATTTGAACACATCCGTTTGTTTACAGCTGCCTTTGTCATAGCCCAGGATTCAGATCCATATGGTGTTATTGCCAAAGCTGTTGCTCACAGTAGTCTTAATTTCATATATCATTAGATACAAATGAAAGCTATGTCCACTTTTTTCATGAAGGGTTACTGTTTTACTTTGTATTATATATTTCTTTATTTTTTAAAACATATTGTTGTTTTTAGGAGCAATGCCTCCAGCAAGGAGGAAGGTACTGTGGGAAACAAGAAGAGTTTTCTTCCTTACCCCTCATATTTTGCAAAACGACCTTGGTAGAGGAACATGCAGTGCTGAAGATATCATCTGCTTGGTCTTTGATGAAGCACACAAAGCTCTTGGCAACTATGCGTATTGTCAGGTAAAATGGGTCTGCTTTGGTTGTTTTACTTTGTCACTTGCATATCATACAGTTTGTAGCGAGCCTATTTGGTTAAACAATTTGGTCTATTACAATAAGTAGTTTCATTGCTTCTGCAAATTGTCTCTTTTGATAAGAATCGCTTTACGTATCACCAATGTTTTTTTATTTGCAAATTTACTTCTTAAGCTTTATAATGAGATAATAAATAATTTAGTAAAATGATAATAATATGGGATGTAATAAAATTAGGTTTAGGAATCTGAAGCTTTTTCCTGGGCCATTAGCACAACTTTAGTTAGCTTGTCTCAGAGTTGAGATCAATATTAATCAGGACCCTTTGCCAGTGTGAAGAGGAGGATCTTGTTAGCATCTCATGTAGAGATTTAAAAGACTTTGTAGCAGATCTTGTTGCTCTTTACCAACACTAGAAACCACCTTAATGTCATTAAAACTTTTTCATCACTAACAAAAAGATTCTTTTTTGGGAGGTAAAAATCTTGTGTACAGATTGAGTGACATCAATCTCGTCCTTTGCTAGGTGATAAAAGAAGTGGCTGGTGTTAAGAGCAATTTTCGTGTGCTTGCACTTAGTGCTACTCCTGGTGGAGATATGAATGTAAGTCATGTGTTTTACCATGTATTTTATGCTTATTTGTCTCTTTAATGAGAAATTTTTTATCATAAAGTACGTTTTGGTTTCTTTAGTTCTCAAAACACGATTTATGCTAGTTGTCTGTGTGTTTGTCTCCGCGGTATATAATTTTGGAACTAGCATATTTTTGACTTATTCTTTCTCTTTTTGATTAGGCTGTGCAGCAAGTTGTCACCAACCTCATGATTTCACAGGTTGAACTTAGAAGCGAGGAGTCAGATGATATAAAGCCGTACGTATTTGGCAGAAATGTTGAAAAGATTGTTGTCCCACTCAGCAGTGAGCTGAAGGAAGCCAAAGCAGAGTTTTTAAAGGTTGGTGTTTTTGTTGGGCTCTTTTTTGTATTGTCGGAAGCTCTCTTCCTGATTTGTTTACAGAATTTTGTTACATACAAGAAAATTGTATTCGTTACAGTAACCGAGTTAATAATTGCAGACACATCATAATTTTTGAATGATGACAAAGACTTTAACTGTGCTTTAGTCCTATACATTGGGATATTATTTCCTAAGGAAGATCTTTATGTCAATCCACAAATTTTGTGGATCTTCATTTTATCGATCTACGTGGTCATTTTGTAGTATCACGAACCGGGATAAGGATTTTCTCATTGGCTTTCTCCTTTTCATCTAGGTTCTTGAATGCATAGTTCAGCGACTCTGCACTCAAGGTGTGTGCTGGCAACATGACGCAGGAAAAATTTCCAAATTCTTCTTGTTGAAAGCAAGAGACCAATTTCGTGCACGTGGCCTGGAAGATAGAGTACGTTTTCAAATTTCTATGTCATAGACTTCCTCTTTTTTAGTAATTAGATTTCAAAGGTGAAAACGATCTACACAATAAACAGCTTCCTTGGTTTTGTAGATCTGAAGCGACATCCAAGCAAAACGTTTCGGTTAATTGGCAGAGCCCCGGTAGTCGTTTGATATAACAGTTTTAGAATCTATATACATAAACATGAAAACCCTTATTATGTAGACAGAGAGGTCCTTTTCACCGTTGGACTTCATTGGTAACATTCTCAATAAGCATGCACTGACTGGGCAACCTTTACTTACACTCATGTGCTTGCATTTTTTATTGGTATTTTTGATCCACAACCGGGTTGAAATATTTCCTTGCTTAGAATTTTCGATCATTATTTTGTCGTTTAATGCTCTGTAGAGTGTCAGATGAAAAGCTTCAGTGAGTGCCACATGAGTTAGAGCAAATGTACGTTTAAACATGTTAAGATTTGTATAATCTGTGTGAGATTGCTTCTGAACCTTTCTGTTTTTTCTCATTGATTATCATGTCAGTTAATGCGAGTGAAATGAGTGAGATTAATGAATATCTTTATGAAATTTCGATTTTTTCTGCAGCTGTTATATGGCTGACTAGCTCTAGATTCCACTTTGGTTGTTTAAAAAATCCAGAACAAGCAATTACCTGAACTGACAATGTTTCGTTTCAGAATCGAGTTGGGCTGATTGAAGGCGACTTTGCTCTAGCCATCTCTCTGTACCATGCATATGAGTTACTACAGCAGCATGGGATTCTTTCATTTTATAATTTCATAAAAGAAGTTTATTGTGGTACAAAGGGGACTGCACGATGTCGCACTGAGTTAATGAAGCATGAAAAGTTTATGGAGATGATGAACGGCCTTCAGCAGCGCATAGAACCACCTGATGATGCAGATGTGTCTCTGAATGGGTCGTTCTTTGAGTCGCTGACACCAAAAAGACGCTTATTGAAATCGATACCAAAGCCGAACTCGTTGTTTTCAAGCCACCCTAAGCTGCAAAAGCTAGAAGAGATTGTCGTGGACCATTTCGAGAAGAGCAAGGAGAAGGAGCCAATACATTCCAGCCAAACACCGTTGAACACAAGAATAATGATATTTTCTCAATACAGAGACAGTGTTCAAGAAATTACCGCGGTATTGAGCAAGCATCAGCCGCTTGTCAATGTTATGTCGTTCGTTGGGCAAAATGGCGCTGGTAAGGGCAAAAAAGGATTGACTCAAAAAGAACAGTTAGAGGTAACAATTTCAATTGTAAGTTTCTTAATTGCGAGGTCCTATCATGTATGCTGGTTGGTCAAACTGCAGGACAAAGGATTTGCTGATCAACAAAAAGACAAACTAAGATAGCTGGGAATGCCACGTTTTCTCAGTCAGTTCCTTTAAATACCCCCTCCTTTTCGTTACGCGTTTGGAGTTGTTGTTCTGCCCTTTGCTCTTGAACTTCCTTTATCTTTTAAGGGCTCGGTCATGTAGTCCCCATTATAATTTGGCAATGTTTGAACGACCTAACATGGTAGATAACAACTTGACCGATCTGAGGTTTTGGCTAACCCGTGGTCTTGACTGACCCGTGGTCTTGGCTGACCCATGGTCTTGTCTGATCCGAGATTCTGACTGATCCTGTCCAAAAGCATAGTAGATTTTTTCTTTTCTCTTCCACATCAACCTGCGAACAACTGTACTACCTTTACTTTTAGCATATCTCACGTATTTTTCCTTTGGAGAAGCAGCTTTTTAATACCAGTAATTCACCGAAACTGGTTTTAATTTTTAGGGTTGTCCTTTGAAATGTTGAATTTGTTGAATCAATGGATGACCAACCTACTTTCACGGCAATACTTCAATCTCTTCGATATTTCTATTGCGTGATTTTGTTGCAGGTCATTGAAAGGTTCAGAAAAGGAGGGTACAACGTACTTGTGTCAACTTCAGTTGGAGAAGAAGGCTTGGATATTGGTGATATAGATCTTATAATATGTTTTGATGCTTCGAATTCACCAATTCGTCTTGTACAAAGAATGGGCAGAACTGGAAGGAAACGGGCTGGAAAAATTATCATTTTAGTCACTGAGGGTAAAGAAGACCAGGTTTGTTGTGTTCAATAGACGGATTTGGCTTAAGCGGGTAGCTTTTTTTAACCAGGCGGATTACTTTTTAGAATGAATAACATTCTTTTTTGTAGACAAGTTTAATTTATTTTTCTTATTTAAGGGTCATTTATCTGCTTTATAATTATACCATCCTGAACGTGGATAAAATCAGTTTTAAATTAGTAAAAGAATGTTTCTTTTTTGAATTTAAAACGGATTTTCATGATAGAATTCGTTTTTGTCGAAACATGCTTTAGATGGGTGACTCTTCTCAAAGTGTACGAGCCTAGTTTAGATTTCATTGCCATCTTCAAAATAAAATACCCCTTTTAACAGGTGTGATGCCTTTGATGTTTTAGATATACAAAAGGAGTTTAGTGAATAAGAAAAGCATTCACAAAAAGCTAGCAGATGCAGGGAACTCGCTGGTTTTGTTTGACGAAAACCCTAGGATGATACCCAAGCAGTTGAACCCTTTTTGCCTGAAAATGCAATTCACTGTTAAACCGAAGCAGACCTCGAGGTGATATCATGTAAATTTCATTTTGTGGCATGGTGCTCGTTTTTGTTTATGCCTTACGTTTTATGCCTCATTGTTTGACTATGCCTTACGTAGTTTGTTTCGTGCTTGACGTCTTTCAATCAAACTATTTCAGTCGTGGTGTAAAGAGAAAATCAACGGACAACCAAGGCAAAACATCTCGTAAAAAGTCGGGTAATGCTAGGACCGAAACGATATCAAAGCGACCTGAACAGAAGATTATTGACGCAGATGGTGAGTTGTTTGCCATTTGGGAATTTTCTTAAGTTTTCTTGCTAAATTAGGCTAAGTGAGAAATGCAATATAGAAGTGTTAGTAGCAAGAATGACTAAAATATGTGATCCTCATCAACATAGTTGCTCATCAAAGAGTATGCCCAGGTGTTAAAGTTGTCTAAATAAACAAGAATGTTGATGTGCGCCACAATCGTCTTTTAAAGAGTTGTTACAATTTCACTATTATTCAGCATCTTTCATAAGTGATCACTATATTTTAAGACAAAAGCTTGGCATTCTTAAGTTTATAGATCTTTTTCGCTATAATGAACTCTGATAAATATCCCGTCCCTATATAGCATACCTTGTTTTCTTAAGACTGTAGATATGATTTCATATTTTTAGAAGCTGCTGATGAAGAAGAGAACATGCAGTTTGAAGATGATGGGATCGAATTCGAAGATTCCAAGAAAAAGAAGAGGAATTCAACCAAAAGGAGCAAGAAGTCTACTGAGGAAGGAAAGGAAAACCGTAGAAAAAAGGTTGAAGATAAAAAAGAAAAAGGTAAGAAAATTGGAAAACAAGAGAAAATTGACAAAGCGAAGGCTTGGAGACAAAGTACGTTGGCAAGAGCTGATATTAATGAAAATGAGAGTCAAAATTATGAGGATTTCGATGGGGTTGTTAACATGCCTACTAAATATACAGAGGATGGAATGAAAGAAGATTCCTGTGATGAAACTAATAAAGAAATACTCGATCTAGATAAAGATGATAAGGAGAATGGAGATTTAACGAAGTATGAAACTACCGTAGGTTCCACAAAAATTTGTGGCCCTTCGAAAAGTATCCACGTGTCAGCTGATATTGAAATAGATATGGCAGAGCTTGTATATGATCAAACTGTTGCTTTTGGAACACCAGCGCCGAAAGGATCAACTGATGAAGCTGACGATATGCAAAATATATCTGATTATCTTTCAAATAGTGATTTTAAACCACACTTTCGAAGTGAAAAGCAGTTATTTCGTGAGAGCGAGTTTCATAATAAACGTGAACCTGTTCCCCCTGCTCCAGCTACTGCGGATCTAGATTTACTGTTGGATGACTCCCCTGGTAGAAATGAAGAAGATCGGTTGATTGACGATGACGAAATGCTCGATGTTGCGGATTCAGAGACTACAGAGGATCGAATGTCAAGTTGTCATTCCTCCGAGGTTGATGTTCTTGGTTGTGCGGTTACCGAAGAGATTCTAGAGATGTCAAATGACATGTTCTTTGATAATGTTGAAAACGATGTTGATCAAGAATGTGTGGGTGATTTTAATGAAGCAGACGAGGTCTCTGGACCTGCCGTGAAATTAGAAGGCGAAAACAACGAGCTAGGCAAGGTTGCGTTCAACAATGGCAAGATTTATACGGAAGAAGATGAAGATGGAGGACATGTAGGGTGTGGTGATAATAATAAAAAGAAAATTTATTCGGAAGTAAACACTCGAGACTTTGCAGAGAAGCTGTATAGTAATGCTGTAAGCGCAAATGTTGATTGCTATAAATCAGATTTGGAAGACCTTGATTTATCAACATCGTGTTTGTTTGGAGATAGCCTGTGCTTTGATGAAGATGAATTTCAAGACTGCCCATCTCCTCCTGTTGTTGTTCAAAAACAGACCTTTAAGTCGGTAAGTGGTAAAGAAAATACGGGGGGTGAGTACACGATGCTAGCAGGGGTTTCTACATCAACGAAGCTCGGTGAGAACTCAGAAAGGAATGTTGAAGATAAAAGTTCTACGGCAATGCATGATCATGACGACGTGGTCAGTACGGTAACGGATGGCAAATGTATGAGTATAGGGAAAAGACCTGAGAATAATGAGCTGGTTAGCAATTCAGCTCCTTTTCAAGGAGATTCTTTGCTTGATTGTGAATCAGACGAAAATGACATTTGTGACGATTTCCCGATCTTGTCGCTCGCTAGTCGTCTTCAAAAGAAGGGAGTATTGGGTGTTGAGGGCGAAAGGACCAAACATTATCATATTGATTCTAGAAATATATCTCCTTTGTGTGATACTGCTTTTGAACCAAAAATCGGTACGTCGTCGTGTTCAAGGAACAGCTCCTCGTTAGCCAAAGTCAACGGAAAAATTTCTGAGAGGAAATGTATAGATTCTGTGAAAAGTGATAATGACTCCGAAGGTGACAGCGAATTTCCAGTTGCCTCTCTAACCACTCGTCTCAAGAATCGTGGTGTAAATGTTTTACGTAATGAATCAGAAAACCATATCAGGGCAGACGACAACAAAGGTTTTAGTACAGCATCGGTTTCAAAACGGCCGAGTGACAATATAGTTGGGTCGCCAAATGCTAGTATTGGAACTTTTAATGCGGACTTCAATCTTTTCTCGATACCGACGCAAAATTTATATGTTGAGAAGAAGATTGTAGATTTAGAAAGAGACGAATCTCCTATCAAGAAAAGTGAAGCTTCAAGAACAGGAAAGCATGTGATGTTCAGCTCACAGAACGAGTGTTTTTCGTTTAGGAATGAAAATATTAGAGAGGATAGGGCTGACATGAACATGTTATCACAAGATGAAACACCGGTAGCTCATAGCAAACGGAGAAAACGCAGGGTTATATTAGACGATTCGCCAGTACCAGGAAAAGAAAATATAGAGAAACAGGATAGTGAAGATTCTGATGAAGAAGTTTGCATTTTGCGAAGGAAAAGGAAGACGACAAAGAATCGGGTTTTGAAGTCACCGTTAGCTCAAAATGTCGACCAAACCTCTGATGAAGATTTCGACAACGAGTCTGCAGGTACACCTATGTTTATGTTGCTTTGAGAATTAAGTAAGAGACACCCCCTCTTCACCTCCCTTTAATTAATGTCAATGTAACAGTACAATGCAATCAACATAGAATTTGCTGCATTTTTACAGACTCTTGTACATTTAAAATAAAACCCAGATTTTAATCTTCTATAAATGCACTTCGTTTCTTCTTCCCTTTTCAAATCTCTCACCAAAACGATTATTTGTAGACTAAGTGCCCTTTTTTTTTTATTTTGATTTCAATTATATGCTTACGATTTTCAGTTTAGTTTTATTGAACCTCCGCTAGGTGAAGAGCCATTGCAGCGTGGTCATCGAGATGGCAAAATTATTACGAAGGTAAGCAAATTGAACGGTTTCAAGACTAAAATGCAGAGACAGTGTTAGTTGTTTTTTTTAATCCTGTTTGTTATAAGAAGTAACAAATCTTATTTGAGTCTTGTCCATGCAATCTTCGTTTGAAATATGAATTGCGACCATAAACATTTTGTAAACATAAAGAAGGCAAAAAAAATAAACCATCCGTGAATTGAGCTTTCTCATAATATTTAACGGAAACAGCTACATTGATAACATAAATTGTACTGATAATGAGATGAGTAGAAAAATGTACTTTTTGATTTCAGGTTTTTTTATATCATTAGTCCGTTAAGAATGTTATAAGTTTGCATTTTAGGTCATTTCCCTCCGAATACGTTTTATTGCTTTAGATTTGTCAGCAATTAAGAATATAATCAAATTTCTTAGAACGCCTCGAAGAAGAAGCACAAAGGTATCTCTGACTTCTTTGATGACGAAGTGGAAGTAACTGATGACGAAAGTGGCGATGAGTGTGACATTGACTGCAATGAATACGTAATGGATAGTTTTATTGATGACGCGACACAGATGACGCAAAGGACACCTATGCGAAATAAAAAAGGTGAGAAACTTAAGCAATCATACTTGCAGCAATTTGCATGTGCATCGAACGAGAACCGTCTTGACTGAGTAGAAGGACAGCAGAACGCGTGAAAGTGAGAAAGCCCAAAGACTGGTGCTGCAAGTTTCTATTTCACGGCCTTATTCTATAACAAACTGTTTAAAACTGATACTCTATGGTGTCTTATGTATGAAAGTATAGGTACTGACTGGAATAGGGTGCCATAGCAGTTTATAAAGCAGAATTTTTATTAATTACTGATCACCTATCACAGAACGGTACCTAGAGCTACACTGAACGTCTCAATTTGCATATCTAGGTCAAATATTAGAGATTTAAGATATTGAAGTGTTTTATCAAATGCAACGGGAATTATGGAACAGTTTATACTATTCAATGATACCCCTAGGGAAGCCCGTAAAATGTCACTGATCCAACATGCAACGTTCTGTCATTTGGCCCAGCTGATATGAATTAATGATCTATAAAGATTTGTGTATTATTTATCACTATGCTGCCAATTTTCTTTGTTTCTTCAATACTAGTAAGTACAGGCTGAAAGTGCGGATAAAATAACTCTTTTCGTTGGTTTCTATATAAATTGAACTCTAATTTGTTTTTGTGTCATTTGGAACTTATATCTAGATCTCTTTGTCTCTTTACAGGTGCACGCTCACCCGCCGACATGGCAATGGTTTATAGGCAGTCTTTGTTCAGCCCTATGTATTCAGCACTAAACTTCGGCACGCCTGCTTTCAAAGCAAATCGAAACAAATACAAAATGGTTGAAAGGGATGATTGGCAACACCCAAGGTTAGGTCCAGCTTGTTTTTTCGTATACCAAAATGAAATTTTTCTTTATCGAGATTGCTTTATCTATCAAATTTTCTGAAAATTTACGTTGTTGCTGAATGTCATAAAATGACACCATCCTGGATTGTTGAAATAAAAGGCTAATTGAAAGATATCGTTAAAGTATTGGCTGGTTGAAAAACCATAGATCATGTACTTTTAATGACTGCCAAGGAGTTAACAGAAATTTCAAAAACAACAGTTTTACCGCTGGATTCTATATAACAACTCTGTACACTCTCAAGGTAAATTATTCTCTTGAAAATCTCTAGGTTGTTGTGTCATGCCAGTTTTACTGTCTTAATAAATCAATGTTTTGACTTTTAGTGACGAAAACGATGATGAGGCCGAGGAGGTAAATTGTTTGAGCGAGGTTTGCTCCGAGTATGAAGAAGACATTTTTGAGGAAAATAGTCACGTGATATCTGACGATGCTGATGTCAGTAAATATGACAAACGAAGCTCAAGTGAAGATACTAAGCCAAGGAAGAAATCACGTGTAAAAAGAATCATTGATACTGATGATGATGATGAGGATGAGGTTGCTATTGACAAAGTGATGAACGATTCAGGTAACAAGGAAGTGTCTGCTGAGGCAAAGAATATTGAGAATATGGAACTAAATGCTTCACATTATCGGCTAGTGGACGTATCTTCCAAACTAGATTTAGAAGATTATGGAGGAGTTTTGCCAGAGCTCCAAAAAGACTGTTTTCTACCTTGCTTTGATCTTGGACTGGGGTTAAGTGCTAGAGATTTTGAGCTGATTTCTTGTCCTGACGAGGTTTGTGTGCGCATACCAAGTTTCTTTGCCTAGCAGAACTCAGAATAAGTGTCGTTTCATTAATTTTTTGCAAATAAATCTCAGATTTGGTGTTGTTATCTAAAAAGCAAGCAGGATATTCCATCATACTGTTGCTTTGTTGCTTGCTTTGCAATTACCCTACCCTTTTTTTGCTTGCGCTTTTACTCATTTATTTAAAAAGGTCTTCTGGTAACCATGCATCTTCATCTTAAGTAATTAATGAGTTCCTTGGAATTTGTTTGCAGTTTTCTCCTTAATAGACTTTTAAAACTATATGTCATAAAGATTTCAAAAATGCAACAGATTTTAATTCTTTTTTAAGCCAGTGATATCGGAGAGAAAACCTCAATTACAATCAAGAATCGTCGATACACCTGATCTGCAATCAAGAAGCAATGGGAAGCCTGCTTTGCAATCAAGAGCCAATGGGAAGCCTGATTTGCATTCACGAGCAAATTATCAACAGGAGAAAACTGTCAAGGCTGTTGGTAGCCTAGAGAAATCTAACGAAGAGAGACCATGCATTTTTGTTCACACCAAAACAGTTACATCCAGTCAGGTGAGTCTTTTTTTGTGGAACAATTTTTTATTTATTCCCAGCAAAACGTCTTACTTTGCTTAAAATTCTTTCTAAAATGGCGATTATAATTTTATGGCTTTTACTTGCAAGAAACTAAATAGAAGTTTTCTTTTAAAGATCGGCTCACTCCTTCGATTAAAGCACCATATTCAAGTCACTGTTTGCTCAAAGCTTGGCTGTGATTTCGTCGTCAGTAAAAGAATGGGTGTGCTGAGGAGACTGTTATCAGGTTTTTAATGACTTTTCTTTTAATTTACTTTCGAACCATTAAGGTTTGGAGGATTCAGTTTGATTGCTTGTTAGCAACGAAACGGTACCACCTTGTACGGGGACATTGTGAATGGAGACAATAGGTCAAAATTTCCCGAGATTAATAACAGGGTTTTCATATTGCTGAAAGTTTTCATTTTGCTGAAAGTTTCATTATACTCATGATGAATCACTGCTTTAAATAGGACATTTCTGTATGGACATGAAAGATGTATAACAACATCCAACCAGCTTAGAGCATATCAATGTTATGTAAAAAGAACAAAGTATTTAAGAGACTTTGTTGCATTGATGATTACAACGTAGGAAAATTAAGGATGTCACTAATTGGGGCAAGGGTTAGGCTGCCCATGCAGTTCAAAAATGGGAGTACAAATGCAAATACCTTTCTCTGCATAACTGCTGTTGTGTTTGGCAAATTGAAAGCAAGATTATAGTGTCATTCTGGTCATGTATTATACAATTAATAGTTATGATATAATGTATTCATATTTGTTATCGTGGTCATAATAATAGCCTACCTAATTTTGTAGATAATAACACTGCAGACACTGTTTTTTTACAGATATCGCCCACAACGCTAAGAACGTAGAAGCCATTAAAGAACTTTCCGATAATTACAGCAAACGTTGTATTATTATTGAGAAAGATCGCGTCAAAGGAGGATCAGCCGGTGAAAAGCACGTGTATGCATCTTTTGATACTTATAATTGATCGATGAAAAATATTTTAAAGTGTCTTCAGCTCATTATGTCTTTCCGGCTAAGGCTATCCCTATAGCTGACTGGCTGGATAGCTGATTGGCTAAGTAACTGATTGACTGAGTAGCTGATTGGCCGGTTTTTTTCGATTATACATTAAGTACCAAAAGATTAGGTGCCAAAAATTTCGGTGGATAAAATTTTCGGTGGAAAAAATTTCGGTCATATTTTTGAAGAATTTCGGTTGAAAGAAAATATTTCGATGAGTAAAGAAATTAATCACTTTCTGTAAGTTCTTTCTATCTTCAACATAAAATTATCTGCAACGCAATCATAAAGGTTACAAAAATTGAAAACTGATGTCAACCTAATAAATGATAAATGGAACTTAAAGGTGGCAAGATTGTCTTAAACTGTTATTCAAATGAGGCTTTTTATATCTTTTCTTGTAACCCATGGAGGGAAATAAATTGAAATTGTTTGCAGCTGGCAATGTTTTCGATCACCAATCGCAACGAGGGGATTATAAATTCTGATCGATTATAAGTTGAAAATTAAGGCATTGACGTCACAAAACTCTTTTTTACCATTTTTCAATTTTGACCTAAAAAGCTGTATGAAATACCTCTCAATGTTCAAAATCAGTTGAATGTGTTACAAATTGGCAGAGATATGATTTTAAAACGAAACTTGATCCATGAAAATTTTTTGCCTATGTAAAATTTGAGCTAATGTTTCATGTGTGCTATTTTCCTAGGCCGTACAGTAGAAACTATACTGGATTGCTGGGAAATCTCGCCGCTAGTCAAATTAAAGTATTGTTCAGTGATTCTCAAGGTAGGTTTGATAAACACTAAAGCATCACAGCCCAAGAAAGCTTCAATCTCCTGTTTTATTACTTTTCCTTTCCCCTCGCAAAGTTGTCGAAATTTCCTTAAGACATACTGGCGGTTTTTCTCCTGCTTTAGAAACTTTGATATGTCAGTTGCAACTTATTAATTCTGAAGATATGAAAAAGCTTTTTGAAAATCCTCTTTAAATAAGCAAAGCTGAACATTAAACAATTCTGTTTGGTAAGTAAACTCATTAATCAACAACTTCAAATCTGGATCGCAGCTGATCAAGTGTGTACTTAAATGCTTGGCTAGTATTTTTTTAAGGACTTTAAACGTTTTCCTTCTCATGTCTAACCAAACCGGTACCATAATGTTGTTTTTTTCGTGTTTTAGAGGAAACAGCTCTTCTTATTTCAAAACTAACAATGATGGAAAATGGAACAGATTTTAGGCTTTTCTCTTCAACGAACAACCTGAGGAACGATACCTTGGAACAGGTTTTTGTCTCTGACGCTAGATTATGCTTTCAAACTTTATTATGCTATTTCTTGCGTTACCTCTGGATAGTTAATGTAGAGATGAGGCCTACATTGAATTCATATTGATGAATGCAAACAGAGATGCATACATTGAATCCACTGACAATGCAAACATAATATCTTGGTGTAGGCGAGGTCTACCTCATGCAACGCAAGTTCGAGCACAGATATCCACTTTTTGTTTCCAAAACAGAATGTGAATAGTCTTTGCCAACATAACTCGAGAACTAAACTTCAACACCATACAATCATAAAGCCTTTGCCTGTAACGAGTTTTAACATAATACTCAAAAAAAGTTTTATTCTTTGAATATTGATTCTATCATGGTGTAGTTGATAACAGAGGGTTGATAACAGAACCTAACACCAGCATTACGATAAATGCCTTATTGTAGCAAAGTAAAACAATTCCAAAAGGAACGCTAACGTTGGGGCCTAAGTCAATCTCTGGTTTTGTTCTAAATCAACGATAAGACTATTCCTTCTTAGTTTTTTCAAATTTCTGAATAAAAAGACGGTCATATCTTTTAACAGTAATCTCTGCAAAGAAGAAAATAATTTAAGAACCAACATTCTGTCTTTCTTTCATTGGGTATCTTGTATTCGAGAACCTGTTTAGGCAGCGAAATATACAAGGCTGTCCATGTAAAAGTATCTTCGTTTTATTTTTGCACGTTGATCAAGGATCGTTGGTGATTTCAGTCTGTGTGTTGGCAATTTTTAGCTACGAATCCACAGAACTCTGTATCGTCTATTTATAACCAACCCCCCTGATATATATGTATATGGTTTTTCTCCCTAAAGCTCAAGGAATATAGCCCCTTGGAAGAAGAATTTTTGTTCCTGAAATGACCATGTGCGCCTTTGAATAAGAACAAGAGTAGTTTACTCTTCAAAAAGCAAGTTTTTCTTTGCTGGGATTTACTGTAGCTATCACAATACAGTCATGTCAGCCAAAACAAAGGTCTTTTAGGCTTATAAATAATTTTTAGTTACGTCTTAAGGAACCAAAATAACGGAATAAAAAGGACATCCTACAGGCATTTTATCTTATTACCATACGTAGAAGCGAAGTAGTTTACTTTGATTCTAATTAAATTGCTTAACTTTCCATTTTATTTTATTGACAGCTACTGAAAGTTCTGTTAACAGTTCCACACATCGTGTATCCACAGGCAATAAGGATTTGTAATGAATTTCAAAGTCTCAGCGCTTTGATGAACAGGTAACACTCAAATTTATCTCTTCACAGAAGAATTATTTATGGTATTATATTGTTTGAATGCAGATATTATTGCACTTTGTCTATGAGGTCTATGGGGTAATGTAAACTTGCAGCACTTTAAAAGGAGTAACTGGGCAATTAGCACTAGCCAGAATCTGTGTCTAAGTAAATTTCATCTTTTTTGTATTGTTTAGAATTAATTGAATATATTTCGACATGACCAAGATAGTTGTTGCCCGCAACTCGCGCGCGATAGCGCGCGAGTGAAGGGCTTATAGTCTGCCCCGCGTATAAGTAGCATATGGAAGCTTCAGTTCATGTTGTCAGCACTTTTTCAGCAGATTTTGTCACTTTTCTGCTGCCATGACAACTGTCAATCAATTTCATTGTCAATCAATCGGCTTTGTCGAGGAGGTCGTTAACCGCCACCTCTTTGTGCGGAAGGGAATTATCTTCGGAGCGTTGCTCTGCCAAGACTCTGTTAAGCCCAATCTCCAGTGAGAAAAAGTCTTGCGAAATTTCGCTGCGAAATACTCCACGCGACAAATTCCTTTGAATGCTTTTGTTGACCTCACGACATTGGAATGTAAAGTTTGGAAGCGTGACAAAAGAATACGGAATATGATTGGCTGTTGAAGGATTTCGCAAGCGAAAAGCGAAAAAAGTTAAACTCATTTTAACTTTTTTTCGCAGAGAAATTCTTCGCGAGAAATCCCAGCAAAAGATTACTGCGCATGCCTAAGACGTATTTCGCGCGAACTTTTTCGCATTTCGCAGTTTTTTTTCTCACTGGAGATTGGGCTTTAAAGGCCTTCGGTTTTTTGGCACGAAAACGGTGCTGCATCACAGCTCTGTTCTCCGCAATGGATGGAAGTTTTGATTCGAAGTTTTGGGAATCAAAACCAGTCGAATGCCACACTTTTCTCCCAAAAACTCGAGACCGTACGAGCAAAAGTTATGATTGTTGGCACGAAAACAGTGCTGTATCACAGCTCTGTTCTCCGCAATGGATGGAAGTTTTGATTCGAAGTTTTGGGAATCAAAACCAGTCGAATGCCACACTTTTCTCCCAAAAACTCGAGACCGTACGAGCAAAAGTTATGATTGTCGTGATTATCGAAAAATAAATGTCAAACCCTCGAAAAACTTCATGATTTTCAAAAGGGCGTTGGACTTAAATCAAAGGCAAACTGAACACCAAAAATTCTTGATAAAAAGAATAGTTTAGCATCAACTAGAGCAGCTGTTTTTATAGAATTGTGAAAACCCAAGATGGTGTCTTCTTCGAATATCCTGACCTACATTTTCAAAACAATCATTATCAAGGAACTAATTGTTTGCGGGCAGTACTAGCAAGAGCTATTTCTAGTTTAATAATATAATGATTGTATGTTGATGCAGCTTTCACAATATGTATTTTTTTTATTTTCTATAGCACAATCGAAGAAATTAAAATTAAAATTCCAGAAATATCCACCACACGCGCGAAGGACATCATAAATTATTTTCGTTATAATTCGAACTCAATTTGAAATTAAAATTTACTTTTGAATTTTTTTTAATGAAAGTTAGTTGATTTTTTATAACGTTTTTGTTTCCTCTCACTTTCTATTGCCATCGGAAATAGCCATTGTTGCTCAGCTGACCAGAAAACCAAAAGGCATAACGAGCTGACATTGCTACCCCCTGGAACCCGGACCCCGAGAGGTGAAATATCGATATCTAGACTCCTCCGTATTAAAATACATGTAATAAGCAAAACATATTGATGTGTTTATAGTGTTTGATAAAAGTTTGCGCTGGATTTTTTCATTTAAACAAATCTAGATCTTTGAGCATTGTACAAAGTAAATCAAAAGAAGGGGACAATGAATGATGAGAGAAAATTTAGATGATAGCAGGGCCATAAATTTGTCATCTCATTTCACAGGGGGAAGGGGGGAGGAGAGGGGGTCAGCAGAGCGAGTGCATATAGAGTGTGCAGTGGGTCATAGCACCATCAAGCAATTTTTCGCAGGTGTTTAGAACACAATTAAGCAGCAAACCACTAGGATTTGTGTCAGCTTTATTGAAGCTACTTGCAGAGAATCCTTGCAGAGATCGATTTGATTGGATTTTTCGAGATTTATGAGCCCTTAAACAATTTTTTCTTTCAGATTTATTTGAGATCTATCCAAGCGGTGTATGAGATATTTGTGGTGTTTCGCCCCTGGGACAAAGTCGCCAATTAATAAAATAACAAGAACAGAGCTTTACACGGCTTTCTAGCATGCTAAGGGTCATTACATATAATACAACGCAATAAATATTAATAAGAATAGAATAACGAACTAGAAAAATGAATTAATCCAATGGCATCGGTGTTGATTGAGAATCTCTGGCTTTGTAGGCTAGTCTCAAAAAATAGCAAGGTTTGCAAGCTGCTCATTTGAGTCTGACGACATGTTGTTGATGAATGTTTGTCTATTCCTGACTCTAAGAAACCGTTTATTGATGTATTTTTGTCTCAAAGTTTCATAAGCTGGGCAGATTAATAAAAAATGGAATTCATCCTCAATTGCGTTTTTGTTACATTTTTGCAAATTCTCTCTTCTCTTCTCTTGCTAATCTGTTTTGATAACGTTCCAATTCTATTGCTAAATGGTAATTGGAAAATCGAAAACATGCATTTATCTTCCTGTCGAAGAAATTTGGCAGCTTTTCATAATCAGCGAGGCTTTCTTGCCAGGTTTGAAACTGGCTGTCTTTTATCCTATCTTGAAAAGTTTGTATATGAAGCCGTTCATTTCCAACACCCTGGAATATGCAGACATAACCAAAACCATTCTCATAAAGGATTAATTTTATTTCTGAGCCACTGGGGGACATTATTTGACTTTGATACACTAAAGTGATTTATTTAGTTGGTAAATCTGGGAGGAAAGGTTCCTTGATGGATCGATTGATTAGTTGATTGTAGTGACTGATTACTGGTTAACTGGTATGATTGATTGATTGATGGGGACCTTCCGTTCCGTCATAGCCTCTCTTGGTTTCATATACGGGCTATCAATAGGAGGCTGCAAAAATAGAACCCCTTGGGGAGAAAAGAGTTGTTAGAAGGGATGTAAAAAGTTATATTGTGAGTTCAAGATTGCCTTTGAACAATGTGGCTTTATTCTAACCGTGTATCAAGACATCTAATTTGCAAAACTTGCCAAGTTTCATGTTTCCTGTCAAGGTAAGTTGTTTCAGAGAAAGTCAAGGGCTGCATTTGATTTGCATAGTGTCACTTCGCCCCAAAGTAGGCAGGGCCTAGAATTTGCTTAAAGTTTATTTCTTTAGTCACTTATGCAGCAATTCAACAGATGCTGTACCAGACACAAGCTATTTGAAAACGCTAATTCTTTTTGTTAACAAACTGCTACAAATCATAGTGGTCTATGTATATGTACCATCTGGCCTTAAGCATGCTGTTTGGATGGTCTTTTTAGTGATGACTAAATATCCTGAACCCGCCGTTGCTAAACGAAGAACAAGCGGAACAACCTAGTCACAAGCAGAACGACCCAGTAACAAGCGGAAATGTGAATTAATTGTTAAGTAAATAACACGTGGCGACGTTTATTATCCAATTTTCTGAAATTCGTGTTGGCTAGCACATCTTCTTCAATCTTCAATCGTTAACTCCTAAAGGCTATACAACAAATCTGGAGTAAATAAAAAAAAAATAAATAAATAAAATTGGAAAAGGAAAATTAACTTAGGAGTAGGATTAATACCATTTCCACCCAGCGCTCCAGTTTGTTAATTTCTACAAAATGTACTATAAAGAGGTTGTCAGTCATGTCTTCGAAAGATATACAGGAACAAAGCAATACGACGACCAGAATCCAATTTCACGAGACAAAATTTTCAGAATAAATTAAATTTAAGGAATATACTAATATTTCGCCCCGGCATACAGGACTTCATCAGAGTAAAATCACTTAATTCGCAACTTTAATTTTTAATTATCATTTATGATAATAACATATTTTTCTAATCATTTTGTCAAATCTGTTAATCAGGTCGGGCAAAGGATATAGTTACTACCAGAAGTGCCGCCAATAAAATTTTCGAATTTTGATGCTTCCAGTTCACTGGAAAATGCACTCTTTTAAGCAAATTTAATTAAAAAAATCCTCCTGATCCTATTGAAAACTCTTTTATTTTTGCAAACAGTTTGAGCAGTAAATAAAAACAACTGGTATAATTTTGCCGTTGCTTTGAAAAAACCATATTGTCAGCTACTTCAAAAGCTAGGTAAAAAGCAGCACTGGTTGTCAATTTAGATCCCTCTTTCAATCTTAGCATTCCTTCGAATGTTAAAGAAATCTGGAGCTCATTGTGACGCTTCTATCAAGAAACTTTAATGGCAATGTACATAAGGCACAGTTTTACCAAAAGAGAGCCTGGATTTGTGGGTTTGGTGCCAACAAGAAATCTAAAAAAAATCAGTTTATTTTCCATCATTCATACCGTCTCATTATTTTTTTTCTGTCATTCATACCAAGGAACTACCTTCGCTTGTTCCTTAATTGATTTTGAGACATGGAGGTCTCTGAAATAACTTAAGCATTTCTTCCACTGAGCGGATTTTACCTGAAATCTCTTGTTGAGATACTATTGGGAAGGTGGGACACCCCCACACCCCCTGGTTGCGATGCACCTGTTTGTTGTGTTCACTTAGTGAATTATCATTTGTCATGCTCATGCATGCTGAAGTAAAACTTGGGAAATATACCACGTGTAAGAAAATGTGATTTGTGCACGTCTAACAAATTAGAGTTGAATACCATACTCTCCTAAAATGTTCACCGATAATGGACATAATAAATCTTTAAGTGCCTGAATTTTTTTCAAAATACCCATCTCAATTTAAATTGTATTTATTGAGCACTAACAATAACCAGGATAATTTCACTAAAAGTACTGCGAAATTTGCATTTTGCACTACCTCTCCTTTTGCCCCACAGTTGCCATTAATATACTCTCTAAATATTATTTCCCACCCCATTATAAAGGATAGTCAGCCCCTCAATTTGGGCTTTTTGTTTACCAGCTCTTGCCTTGCTATGTCGGTGTTTGATTCAAGTGCAAAACCATAACAACGGGTTTTCTGATCTATCAAACAATGTATGGTTGTGTGAAAAGGAGGGAAAATGGTTGCGAACTAACAAAATATTACATAACAAAAGTGTTTGACAGCCTCTTGATAGTGCACGTGCTAGCCCACACGAACTTCAGAAAGTTTGATTATAAACGCCGCTATGTGTTATTTACTAAACAATTAATTCACATTTCCGCTTGTTACTAGGTCGTTCTGCTTGTTACTAGGTTGTTCCGCTTGTTCCTTGTTCTAGCAACAGCGATCCTGAACCCTAAAAACTAAATATCCCAGACTGACAATCTTTATATGGTGGGGCTAGCCTATCATTTTTGCCACCTAAACTTGCAAAATATCTCTCTAGACGAGTGTCTGACAAAGATATAATTTTGCAGAATTTGTATTTCTTCAATCTCTCTAGTTGTTCAGACATTGCCCTTTCACTTGACATTATCCAGGTCCTACTAAGTTTTGTGATCACAAAGTGTATTTTGAAGGCAAATAATTTGATTTCACTAATGCACCTTTACATATCTTCATTGCTCCAGGAAGTATGGGACAAATAGCAACAACTATGATGTAGCGATAGTTGGTGGTGGCATCGTTGGCTTGGCAACAGCTCAGGAGCTGATCAAAAGGCAGCCAAAATTAAAATACATTGTCCTTGAAAAAGAAAAACAACTTGGTAAGTTTTCACCAATTTACTTACTCAAAAGTTTAAGGATTTTGATTTTCAATGAATCCATAATATTCCAAGGCAGCCCAAATTTTTGAATCATTTCAGGTACATATTGCTTTAATTTTTTTCCTAGCAATCCTTCTCAGATATGGTTAAAAAATATATATAAAGTATGATATAATTTTGAGAAAATTAGTATTAAATTAAATGTGATAAGCCACATTCTGATGTGTGATACAAACAATGTTAAACTTTGAGCATTAATTTTTCAGCTTCCAATCAAACTGGGTACAATATTGATACACTCCCCTTGCTTTCCTTTTATTTGCCAAGTAATCATTCTCAAATATAATCTAAAAATAAATTCTAAGGTATGATATAATTTTGAGACAGATATGTAATAACATGCTATAAGCTACATTCTATGAGTGATAGGCATGGTTAAAATTTGAACATTGATTTTTCAGCTTCACATCAAACTGGACACAATAGTGGTGTAATACATGCTGGTATATATTATAAGCCAGGAACATTGAAAGCAAAGTTGTGCGTTGAAGGCTTAGAATTGACCTACAAGTATTGCGATGAACACAATATTCCATACAAAAAGTGTGGCAAAGTAAGTTATTATGTCGGTTTTTTGCTTTCTGTCTGTTGATTGGAAAACTGATTCTTTTGTGAAAATTATATAATATGCAATAGATCATGATCCTGGCTTTCTTTGAATATTTGAACTTTCTTTTTTTAAATTAAAGAATCATGAAAATTATAAATAACTTTTTCTCTTAAAACTTTTGATTATATCTTCAGATTATTGTTGCAGTAACAAATGAAGAAGTACCAAGGCTGGAGGACTTGTATAAAAGAGGGGTTACAAATGGGGCAAAAGGCCTCACATTTTTATCAAAATCAGAAATGAAAGAGCTTGAACCACATTGTGAGGTATTCCTGCTTTTTCATTGATTTTGATGGTAGTACTACTTTTGGCTATGCTTTAGAACCTGATTCCATGGCATGCTGTTTCCTAAAGTTATTATTCTGTTCTGTTCACGAAAGTGTATTTATCTGCTGGACAGAATACATTTTCCAGGTAACAAGCTGCTGGTTATGTACAGCAAGCTAAAAGCAAAATCAACATCATATTTCTAAACATCAGTCAATTAAGATGCAAACTCTATATTCAGATATAAATGCATCCCATTTTTCTAAATTTTTTCCAACCCCCTGTTCCATCAGCAAGAGCATTTGGTTCCAATTTTAAAGGTCCTGGTAATTACTTTCAACAAATTTATTGCTTCAGAAAAGGTTGACCCTCTGTTTGTTAAGGGCCCCTTGTGTAGATAATTTTAGACTTGGCCATGACCCCACTATTTGTTTCAACCACCTTTTTATCAGTTTCAAGCCTTATGCTAGCTTAAGTGTTGATAGATTCCCAGTTTCCCATATAAAATATTTCAAGAGTACAATAGCAGTAAACAGTGAGGATCCCACTATACTGCATTATTGTAGTGCCAGACAAGCTTTGCAATCAAGCCCATAAACACTAGCATGCAACAACTTGACGAGTTACCTTATTGATGCAGTATCTTGTTTTGGCTTGGTATAAGCAAACCAATCAGTGTCAAAATGTTGGTAATCTTCTCCAAAGGTTATGCTTTTTCTTTCAAGGGCAAAATAGGACTGTACTCACCAAATACTGGCATTGTTGACTGGGGACTCGTAGCAAGAAAATTTGGTGACGTTTTTGAAAAATCTGGAGGCACAATTGTAACTGGATTTGAGGTGAGGTGTAACTGGAATTGAAACTGCTTTCCACTTATCAGTCCTTTACAACACTTCAAAAGCAGTGAGTTTACATAGCCCTTTTTCTTTTACCGGTTTTATTTTATATTTTAAGAAGCTTAATGTTTAGATGTTAAACTAAATCTATTGAAAAACTATTGCATTTTGATAGGCAACTGACTTCAGAAGTTCCTTAGGAAATCCAAGTATAAATACCAATGATCAAGGTAAAATATTTTATTAATATTCTATGTAAAATTTATTGTTATACTTTCCTGGTATTTGCATGATTTGGATAACGATGTGAATATAAACAATTAGCCACTGCTCTGATAGACTTCAACTTCTCTGAAAGATAGGTATTGCAGGAAGAAATCTCAGAACCTTTAGACCATGAAATCCTTTTAAATGTTTCAAATAGTGTTACAGTATTTTACTCAGGTTTGATTACCAAAAAAGTTTGGTTTTTGCCAGGCTTTCATTGTTGATCAAGTTATGGTTCACATAGAAAACGTTTTGTGAATACATTCCTTGGTGTTGAAGAGGCCTTGGGACTGAATACATCAACACAGAAATTTTCTGTTATCTTGTGTGACGCATCTACAAGTTTTGCCAATATTTGGAAAAATTTAAAAGATTGCTTAAAGAAGCTCAGGAATCACGAAATTATTTACAAAATAAACAACTTTAAAATAGCTGAATGGACCAAATACACCAACAATAAAAAATTGTCTTGTTAAAATGTCTGGTAAAATCGCATAGTAGAATATTTAATACGGTGTTTAACAAGTTCTTTCATTGCAGGTGATAGCTACCCAATACAGATTTTTGGTAAAAGCAAGGTATGTAAATGTAACTTATTTGTTCCATGTAAATAAATTGATAACAAAATTGTATCATGTCACATACGATACTCAAGAATATGGTTGGATGTGTGAAAAGAATAAGTGACACTTTTTATGTTTAGAAATAGTGCCTAGTTTTAGTCGAGTCATTAGTGCAGCAGCTTCAGAAACTATTTTCTCACTATATTCAAGGAATAAGATATCACAATTTCGATGCAAGTGCTCCTCCTAAAAATATTCGTGGAAAGGAAGTCTCTTGAACGAATTGTGACAAAATATGAAAATATGCTTGCTTCGCTGATAAGGACCAATTGGAGTACCATGATAAAGAAATATAAAGAAAATCTTTTAAGTTCCTCTCTAGTTCCAGAGGAATTTGCAGAGCAGAAACTTTATCAGCATCTTGTAAAATCGTTTTCAAAGTGGAAAATACACATGGTTTAATGTTATGTATGTTGAGTTGTATTACCGAAACTCGTCCCATCTGGTTCCACTGGAATGACAGTGAAGAACTTGATGACATTAATTGGTCAAAAGAAAGCCTTCATCAGGCCTACTCATAAATCATGAACACATGATCCAGTAAAGCCAAAGGCGGCAGTTTTAAAAGATGTTCTATCCCGGTGTGTTTGTTTCTACCTTGCTTCCGAAGGTAGTTTATAGGACACTTATAAGCTATGCTTATCGAGCGTTTTCTTGGACCTTCCTCTCCATACGACCACAACTCTTCATTGCTTTGCCTTGAATTGCAGAGAGCTGGCGACTCCCCACACTCTAAGTGAACGTTTTGCCACGTCAGGGACTGGAACCCCAGACCCTTAGAACTGTAGTTCGCGAACCTTACCAATGAGCCAGCCTCGCTCCTCGAAATTATACCCCTGTCTTAAGTCAGGGGTTAGTGGCACCTTGACATTATCGACCTTCGTGTAGCTGTCAAAGTAGATCTACAATCCCGGACAAAAATAGTTGAGACTTTTCAAGGAAAGCTTATATTTTCACTTTCCTTTAAAAAATAACTTTTCCCCCTCCCCCAATTCAATGTTGAATGCATGATTTTGAAGGAGAAACTACAAAACATACATTGCTTTGGGGGAAAGAGGGGTTTCGAATTCACAGGGGCAAGGTAAAGTAGAAAATTAAAAAAGTTGCATTTTGTCACAACATTTTTGTCCGGAATTGTAGAAACAGTGCTGTAGAAGTAATCCGTTAATCGTATTACTGAACCAATGACGCTATTTACATCCTGAAAAGCTCAAGAAAATCAATATATATAAAATTTTTATTATCGGCATTAAATTCGAGCATATATTCTCGATACATTTGCGTACAATGTGCACTACCTTTTCCATTAGCTTTCCAAGAACGGCCTTTCGTGTCTCTGGTTGGCAGCAGAGCTGCATATTGTACATTTAGAATTTACTTCCCTTGCATTAGATACTGATTGCGATTCGTGCAAAACGGAGGTAAATAAAGTGTGTTTGCAACTTTTAAGTATATAAAAAAGTAAAAATACTGGTGAAAATTACAAGAAAAATGATGTAGGATGTTTTGCTAGTACGAACAAGTAAGAAACAGCTAGAAGAAATTTGAAATTGTGTTTGCAAGTGCACAATACGGAAATGAATAGTCAATTACACATTAGATAACACTTACTCGAAATGCTAAATGTGTCAGAACATACAGATTCGATAATTTTAGGGCTATTTTGAAAGCAAGGTCATGTTTTCATTTGAGTGTGTTTGAATTTATTTCTTTAAGCACACAAATCCGGATTGTTATAGACAAAAGGAGTTCTTTTTCTACTAAAGAAACAAGGACCCAATCAAGCTCACCACTCTTCGTTTCAAGTCATTTTCTAGCCTTGATGATGCCACAGTTTCTGTCTTTATCTTGTTATATTTGCAGATACTATCATTCTTTTTGCAAATACTTATGTATCTCTAGAGTTTTATCTACCAGTGAATCGCACATCGCAAAGTAAGAATTAATATAGAAGCAATGAAAAATATCATCGTACAAATATCATAAACTGGTGATTAGATGTTTAAAAAAAGACAAACAATTTTATTTTCATGCTACTGGCCTATTTCAGGCGCCCATTAATTGTCGATATGTGCTTACATGTGGAGGACTTCAATCAGATAAATTGGCAGAAAAAACTGGATGCAGCAGTGAGCCAAAGATAGTCCCCTTCCGAGGGGAATATCTTGTGCTGAAGCCTCATAAGCAGTACTTGGTAAAAGGAAATATATACCCGGTAGGTAACATTTTACTCATGGAGTAATCTTTTGATCACGTAGGCTCAATTTTGGCTACCTTACTGCTGATAACAGCGGTTTATGGGGGAATTTGTTACATGGTCAGTTTATGTCTTGATTATTTGAATTGGAGCATACAGTTGATCCCATCTCTTCGGACCTTCAATGAGAAGTAGGGAGGAGGTGAGGGTACGACTGTATTATCGAAAATAGCACCATAGAAAATATGGAGTTTCTCAAAACCATTTGAATCAGTTTCAAATTAGATCAGATTTATGACGTAAATTTTAGAGCCAAGGTCAAATTACCCGATTGGGGAAGATCAAATTGGGAAGAAGCCTGTGTTTTGGTGGTTATATTTCGCCCATTTCTGGATAAGTGCAACTTTATTTGACACTTAAGGTTGTTTTAGAATGCTCTTTCCCGTAAAGTTGAAATTCAATTGAATATTACATCGCATAACCACTTTTTTGGAGCAATTTTGTTAACTCTTTCTTAGGTGCTTCGTGGTATATCTCTTTGCTGAACAACTAACCGAGCTTTTGTTGCTTTTTCAAGGTCCCAGATCCAAAGCTCCCCTTCCTTGGTGTTCATTTTACTCCTCGCATGGATGGTGGTATATGGCTAGGACCAAATGCTTTACTTGCCTTCAAAAGGGAAGGATACAAATTTACCGATTTTAATATAGCCGATTTAGCAGACTCGCTCAGCTTCAGGTAATTCTTTGAGCTTGTCGAGATTCTCGCATATCATCTTCCTAACGCCTTCAGTTGCTTTATATTTTCTTACAAAGGAAATTATTGATTTTTAAAGGCTGACAGGAATTGATATGACAACAGATATTAATTCTATTATGTCACTGATTTTGTTATTATGATCCAAAGCGTTTTTCATGCTCTAAAACGTCGTAGACGTTAACCATGTGCTTCTGTGACGTCAATATTCCTCACTAATAGAATTTTTGTTTATATTCTCTATAATTTCATATCCACTGTCCTTTAGGCGTTTATTAAAAACAATGGAAGCCTGACTATTAGTAATTTCCCTCTGTAATCAGTAGCTGTGTTTAGCCACTTAAAGCCAAACTCTCCTGTCTGGTGCACATAGTGCGCTTTGATTGAATTTTATTTGTCGCCGTCTATCGCACTGTAGATGACATAACTTATTTATAGTACCCGTCAAATATCATAGCATTTATTCGACACAGTCAAAACTACTATTTTGCCAGCAGCATTTAGGAGCTTTCATCTGCCTCATAAAAACTCCTATCAATTAATTTTGTCCACTTCAATCTGATGTTTGACTTGATTATCATAAACACCAACTGGCAAGATTATCGATCAATTAACTCTAGGTGTCACAGAATGTAAATTTTTATTAAGTTTTTCTACATTCAATCTATTTGTAGAGGTCTGCAAAAGCTGATTGCAAAGCATTTGAAATTTGGAGTAGAGGAGTTTTATCGTAGTTTTGTATTAGATGCACAAATTAAGCAGTTACAGAAGTATGTACCGGAGCTGCGGCTTGAAGACGTCGAAAGGTCAGAATTCTGAGCTGAATCTTACCAAAACATATATATGGATGGCCTAACTTGCTGTCTGTTACATTTTTTCCCGTGCAGACAAACATCCTGTTTATACACTTCATCCATGTTTAGCTATGGTTTTGTTGAGAGAAAATATCCAGGCGATGTATCGCACCTTTAGTTCATTTAATTTAGAATTGCAGTAAAAGTTACTGTTTACCTGTCTGTGTTTAACTGCTCGATGCCGTAGAAACAATGCTGTATACGCTTTTGGTGAATAGAACAGGACCTCTCTCTAAGTTGCTCCTTCGAGTTTCACGCTTAATGCGATCATCGGGCCACAGTTATGTTGTTACCTGTTGTTTTAGTGATAAAGTTTGAATAGTGGCTGAGTTTTCTAATTTCTGTGTTAGGGTAAAGATATAGACTTTTTAATTCATCTTAATGAAGCTTCAATGATGAGATTGTTTGGATTATCCTAGGTTTTAGAGTCCAACTAACATAGGAGTAAGATACGCAAATATAAACCAGGGTTTTATATCGTTTGTCCTTTCTTTGCATTCTCTTTTTGCAATTTTTCTGAATTGCCTCTATTTCTGAATTGCCTTATTCTGCAAGACCCAGAAAGCTGGGCTCATTTGATATATTTGTAATTTTAGGTTATTAAGTCTAAATCCTGTAAACGATATTGCTTCTTCGCAGAGGTCCAAGCGGAGTTCGTGCCCAGGCTCTCGACAAGGAGGGAAATCTTGTTGATGATTTCGTATTTGATGTCGGAGAAAGTGACATTGGAAAACGTGTTTTGCATGTACGAAACGCTCCATCACCTGCGGCAACGTCATCCCTGGCAATTGCAAAAATGGTTGCTGATAGAGTCCAGAGTCAGTTTCAGTTGTAGCTTACAGTGTTTCAATGACAAATATTTCAACTTTTAATTTTTTTCTAAATTCGATCAAAATATTAAATGGAATTTAGGTATAATGATTAAATTGATATATTTAATCATACGTTCCAATTCATGCATTGGAACGAAACTTACAAAATATTTAATTCGATTCTCAAAATTAGTTTTTCAAATGATCGCAGATCGCTTCAAGGACCTGAACTACCTTAAGGAGTAAAAAGATTTGTTTTTGATGACACTTTAGCCTCTCCAGAATGTACTTCAAACATGCATTATATGCATTTTTCTGATCGCGCTCAAATACATCAATTTTCTCCATTAAATGTAAACTTTAGTTAACATAACTAATTTAACTAACATAATAAGTTTTTTCTTTCATTTGAAACATTATAAGAAAAAAAATCTAATTTATGTTTAGGACGTTTGTTTCAAGAATCTTTTCTAGAATATTGCCGCCCATGATGTAGATATGAATGTTCTTATTAAAAAAAGATGGGGATTTTAAATTTATTAATGTCAGACCTATTTTGAAAATAGATCGTTCCCGCAGGTGATTTCATAGTCGTTTTTAATTTTAATTTTTTTGCAAATAATGTGAATCGGGAATAGATTTTTTCATAACTCATCAAGTGAAATATGAATTTAGCCAAGTCATAACATTATGCACTGCTACAATCCATTGTGCTATTTCCTAATGTAATATTGTGAATTTAGGCATATTTGCTAACTTGTATTGCTTTAAATCTTTCACAATTCACATAAAACCACATGCGTTTGAAATATAGAGAAATGACATGTAAATTTGACCAATTTCTGCTTCCTTCTCTTCTAAAGCATTTAAATTAGATTTCACTGCTTTCTTTTTTTAATAATTACATATAGGTTTGTTTTACTGGCCATTTGTTTTGATTCAAGAATTTAATACTGAAACTCTATGAAGCTTTTTTGTGGAGTGAAAACTGCATTAGATTGAGCAAAGTGGGTGGGATTTTTTAAATCTCCTGTAAGTAAGGTTTATTGCAAAATTAATATTCTTTAATGGCTGGCACAAAATAATATACGGCCATTGCTTTCTTTGGCTTTTTGCTTCCCACTGCAATCTTAACCAATTTTCTATCTCTAGGACTTTCGTTTCAAATGGCAGTAGAAACGTTGGTCTGGCTTTCAGCTTAAAACGTAGTTGAACTCGCTCAAACGTACTAACTAAAAAGAAGAGGGTTAGTGTCTTTCATAGCTAATTTGAGCATAACAATTTTTACATTCTTGATCTAAAATAGAATGGATCTTTTCGTGATTTGGCCAAAGTTTTTCAAGTCCAAAAAGATGACACTGAATAAGACTGAAACGAATTGTCAGCTTAATTTGCTGTATATACACTACTGTGCTAATTATTAGACATTTCCGTTAAGAGGCCAAGCATAATGCGAAGAAGGTCGGTGGCTAGGGTCGCGGACTATAAATTCAAGGGTCTGTTGTTCGAGTCCCTGACATGCCCAAATTTTCATCCAAGATAAGGAAAGTCACCAGCTCCCTGTAACTCCAGGCGTAGGATTCGGCCTAGAACTATTTCTTTGGCCTAAAATTAGGATTTCGACCTAAAATTACTGAATAAGGTGTTATAAGGCGTATTTCTAGACAATATAAACTGCAGATATAGCTGCTTGTGTGGCTATTTCAATCTTTCTTTGTAATTGTGTAGATAATACAATGTAAAATTTTGTAGTTTATTGAAAGATGGACGTCTCAGAAAAAGTTAAAATTGTGAATAAGTTTTCTGCCGTTAACATTCAGCAGACAATTTCGATTGAAAAAATGAATAGGAATTGACGCAAGAAAGAGAGGAAATATTCTACAAATCTAATATCGGTGATTTGCTTTCTGATAGTGTATAACAATTTTCGATTCAAAATAAATATTTTGTTTCATACAATATCAGCAATCTATTGATCTTTCAACGAAGCAGGCTCTTAGAAACGAGCGGTAAAACCATATATTAAGTTATGCCCAGTTTTATTTCTACGAAATGGCAAGTTAAGTTAGACAAACGCGAACACATTTGTTCCTTTTATTAAGTATATAGCTTTATCAAAAATTGATACGTATGTTACTTTCCAAGAATACAGGTGGTTAAAAACCCAAATAAGAAGTTAATATTGGGTATAATATTGGAAAAGTTTTACAGCCACAATACTGCATTATACAACAAAGGGGGGGGGGGGTGGTAGGCAGCGATTGGATAGGCGGCAAAATAAGTCTTTCTAGCGGGTGTAGCTAAAATTTACAAATAATCAGACGCTATCGGGTGCACAAAGTGTAATAGTTCCTGGGATGCAAAATTCAAGACATCTAACATCTGTTTAGTGATATCTTCACAAGCAGCAACAGAAAGGAGGTTTAACACTTTCAAGCTTATCATTAGGAACGCTTTATGGTCAAATTTTCTATCAAGATAAAAGTTCGAACGTGTTTCAGGGCAAACTGTTATGCGAAGGGGACCCGGAGGGTGAGAGAAAATGGCCCAGGGTAGGGAAAGCGTTTACATATGGAAATGGTTATAAACCAGCACTTCTCGCTGACTGAGTTTGCTGAGAGAAATCTATATCTACCAAATTAGAACGACTTTAAGTGCATTAAATCAATTTAACATTAATTGTACTTTGTACAAAACGCAAACACAATAAAGTTATTCGAACGTACTCGTTACATTGACGTAAATAAAGGATAAGGATCTAGAACACAGACTAGGCCAAGTATATTAGCACTTAGTCGCTATTGTACGCTGGGGCAGTACAGGAGGCCACGGCTTAGAATTGCTCCAATGACAGTTCAATTAGCAACGGTTTATTCACGAGTAGCTACGTTTAAGAGTTTTCTGCGGTTAAAAAAGTGGGATGGGAGACATCTTGTCCAATCTAGACCCATTATCGTATGTCGTTGAATTCAGGCAAAAATTGGCAATATCTGATCTTCCGCAGACAGATATGCCTTTCGCGGTGGGTTGTGGTCCTTTTCTAGGCTTCTCCCTTGCGATAATATTGTAATAAATGATGGATGAATTCGCTGATATTAGCTAGTTTTCATTTGATAATGACTATTATCGCTTTGCAGCTGCTTACTGTAACGATATTGGATTTCTCGTTGATAGAATAATAACTGTCTAGAAACAGTGTCCATCACCGTATTGGAAGAAGGTCGAGAGTGCTCGTCTTACAAAGTATTAGAAAACTATACAATTATATGTATGCAAACTCAACTAAAATAATCTAAATTCCCCCCTGAATCAATATTCTAAAGTACTCTTCTTTACATTGAGTAACGTCAAAACAACAAATTCGGACTAAAAACAAAAGGAACGCAACATAACTTAAAATTTCCATTTACATATTTACATAATTATATTGCCCCTCTAATTTTTGAGAGATACAATACAGGTTGTACTGGTACTCACATAATTCTATATCTACAAAAATTCTCTGGTTACCAAAGCATTTCCCTACGTAATTCGTGACAATACTTGTTTTTAAAGGCGAGGCACGGTCAAATCTAAGTATGTAGTTACTGCTACGCGTGTCTCGTGTCGATTATAGGGCTTCCATTTCCAGCAATTCTTTCAATATGGAATACCGCCTGTTTGTTCAGCTACAGCCAGACAGACGTATCCATTCTACATTCTATTTAATCGCCTTGAAACTCAATGTAAACGTTTTTGCCCTCTTCGCTAAACGTGTACTCAATCTAGGACATCAAATGCCAAGACTGAGGCAGTCAAATCTTCAGTCAACGACTTCGTGATCATCACAAAGGGAACACGAATAGCCAGTGTTCTCTACCAAGAACCGAACTAAACCTTGAAACACCATTTTATCTTTAGGAATTTCCTACAAAAAATCCTCCGAGTTCGGTGATAACGCGGAATCGACACACAGTTCTCTTCGAAGGCCTAACCACAATTTACTTTCCAAAGGGCAGCCTTTCCTTCGTCAGCTGGGTTTACGATGGAAAATCCATCCAGTTGATTTAACGCCAGCCAGTCTGGCTCGACTCGAGCTAAATAATAAACTCTCTCTGATCAGTATCCGAAGGCAAGTCAATATTTATCATATCCGGCTTTTCCATCGAATCTTCCGCCTCCCGTTGCACTAAACGGGCCGCGCGCACGCCGGCTAATAATCGGTTATCGCTTACATCAATATCCTGATCATCGTAAGGGTCTAGTGACGAGTTCCCAGCAGATGAGCAACTAGGGCCTAACCCTGTAAGCTCGGTCGGCGAGCTGTTCTTAGCAGTTGATTTCAAAGTATTTTTTTCTTTTCTACAAAGGTTTTTATCTCTGCGTTTTCGATGCCAACTATTCCGGGTTTTCGTAAAATAGCTAGCTAAATGTTGCTCGTCCGAACTGTCAGGCTCTTTGGCACGATACCGTCTCGTTGTTATGCAGAGAACGAGCAAAAGGATTGCTGCGAGTCCTACCATACAGGCAACCAGCGGAATTAGGAAGACAGGGCCTACAAGGAAAACAAATGTTCGATCAAGTTACTATCATTTTAAGGATAAGAATGGGCCTTAACGTTGGAAGGCAGCCAGCAAAAGTCAGACCTAGAGAACGTAAGAATCATACTACAGGCAGGTATGCTGAAATAAAGGTTTATAGACACTAGTTGTGTATCAGGCATGGCTACACATGACGAAAATGATAAACCTTAATAAAGTGAACATGAGAGGTGAGAACTCGATCAGCAAGTCAACAAACATGACTTGCAGAAAATGTCACTAAAAGAGGTTATATTCAACGATGAAACATTAACTAACAACGATTCCCCATACAATTAGGGACATTACCAATCCTTTAAAAAAACAGACTGTCTTAAAATTGGCGCGTACCAAGCACAATTTCTGTTGAAACAGGGCTAAAACTTTAATGGCAAGTTTTAATTATAAGAATACTTCTTGGACTGGATTCTCTTGATATCCAGGAAAATAAAAAACATGATACATCTTTAACAAATTATGCAAAAACAAACATACCTTGAGTAGAATGATATGACATGACCATTGGTCTTTCAATAGTTACTTGAATAACGGCAATAAATATATTGTACATAGTTGTATTTGTTGCTTGCGATTTTATAAGACTGGCGAGCTCCAAGGCAGCTTTTGGTGCTACCCCCGTTCCTGCACTGCTTATCGAAACAACGATGCTTGATGCATTCTCTGGGTTGACGCCCCCGGCTCTGTTGCAATGAACTTTAATAGGGCCTTTCAAGGCGTAAGATCGAAATAATTTCAGGTACCGTAGCTGATGGCAAAACTCTTCAAGAATCGTTCCTTTCGGCATCTTTCTGGCATCGTAGACGATATTTACTTTAGCACAGTCGTCAGTAAGTTTTGACATCTCCGTTGCAGGGTTACAAACGCCTTGATTCACCTCTGTGTACTTTCCCTCGCACTGTCCCCATGGTGTACAAGGAGGAGTAAGGCACAAACGGTCCTCCTTCTCTTTGCAAGGGTGGTCCTCTGTGCAAGTGTCCTTGTTTTCTTGGCTCATGCAGTTGGAAGGACCACACCAAACTTTGGTGCACGTTACTTTCCGGTTTTCGCATGTGCACGTGTTGCATTCTTCAGTCCAGGTTTTGTTGTGTTCCATGAAGACATCACCAACCAAACATTTGGCATTTTGAATCACAACTGTGAAAGTAAAAAACTTTTAAAACTGCACCAACCCTTACATTAAACGCTATAAATCATTTAGTGGCACATTAAATCTTCTTATGAAGTAATTAAATGGAAGACAATTCAGAAAATTTGAGACCTATTGAAGTGAGGATAAATACATAAACCTAAAATAAAACTAAAAGTTATTTTCTCCTTTTTGATGGGAATGCGCAAGAAAAATAGATATATCTTACCTTCACATCGCTTTCCACTTCTTCCTTCGGGACATATGCAGGTATACTTGCCGATGCCATCGATGCATTTGGCACCAACGCCTGGCACGCAAGGTGAGCTGCTACATTCATTTATGTTAATGCGACAATCAACTCCTGCAAAGCCTGGTTTGCATTTGCAACGGTACCAATTGGGGCCATCAACACAAACACCCTCGTTAAAGCACGGGTTTTGCGCGCAGTCGTCTTTATCTACAAATTGGAGAAAAAAGGGTATCGTAAATCAAAGAGTAATTCTGAGGGGAAGTTTGCAAATGAAAGAGCTACTGTAGGAAAGAATTAGCGAGTATGATCGAACTTGGCCTTTGAGAGTTTCAACGCGAGACGAGAAATGACTTGGAAATTTGATTATGCCCTAAAACGGCATCATTCGTGGCAACGTTCTATATTTATCAACATAAAGAAAATAGCTGACTTAGTAACTAGGAAAAATCTTACGCATAAAAGTCAGTTTTACGATAAGCTATCTTTAGGCATCCCCCAACAATATCTTCCAACGAATCAAGAAAACCTCTGGCAATTGGAGCCTTCACCTCTTCTGAAAGCATACAACAACAAAACACAAACAGTCATTCAACAGTAAGGCAAAATACTCACCAATCTCACAGCGACGGCCTTCAAAACCCTCGCTGCATTTACACGAGGCGATTCCTCCATTATTAAGACAAACACCACCATTGCGGCATGGGTTTGGCTGACATACAGCTGCAGGTTCACTGCATGTTCTCCCTTTCCAGTTCGATGTACACTGGCAACGAAAGGTCGTGACGTCATCTTCACAATGACCGCCGTTGTTGCACGGGTTTCCTGCACAATGTGATATACCTAAAAAGACAATGGTTGAGTGAAAATCGGTTGACCTGAGCTGAGAAATATTAGAAAGCAACAATTTCGGAAGAATGTCTTGCATGAGCAGTCTACATTTCGGGAAAGTAGAAGGAAAATAAACTTAAATTTCTTGAAGAGTTTCAAACGAGAAATGAAAATATACTCACGCGATGAGCAAAATTTCCCTTTCCAGCCATCTCGGCATTTGCATTCAAAATCATTGACGAGATCAGTACAGTTGCCTCCATTCAAACACGGCATGCTGGCACAGTCATCTTTATTAGTTTCGCAGTACTTTCCTTTGAAGCCAGGTCGACAGAGGCAGCTGTACGAGGCAAATGCATTCAGGCAAGTTGCGCCATTCTGGCAGTTGTTTTCAGCACAGTTATCAATATCTATAAATAAAATTAAGTATATCGTAGAGGGCAAGGTTATTTCGTAAAAGAAAAGTAGCAATCGTGTCATTTGAATAGAGCATTTTTCTGATATTGGTGTTTTGGATTGAGTGTAACTCGTCTCAAAGTCTCGGCTTTAATGACTAGTTACGAGAGATTGAGGGATTCTTTCAAAATTGAAGCGAAAACTCTTAAAGCGAAAACGAAATAATAAACAAAGGCGAAAAATTGGAAAGATATCTATTGTTAAAATGTTTTGTTGATTGTTTTCACCGTGTCTTAAAACTAATGTATGGTTAAGCGTTAATTATGAAATACTGAGAAGGAACTTGAATAGTTTTATGTTGATGAACCAATGTGGTAAACTTTACTCCTTTACGATGTTATTCATCACAACCTGCCTTATTCTCTAATGTGTTGACTGCCACAGCTAAGCTCAACCAATCAGCATTTATTATTTCAATGGAAAAACAAATCAATTTGCAAGTATTAAATCACCAGCCAATCAGATTGCACGCATTTCAATTATCGTAGTCGCAGACCATTCCCTACGCAAACTCGATAGCACAATGATGGCGCCAACACTTTGGGTCAGTGGGTCTTACAAAAACATTAGCTCGATGACAAAAGGATGAATCGATAAAAGGATGAATGAAGGACACGCGACCATCAATGGATGTCGCTCATTCAGGAGAGTTTACTATTTGATACACGTGCCCAGTATGAGTTCAATTAATTTATCATTCAATTTTTAAGAAAAACAAACCAAGATCACCGAATTTGATCACACTGAACAAACATACCAAATAAGAGGGCGGAGGGAGGCGGGCAACCCATCAAATAGTGTTATGGACAATCATAACATTCATATAAGGGTCCTCTATAACATGCATGACTAAAAAAGGCTGTGAAGAATTTTGATACAGCGATATATGAAAGTTTTATATTTTAAAACAAGATTTCTACTCTATATAATTTAATCTATGTGAAGAAATAAATGACAAGGTAAGACAGCGAGCTGTCTATGTACTTTGAAAAGAATATGCTTCGCCATGTGCCAAAATATTATCATAAAAAGAAGGTTTTTATCAATAGAAAGACTGGAATGAGCTTGTTCAGACCTAACAAGCTAATGCAAAATTTGATAAACAACTGATGAGTCAATATTGTCAGAAGATGAGACATCCCTTAACAAAACCATGCAGCTGTCTATACAATGACCTTATTTTGCCAGAAAAAGAAGTTCTTACTAATTGACAACGCGAGTGCGATCCCCAGAATGAAATGTAAATGTTATCATTGCATGGAGATGTGAATAGCGAGCACTCTTGCCTTTTAAACATAAAGCAAGCAGTCTCACTTTGTTTCTAACCATCAAATTTAGTGGCAATTTTAACGAGTGTAGATATACCAACTTTTTGTTAAGGTGACCGTTGGATACGTAAAAGCAGCCTTGTGGGTTGTTTTTCACCCAACTCAACAGGTATAAAAAGAGATTGTTTACCTGTTTCACATCTTAGGCCAGTCCAGCCAGGATTGCACGTGCACTTGAATCCTCCATCTTTCAAAACACTACAGGTACCATGTTTGCCACAAACACCAGTACGGACAACATGCGTTAGATTTCCGTAAACAACTCTAGTACAGCTGTCGGTGACTAAAAAGCAAGTTTTATACCATCAACGTAGAACCGCGAATCAAGGTTGGATCAGGCGTAGAACACAAAAAATAATCTTTCAAAAACATAGGCGTGCAAATTCGATTTTCAACTACCCATGCTGCTAAACATCTACACCTTAAACATCTGAAATGTGCAAAATGACTTTCTTGACTAAATCATTCCATAGACAAAAGATACACAACCTTGCAGCTAAATCTCACAAAACTCCCTTCTTCCTAGGACTTCTTGTCAAAATTTTGGATGCCACTCTTAACTAATTATGGATGCCACCGTGTCAAAAGAACAGGCCAAAAAATAAATCGAAATTTGGACGCCTCAAGACCAAAGTATTTAATAAAAGAGAATTTATCAGCTTACCTTGCTCGCAAAATTTTCCTCTTTTTCCTTTCGGACACTGGCAGACATAGCGATTTTCCTGATCCAAGCAAGTAGCTCCATTGCGACATGGATTCGAGGCGCACTCATTAATGTCGACCTTGCATTGCTTCCCCTGGTACCCTGGTTTGCAGACACAGCTCGGACCACCAATAATATTCATACATGTTCCCCCATTATGGCAAACATAAGATGCGCAGTAGTCAATCATCTGCTCACATCGTTTTCCTATTAAGGCATAATTGACATTTAAAGATGTATTTTGATCACAGGCCTTCCAAAAACTTGAAGAATTAGCCAGGCATACCTTTTAATGTTCTTGATTACCTGACTAACATTCAGAATTTAAAACACTATTACCTTACCAATTTCCCTGAATAGGAGTTTATGACAAAAGAACACAACCAACGAGACATTATATTAGGAAAACAGAAGGATAAAACGAATACTGTATAAAACGAAACCAGCGATAATGAAATCTGAAAGGGTAATCGTAATATAGCAGTTAAAAAGAATATGTTGCAATTAACGGTCTTGAAACATAGAGAAAGAATACATAGTGATAATACAGATGGTTAAGGACCAACCTGTGAAAGCTCCACCGCAGGTGCATTGGTAGTTTCCAATTAGGTCAGTGCATGTTCCTCCGTTCAAACATGGCGAAGACGAGCATTCGTTGATATCAACATTGCATCGTTTCCCTGTGTAGCCTTTTGGACAGTTGCACTTGTACGTTTCAGCCTGCTCTATGCACGTGCTGTTGTTTAAACATGGCTGACTCAAACAGAATTGTTCCTGAATCTCGCAGTAGCGGCCAGAGTATCCATGCCTTGAAGTAGAATCAAACACATGTGAGTAACATGAAACAGTCACGAAAGCCAGTTAAAAAAAGATATTACTTTTAGCAAAAACTGAAATTCTGTCTACTTAATTGAGCCAGAGATTTTGCTGTCAATTAAGGCATCTCAATGAGTGGTCATTGAAATGTCAGCAACACGCTCATGAACGAAGTTGAAAATGCTAATCAGAATTTTTTAGGAAAGTTTTTGCACGAATAGTTAGCCACCTTGGAAAAATTCTACTCACTTGCACTTGCATTTGAAGCTGTTTAACAAATTGATACACGTCCCCCCGTGCTGGCATTTTACATTGATGCATTCGTCAATGTCATACGTGCAATTAACACCAGTATATCCAGGAGTGCATTTGCAGGTGTACTTTCCAATTCCATCAATGCATTCACCATTATTCTTACACGGTCTGCTTAGGCAGTCGTTTCGATTCCTTTCACACGATTTCCCTTCAAATCCAGCTGGACACACGCACTGATATCCATTCACTCGATCAACACACACCCCACCGTTCTTGCACGGGTCGCCCGTGCATTCATCTATGTTAATTTCACAGTACCCACCAGTGTACCCTGGTAAACAGTGACATATGAACTCTGATTTAGGCAAGCTGGTGCAAGTCGATCCGTGTTGGCAGCGATTGTGATTGCAATTGCCCAGATCAGCTGATGCTTGTCGCACAGAACAGTTCTTTCCGCTCCAATTAACTTCGCAATCGCAACGATAATCATTGTCCAGGTCGGTACAAATACCATGAATACAAGGGCTTGGTTGACACTCGTTCGTGTGATGTTGACATCTGTTTCCATAAAAGCCAGTTTGACAGACACATTGATATGAAGAGACCTTGTCCATGCAAACACCGTTATTCATGCAAGGGTTGCTTTGGCAGTCATCTACATTGATTTGGCAATTCTTACCAGTGAAGCCAGCAGGACAGAGGCATCGATAATCGTTTTCAAGGTCCTGGCACAAGGCTCCATGTTGGCACTGCCCTCGACAGTCCACAATATCTTTAAAGATACAAATGCAATTAACAATGATTCAAATAGCAAATTACAAAGAAATATAGGCAAAAGAATGACTTAAAAAATATTTTTGTCAAGAGATATAAGCAGCATGGAAAGAAGTAAACAGATATAGAGAAAGGGCCTCCACATTATTAATCAAACATCCCTCGTGGTTTCTTTACATTTGCCAGTAAAAATGTATTAAAAAAATAGCTATGACCTATGTGATATGATAGTGACAAGCGTCTAAATGATGTAGGTAGTAGATTGAACGTAAAAGAACTGAGCCACGCTACATTTTGTGCATAAGTAGAGTTGAATGGGCTGCGCACGTTCTTTTAGAAATTTATAAATTTTCTACAGATAAGAAAATTTGAATAAAAATGATGTGAACGTTACAATGAAACTAACAGAATAATTGTCGAGCACATGGAAAAAGTTTGCATTATTCATTGGTTAAGGCAAAAGGGAATTCGTTTATCAGGACACATAAACACGATTGTTATTAGCGGAGAACTAAAAACAGTAGCAAAACATCTTTAAAGCTGACAGCAGCTTTGCTGTTCTAAGATTGCGCATGATTTCTCAATAGGCCCGCCCTCTCCTATACAAATATCTTTGAAAATCCTATCGCTTTGGGACTACAGTGCTCTGCTTGCAGGCTTTATCAGCGCAGTCGTTTTCTGACAGTTAGATAACTTTTGCTTTGTGCATATTGCATTAATAATTCATTAGTGCTTTCAAAATACATCAGACTTTCATTTATCGAGGACATATTAATTGTTTTCGACTCAAAGTCACTGGGAAAAAGGTATTATTTATGGATAGAATTTGAACACATTTTGTAGCAAAATATTCTATTTAATGTTCTTGAGATTTTCTGTAGTTTTACCTGCATAATGGTATATTGCTGACAGTGTGGGGAGATCTTATGAATTAAAAATCTTATGAATTTTCAACAGTTCACAGTGAGAAGGCTGTGGTCGAAATTTTATAATCCAACAAAGCAAGATTCGCTTTGTTTCATTTTTCATTTCCATAATAAAATCACCCGCTACGATTAGCAAAATTTAGACCAAAAATGTTCTTCAATATCTGTTTGCAATGTCTAACGTCTAGATGAAATTGTTCTTACCTTGGTCACAATTCTTTCCTCTCCAGCCAGGTTTGCACGAGCAAGAATAATCATTGACCAGATCAGAGCAACTCAGGGAGTTCACACATGGGCTTGACAAACATTCATCAATGTCTAGAGAACGGAAAGTGTTATTAACACTTAGAACGAGTTCTGCATAACACAATATAGTTAATAAAAGTAGGTTATGAAACCCTTATAGCTAGAATTCACTCACATGTTTCTCTACTCCGACATATGGTATTAAGACCACGCAAAAACATGGTCAAAGGTTACAGAGGTAACAAGAGATGACGAGTAAAAAGGTATAGCATCGTGGTGGGGGTCGAAGCGGGTGCCCCACAACATTCTTATAAGATATGATCTTTTAAGTCACTATATCAGATCCTTCAATATTTACTTTGCTTCAACCTATTCAAGACATACGCCCCCCTGTAGAAACAAATTAATCAGCAACGATTACTAATATCAGACATGCAAATAGGTAAAATGATTTCCACAGTATAATTGATCTTACTTCGCTGACATCTAACACCTTCCCAGCCCTTGGCACATTTGCAGGAAAAGCCGTTGACCAAATCGATACAAGTACCGCCATGTTGGCATGGTTTACCAACACAATCATCGATATCTAGAAGAAAATTACTTCAATCAATATCTGAACACACAAAACCATTTGATGTTTTTGTCTGTACACACAAAACACTACTATTTGAAAAGCAACGAAAGAGATAAAAAGCTTGGGATTGCTAGTCCATTTGATACTGCTTGAGAACCAAATTAAGGCGCAGATTCATAATTACTGAAATATATTTCATTTGTAGTAACGGAAGTTTTAGTGATGCATTGATTTTCAACTCTACGAAACCAATGGCAGAATCTAACTAGAATTATTGCAACTTGCTACCTACTTTTTTCGCATCTTTCTCCATCAAATCCAGCTGCACATATGCACTGATATCCATTTTGCCGACTTATACATGTAGAATTATGCAGACACGGTCTTGACGCACACTCATCTCTTTCTGAAGTAAAAGTGAGTTCCAAATGTTTATTCTCGTTCATAACCCAAAGAGGTAATTAGAAAAGCACCGAAAAAGCAGAAATCATCTAAGAGAAATACTATATAACAAATGAAGATCATAGTAAAAGGGCAGGACTGATTCTTGAGTAGATAAGGCTCCATATATGTTACTGAAATAAAAAAACGGGAGTTGTTTGCAGAAAAGAATGGCGCTGCTTAAAAGGAGAAAAGATTACTATGGGATTTTTGACGTACGATTTTTGAAAATTATCTCAGAAGACGGAATTCAAACACGTAACATCGTGATATGAAAAACAAGTTCACCAACAACTAGAACAGGTCCATGTTGTATTGATTAAAATACAAATCCCTACAATTTCAGACTTTTAACTAATAAAAGAGTCATTCAAGTAACCTATGGTGGCTTTACATTATTCTAACTGAGCAAAATGCGTCTCAAAAAATCTTTTCGCGTTCACATACTGCAGATTATTATGTCTACTGATCAAATATTAAAATCTTCACGACTTCATTCAAACAGCTCGCACATCACCGTCTGATTTCATAACAAAACAGCGTGAAAATCCTTAAAAAAATTTCCGGCTCAAACTAACATTCAGATTTTCTCATGACGTAATACCAGAAACAAACACGAAACTAGGCCTACAGAAGAAATCTAACAAATAGGCATGCGAAATACAAACAAACAAACGGCACAGTGAAAGAATATTATTAAGTGTAATGTATCGACTGGTAACATTTGTAGAATCGACAATGACTTTTGTGGAATTCTAACACAAGAAAGGGCGGTCTTTCTTACAAAGTCTTTCAAAACTATACATATGGATATATAAACAGAAAAACATTGCGTAAAATTTTGGTGGAATGTGCGACAAGAATATAACAGAATACAAGCTAAAATGATTGAAAACAAACAAAGATTGCAAAAGTTAGGGCTTTCAGCCGAAAAAGGAATTTCTAAGTCTATAAGCATACCAAATGGCGATTGGAATGACGCATTTCGCAGTCAAACAAATTTTTGCGAGTCCCTTGTAATATTAAATACAAATTGTTTCTGCTACGCATATTGAAGCCTACGTGAAAGTAACCTTCATCAAAGACGCAGGCGCTTTCATCCAAAGACTTTGCTGAAGACAAGGAAATCAAATTACCTCTTTCGCAATTTTTCCCAGAGAATCCTGGAAGGCAATAGCATTTGTAGTTGCCAGGCGATGTATTCAAACAAGTGCCTCCGTTCCGACAAGGTTGATGACGACACATGTTCAAGTCTAGAACAAATATAGGAAACTTATTTAAGCCCTTCTGAGTTCAGGGAGACATATAACGATCTGAAAGGGTTTAAATATATAAGTACGTTGGCGATCCTCATACCTTGATTGCAAAGTACACCGCCCCATCCTGGCATGCAATCACATTTCCAAGGGGTTGAGCATGTTCCGTGTACACAGTGGGGAAATGTCTGGCACTCGTCACATAATGGCCCTTTCCATCCGCTCAGACACCTAGATCAAAAGTATTTGTAATAAATATAGTGCAATAATAACTTCTTAGAAATGATCTAACTCTGAAACACAGAAGAAAGATACACTGGTTGATGAAGATTAAATTCGCGCTTTTCAATTTCTATCTTTTATTTACCAATGAAAATAAAACTATTTCAAGGAAAAATGAATTGTTACTTCTTTTTTAGAATAAATCTTGAGATACAAAATTGCGGTTGATTAATACAATTCTGGGTGCATCAAGTCGGGAAGCAAATATTTTATCGGAGAAGGACAATAGAGTAAAAGACAATATCAGCAGTGGCACATTAATTTGCTACTGGAAAGCAAATAGCAAGAAGGTGTTTACATGGCAGACAAACGAATAATTCTTGAGCCAAGACATACATAATTTTACCAATCATTGTATATTACTGCGTATGTACATGTTAGATTTTCAAAGCAAGCAGTGTAGCGAAATTTCATGAGCGAGGATTATAAACCAGAATTTTAAATTAAATTTTTCGTTGGATCCACAAGCCAAGCAAATAGTAGATCTAAGCAATTAAACAGCTGGTTAAACTCGAAGAATATCGTTTCTCCAAGGCAATTTCATTCTTCCATAAGAAACTATCACAACCAAGCTATGTCACATAACAATATAAATTAAGATGGATAAATTTTAATTTGGTTTCTAATCACAAAAACTTGGCATACTAAACAGTTTTTTACATCTTTAGCATTCACATAGCCATCGCCAACATGTCATTGATCTCAATACTTTTTCCGTAAAAATTACATGTAGGCACAGCCTTTCTAACGAGTCTCACAACCTATTAAACTCCAAAGAAATGACTTAATATATTCCAGCTTTTTCTGGTCTACTTTTCAGTAATATATAACTCGCAAATCCTAACAGCGTTTATATAACTTTCCACTCAGCGAAAGTCATAAACTTGTCAGTTGCTGTTATTAGATTTTTTCCACGCTTCAACGGATGTGCATTGATAATTTACTTGCAAGAGTTGTTCCGCTTGGGTGGATGCATTATTGATCAAGTTAATGGACAGTTATCAAGCAACAAGACGCTGGAGGAAGCTCTAGCGAGGAAATACAATGCTCCTTACAAAGAGTAGCCTCTGATAAAGAAAAGTTAGTCGGAGAAATTGAGAACTTTTTAGTTTGAAAATTATGACCTGTCCAATAAAACGTGCACGGATGAAATCATTTAATCATCCAAAAAACATCGTGGATTTATTATTTCTTGTTGAATATAATGAAAGTAAATCGAAGGATTAATGCATCAAATGAAGAGAAAGAAGCCAGCATGAAAATGCAAATACATAAACAGCCACCTGCACTCCCAAGGTTTGCTGCAAAATCCATGATCTGGATCACAGCCTGTCTTGCAGACAGCTACGAGAAAAACAAGCGATGGGGTACTTAATCATGGAAACCACAAATAAATAATAAAGCAATGAATTGTGGCTAATTTTAGACGTAGTCCATTTAGATTGATCATATTTATTCAGCATGATATAATACACGAAATTAGATTTTCTTTGGAAAATAACGACTTGAGTCATATTTTGTGGTCTTGGTGTGAAGCTTGACTCAGCTTTGCAATTAATTATGTGAGCAATGACAAGAATACCTAGGTCATCTGTTGGATATTTCATAGACAAGAATAATAGATTTATATACCAACACTATGATAAGACAGAAAGTTGTTTAGACTTAAACACTCTCTTCACGTCTAAAGTTAATACAGTATTGATAAAGTTCTTTTTATCTTCAAGAAGCAAATGTACACAACCCTTAAGGGATGTTTGAACACAAAACTCGAAGAATTATAAAACATAAGTCACAATTAATTTAATTTAATATTAATTATCATAGTTTTAGTTAGTTCCTCTGATTGGAAAATTTTATGACAATATTTTCACTTACGAATATTGCAATATGGTCCACTCCATCCTGGCAAACAAATTCTGTTTCCATTTCTGTCGCATGTGTTGTGTCCATACTTATCACTTCTTGGTTTGCAATAAACAGTGCATGACATACCATAATAATGCTCATCGCATTTAAGTCTCAATTTGTAAACTAATGTGGCAGCAGGACCATTGTATGTATGAAGCTGCCAGGTGTTATTTGGGGTAAGAATACCAAACTTGCTCACTCTGTCAATTAGATCTAAATCAAGATAGAACAAAATTTAGCTGCAAGCTTTAAATAACTTTATTTTTCATTCACAAAAATGATAACATGCAAAAATGAGACTAAGAGATAGAAAAATATCTTTTAACAAAAATGATGACAAGGAAAAACTTATATGAAAAATGAACATATGTATAAACAATAAAAAAATATTGATAACATTAAAAAATAAGAGATAAAAAATTGATATTTTTGACCACTGACATTCTGCACCAAATAATGAATAATTAAAAAGAAAAAGTATCCACTTTCCATCATTCATATCAACCATTGATTGCAAAAAGTAGAAATTGTTTGAAAACTATGCTCATTTAGATCTTGTGAAAAACCTGCCACTAACAGCAGGTAGTTTGGTGATGTGAAATTGTGTGCATGGTGAAAATGAATCAGTTGCCATTAGCATTCTTAATCAAAATCCTTAATCCAGCATGAGAAAACCTTTGTTGTCAGGGTAAGTATATTGAAGCTTAGGATGTCAATATTGAGGATGATGCTGACATCATCTCTGACATCATATTTTGTGCATAAGATGAATTTAATTAATTATAAGTAAAACCTCAAAAAGCCTGACTCATTTATAAGAAAAACATTTCATATCATTGTGATTCTAAACAAAATTCCCACAAGTAAATTTCATAGACATGGACATATAAACATAACTGAAAAATAACAAAATAATTGATTATTCTAAACACAAAAAGTTTGATATAAGTTCACTTAAAGTGTTATGAAACATTTTGAAGCCAACAGGGCATTATCCTCAAATACAGGCATCAAGGTATTTTGAATCATGCATCATGGTAAGTTCTTAGAATAACATTTGGTGTTTTCCTAGTAGGGGTAGCAGCATAGAGGATCAAGAGTCTTCCTCTTGTTGGGGGTAAAGAGGCTCTAGACAAGTTAGCAAGCTTCTATGCTAGTTTTTTCACCATTATACTTAATGCCACAACATTGAGCACGTCTGTTAATGCTTCCATGTCATTAAAATTGGATCAAGCGATGCATTTGCTTTTTGAAACCATACGAAAAGAGATTACATAACATATACAGCAAGTGAACAAAAACAAACAACTTAAAATTTAAAAACTGAAAATGCACAATAATAAGCAAATTTCTAGTGACAAATTCCATATGCAAACCTATGTAAGCTCAAATCAGACAAAATTTACATTTCACTCACCAAATTTCCCACCTTCATCTTTATCAAGGATATCAATTATTAAAACAAATGTCATCTGAAATAAATATCAAAAGATTCATCTTCAGGTCTTGTTTTAAAGTAGTATTGAAGATAAATGCAATCATTCATGGTACTGGAAAACTGACTGACATACAATCTGAAAAAAGCTTCAGTTTTAATTTTGAGAAAAAAACACAGAAGGCATTTCAAAGGAAATGAAGTCTGGTTGTCTAAACATATAATAAATCCACAGAGCTCAATCAAACACAATTAAACAATGTTACAGGAGACTGACGATCTTTGTATATTCAAATTTTTGCGTGTCATTGGTAATGTCTCAAATCCCTTTTTCAAAACAAAACGATGTTCTATTTTTATAGTTCCAGAAACCTAGTTTCAGACCAATCAAAGGGAGCATGATCAAAACAATAACTCTTCATCGAACCTGGGAAAAGTCATTTGTCTAAAAAACAAGAGGTTCAAGAGGTTTAAAGTGTTTTGATATCATAGCAATTACTATGCTCGCAAAAGAATATGAAATATCACAGCTTATCGTAGTATCATGTTTTGTAGCCAAGTCTAAGATGAGTAGTTTCGAAATCTCTTTGTTTGTTAGAGAAAAGCACGGCTTTAAAACATCGTGCACTAGCACCGAGTGCCCTATATGGCTAAATAAATTCAAGTAGCTTTCTGCATTCCCAAAGAAAAGAAGTTTATTACTGGGACTGCAACTTCCCTTACGGATTTGTAATTTCTACTACAAATGACAAATTTTGGCGCCAAATCATTCAAGCCGAAATTTCGTGGCCACGTGCACCGGATTGACTACACAACACCTCGAAAGAACAGACGAACAACAAACGATTATCCGGGAATAATTATTCTTTTGAGCTACACGGCCTAGAAAGTTTATTGAGCAATCCCGATGATTGTCTTTAGTGTTTGAGAATGAAAAGGGGGCGTGAGAGAACACACTCTAGCAAACTTTGACATGGAGGCAGGTGCGAGTTGAATAGGTTCCCATGGAGTGGTCAGGATGATCTGTGCTTGGCGATATTGTTATTTAAATCCCTAGTCTCGTTAATTCAACTCGGCGCGAGCGTCATGACACATTTCAAAAGCACACACGTGGCTCAGTAATATTCATTTGATTCCTGGGTACACAAGAAAACTGTGAGTTTGCAGGTCTTCTCACTCAAACTCTCGGCAATATTTATTTTAACGAGAGGCCTCCAAAGTATCGCGCAAACCATGTCCTCATTGGCTGGTGCTTAGCAGCTGTATTTTGATTTTAGGAGAACCTAAAAATTGCAACTCAGCTCTTGTAGAGGCTCCCTGTAAGACCATTTTTCCTTGTCAACATTCCTGGCCCCCGGTGTTGTTTTGAGCATTTACAAATTAGTTCAGCAGGAGAAATATCGAAGAAAGCTACACGAGGTTAATTTTAGATTACATTGGAGTTGCGGCGAAAGCCCCCAAATGTAGCAAATCAAAATAACACAAAAACTTGAAGAAATCCTTGTAGCTGTAATTTCGGGGGGAAGGAAAGTTTTATCCCAACTTTCTAAATTAAGGAAGTTTACCACATGACAAAAATAATCTTTAATGTCACAAACAAATTGATTTCTAAGAGGTGATTTCCGTGGAGAAGGAAACCACTGCTTGAAAAAGACCAACAGGCAGCACGCTTCGTATCTGAAGTCAAATTAACTTGGGGCGAAGAATATTTCTTGATTTCGCAAAATATAATTAGCTAAAGAAGCCTGCCCTATACGATAGTGAGTCTGGGATCGCGCTGACCACACGGAATCATAACAAACCCTGGTCTTCTATACATAATTCATCAAAGCTTGCAAGGTGTCTTTTTCAAGAAATAAAGTAGTACACACATCAATGCAAAAAGTCTTCGTAAAAATAACCTGCGTATATCCAGGGAAGGTTAACACTAAATAAAATAAAACTTATATTTGACTTACCGTCCACGAAAATGTAAATGGCAACACGACTGGATTATTGAATTTCCTGCCATCTTTCATAGTTTTGTTTTTTGCCAAGGGAATCGTAAACGAATTCTCCCCAAGAACAGGAGTGGACATGCTGCCAAATCTACACGGTCCTGTTGTACTTTGAGTAGCACCGTACTGTTTGACGCAGAGATTCAAGTACGTATCGCATGGGTCAAGGCATCTTTGGCTGCCAAACCTGAGTGTATGGCTCCCATCACAACAAGAACCGTTTCTTAACTCTCCAGCAACATTCTTAATTTCCACAAGTTGCAATTCGAAGGCTCCAGTACCAATAACATCCTGAAGGATAACAATTGGAAATTAATGCCCCCAAAACATATGAGAACAATAAACATAATACCCCCAAAATGACAACAATTGGCTTAAAATATCAAACAGACGCCATGGTTTGAAACAAAGTTCATGTAAGGTACGTATTAACTCCCTTGCAATAATGATGATCTTTGTAGTATCGTGTACAAAACGAACCTTTGTATGAAGAGCCAAGACTGCAACTACAAATACGAATATCGCAACCCTAGAACTGCACATAGTTTGATTATCTCCTTACGAGAACGGCCTGAAGCAGCACCCCGATTAGGTCTACCTGTCCACGAGACATGAAATCTGAATAAAATATAACGAACGATGCGATGATGTTTCTAAACCTCATGTGATAAATAAGCCAGGATGCGCGTCTTGCTCGATTCAAATACTCCGCGATCTGCCGGGCTACCGAAATCTAAATCCCTTGGGGCGGTGTAGCACAGTCGGACGCATGCGCATATTCAACAACTTGCTGCTCGAGAAACCATTTACACTTAGTTCAATACAAATTATCGACTAAAACAACAAGAAATTACAGAGTATTTTTATTTATGCCAGATCTTATTTATCTTTAAGTCAAGATAGTACATGCTGTGATGAACAAAGGAATTTACGGGCAGATGGCCGGGCCGCAATCTTATTTCGTTTGTAAATTGTCTCCTAGGGTCCAGCCGCCTGACCGGGGACTTTAGTAAGGGGGTAAGCACACAGAAAAATAAAATCTACTTTTTATTAGCATAATCATCGCACAATTCTCAAATTAATTGCTTTTTGGGCGAAAGATTGTGAACATTGCGCAACCAAAAGGGCAATGTTATCCTCAGTGCCCCTTTTGATGGGAAACTTATAAAAGAATGGTCCGCAGACGGCAACCACAATCTTGACGTAATTCGATTGAGGAAAGAACTATTAATGGCAAAAAGAATGCTCAACTGAATAAAGATAACTGATATTGGGTTATTCAAATTCTGTCACAGGGGGACCTGTCAGCCACGTCCCAGCACGCGACCAGAATCCTTCGGCACGCGTGCAGTCAACATTAGCAGTCTTGGCTTGTTTAAAAGAAGGAATGCAACTGATATCCCGTGAAACAATCTCGACATCTATTAGATAGAAATTTGTTCCGCTCCTGAACAAATTATCAAAGTGCCAGATCTTATTTATCTGATTTTCTTTCCTACTTGATCAGGAGGGAATTGTATATAAATTATCAACCCGTACCAGGCTAGTGAAATTTAGATCGAAAGGCAATTATAAGCTTAGTAATAACTCAGTAGATAGGCTAAACATCGCAAGTAAAGTGTGGGAAAATCAGGAAGCTATCCGTAAAATTGGTTGGAGTCGGCAGCGGCTGTTATCTTATGCAGTCGGATTACTGTGAGAACGAATATCTGGACGCGGCGTTCAAGAGATGTGTGTATAAGTTTGGTGAATTTGAGGTTGTCAGTGGCTGACACGGTTTCCTGCCAGGGACAGGGTGCGATTTATTACAAACACAATGATATCCCACCAAAATTGAAAAAGGTAGGAAATAACGATAAATAACAAACTCCACTTAATTTCTTAGATAATTAGGTTTTTGAAATACCCTTGACAATTCTTCCTGTCGCCTCCCACTTCCAAGCTGTTAAAACAATCACCCCCATTTTAGAAACGATAAAAACTAAATTTCAATAGACAAAAAACTTTTTAAGGACGCTTTCCGTTAAAGTCACAGAAAGACTAAAAAAGATCAAGAAAATTCTAAAATCTTATGCAAAGAATGCAAACGGTCTTACAAAGGTTTCATCTTCATTATAAGGCTGACTAATTCGGGCTTGTGCCATCAATTTTCCGTTTCAAAGATTACCCTGTTATTAAACTACGACTAATATTTAACGGTTAGTGATAAAATTGTTCTACTGATATTTGCTAGCACCAAATATAATAATGAAATTGCTACGGATTAGCTCTGTTCATAAAAGCAATCATTTTGACCAATTCACAGGCCACGAGAACAAATACTACTATATGCTTAAAAGTACACACAAAAACCTTTTTTATTGATTTCGTAGACATGTAAAAAAAACAACGAAGTACAGCATATTAATCCACCTGAGCTTAACAGGGCTGATTTGAAAGCAAGGTGCATGAGTACAAATCCGTTTTGATATCAAAGCCTTGCTTAGTTTATGTATAATTAACCTTTTGTTTTGGTTCGAAAAGACTTTTCTTCTCGGACAAAAACGCGATAATACAACTGTTTTCAACTTGCACTGGACAATAATCTTTTCAAGGTATTATTAACTGCCTCGTGGAGTTTTGTCAGACACATTGAGGAAAATTATCTGTTTATTCTGAGCTCAGGTGCTTTAAGAATATACGGAAGATGCGTTCACAGAATAATTGTAATAATAGAATAAGCGATACAGTGACAGTGCGCAGGGATCTTGACTCTAGAGTAACCCTCATGACGTCACAAACAACTACTTGTGGTTTACATGTAAAGACTTTTCGGTAAAAAGTTTGACAAGACTTTTATTGAAAGAATGATAGAAAACACAGTAAAGTAGCAGAAATGAGTACTGAAAGTGATGATGTTTTCTTTTCAGAATAGGGTGTCATAGTACATCACCATCGGATATCAACCATAACATTGCTATAATCATTAGAGTACTCATTTATGGCGAGTCACATTGTTGAAATATATGCTAGTTATCAATAGAGGGTGTGTTGTAGCATTTTTTTGTTTGTTAACACTCTCAGTCTACATGAATATTTAAGAAAACATTAAATTTGCATTAGGGGCAATTAGAGATGGAGATCAATTCAATTTTTGCAATTGATGTCTTAACGTAAGCGAAATACCACCTTAAACACCTGGACTATCAATATGCTGTTTTATACCCCCACCACACCTCGTCGCCGAATGAAGGGCCCCTAATGATTTTGGCAAATGAATGACCCCTAATGAATCCATTTATGAATATAGATCCAACCTAAGATATTTCAATAGGGGACTTTTTCATCAACATTAAATAGTAGTCAAGTTAAGAATCCAAATAAATGGACTCTTGAGCCAAAACAAGCAAAGAAGTTGATTTTTCACGGACTGGGGATGATTCTCCCATTGTCATGTAAAAAAGTGCTCGCAAGTTTCTTACGAGATGCAGTGTCCAGAAAAATAATTTTGATAAGGAAACTCTCCTCCTGAAATATTTTTATGGTGAAAACTGACAAACATAAAAAAGTTAGCATTGTCTAGTTGCCTTATAGGATAATGTAACAACCAGCTACCCGTAAAAAGTACGTGTGAAAATTTGAAGGGAGCTATTAAAGGTTCAAGAATTTTGAACAACAATTATAGCTATGTAAATTCCTTGGAAAATATCCTGAAGAAATATTTCTAGGTAATTGAGTAGGCAAAGCCAGGTTACAAATTTTAGGAAACGTTTGTTTCAAAGGCCGTGATTTCATTCGCAAATATTGTACATAAGGTGTTTTAATAGTCAGGTGCTAATGTATCACGTGCACAAATTTATATTTGATAATGATTTCGCGCTTGAGAATCAATGAAGGTGAAGGATCCCCCCTTTCAAACAAACGCGGGCCGCTAAGCGTTCCTCAATGGCACAAATACGGATGATAAAGCTGTATTAACGATGTTATCGTGTGGCAGGCAGGTGTACTCACAATCCACAGTCATACGACATTAATCATTAGACAATAAGGTCAATACGATCAAAAATTCCATAGAAGTAAAATTGTAGCGAGTTAATTCATTTATTTTGATTGGGCAAACGTGATGCCAGCTGTATTACGGTCTAAGATGGAATCCCATCTTTTCACGGCAATGCCGCAAATAAGCCATTGAGAAGTAGACTTGAGAGCTCGTATTGTACTTGTTCAAACAGCGTTGAAACACGAAGACTTCTCAAACCACAGATGTCGTACAGAATATGCGCTCGAATAGGGATATTAATCCATGTGTAAAATGGTCCACGTGTGCCAGGCCTCAAGGCAATGTAGCGCGTCCTATGTCAACTTCCAAACCAATTTAAGATATTCCACAGAGTTTTAAGTTAATGAATGCCTTTAGAAATGGCTACATAAGATTTGGAAACCCAAAGGCTGCACGAAACCTTTTGCTTTTATCGTACAAAGGTTTTTCAGGGCTGTTAGAGGAGGTTTCAAAACCTTTGATATACATTTCTTGACTGGAGCTTTAGTCCATAATAAGTTGTAGATTAGTTTACGTACGACATTTGTTCAAAAATGTTTTTCTTATCGATTCCGCATGTTGGAATATTTTGATACTGGAAACACCGAAGACTATACCAGGAATAAGAAGACGAAAGCACTGTCTGATTTAAAAAGATAAAAACGAATTTTAATGTGGCAAATAGATGTATCAAATCTAGTCGGCCTACTTAAGTTATGAAAATTTTAGAGATGGAAATCTCAAAGCAAAGACAGGGTACATTATCTTAAGGAACAAGACAGGGTCCACTCAAAATGCATGCTTTATCCTACAACTAAAAATTCATGTTTTATGGAAACTATTGGGCACTATGAAGGCTTCGAAAAGGGCCAGACTGTAGTTGAATTCTTAGTCTTTTCACTGTATTGAAATCAGAAATAGTAACGTGAAAACTTTGATTGTGATACACTGAGTAGAGAAGAGCAAATTCCTCAAAACCCGACAATAAGTGTATAAGCTATACTACAAAACAAACCTAAAATCTTTGCAAACAAATCTCTTTGCACGAAGCTTTGAATGCAATGCAGTGTCTGAAGAGTTTTGAAAGCAACTACAAAAACTGTGGAGAACCTTCATTGTGAAAGATTCTAAAACCCAATGGGGCTTGTGGGGATAAACGAGAAAACCCTCAAAAACCCAAATCTATTGTTTAGAATTTCATGACTAATTCCAAGCATAAATTATTAAAGCTGAAGCATCGAAAAAAGGTTAAAAGCTAAAATAGACATAAGGAAATAAAGACAACCACACCCCCTTTAGACCAAATTCAAAACCAGCCCTCAGAAGCACGTTAACGGTTACTTGTTCAAGCTGCGCCACCACAGCGGCAAAACTACTTCATACAGCCATGGATAGTGTAATGCTAGGTTGGATTTGTCAAAAATAAAAGCTCTGAAAACAACGAGAAAGATACCTATGCCGAGAGGAAAAGTGGTGCATTCAAAAAGAAACATAACATCTTTATACTCATTAGGTCTATAACCCCGAGTGGTATTTTCAAACCTTTAAAATAAAGGACATTTTGAAAAAAATGTTCATTGGGGGTCTGAAAAAAATAGATATAAATTCTTGGAATTGGAGGAAGAGGGACTGCGGCTAAAGTGATGGAAAATATTTCACTAATAAAACGTAGTTGACATGCTGACTGCATTTCATAATAACAACATATGCATGACAAAATATTTATCAAGATATGACGTCATGATCGTGATAGCATATTAAAACACTCAAAATTAAACCCTCGTTATACTGACGATTGAAGAAAAACGTGTGGTTTCCTCGAGGCCTGATAATGAAGAAATTCATATGGCAGAGGCCTCAGGCCAGCCACATTTGCTTCCTTGCTAACCATAACCTTATGAGGCTGCATCTTATTACCTTTTTAAGGTGCATGGAACGGACATTTAATGGACATTACTGATTAAAGTTATCTGTCTTCAGATGCTTCGCGTCACGAAACGCCTGGCTACTGGTTTATTTTGACAATCAACTAATTACGTGAAGTTAAAGTCTAATTAACTTTTTTCTCACCAGCAAAACAGTTTACACATTTAGGAAATGCGTTGTTCGATGAACATTAGCTGTTAAGCAAGAAAACTGTGACAAAAAGTGACAATTTCTGATTTGCAGAAGAGGGTAATGTATTTGTAATTTTATGCACACCATGTTCACCAATAGGCCAGTTGAAAACTTTGAAATGTGCATTTGTACATTTTGAAGTCAGGGCGATTGTGTTTTTTCGGTTAAGTGTAAAATCAGACCTGTATCACCAGCTGTTTGTTCACGTGCAGTTGTTTTTCTGCGGGTATCGGGTACTTGGCTGCGAAAAACTTGGCCTAACCTGCTTCTTAATAATCACTTCGCAGGTGTATTCAGACTGAGATGGTTACACCAGATTTAAAGACGTGTCTTAAAAAGGATTTAACACGGAAAAGGCATTGCACGAACTAGCGAGTAAAAATAATAGAGACGTCCCTGATTTCTTTATAAGTATTTCTCTCGAAGCAAAGCATAAAGCTACTGCTAGCAAGTAGATGATTATAAATTATGTAACTTAATCTGAAAAGGTTTTGAATGTGAACGAAGCGCATGCGTGGAAAGCAAAATAAACGTGAAAGCAAGAGATTCTCTTGTTGTCTTTGTTAAAGTGAACACGATCAACTTCCATGTATTGGTAATAGCAAACCTATCGTGTCATAGCTGATACATGGGAGGTTCAGGTGACGAGGAAACTTAAATTGCCTTATCGAATGTTAGCATCCATCATGATGTAATAGCTAATAAAAGGCATTTTTACTTTGGGGTGTCTTTATATCCTACCAGAATCTTACGTAGGGCCACATAGAAAAATTTTCCGAAACAACTAACGAAGAATTTGGTTTGCTGTTCTATTTATTCAACATATTTGTTGGAATCGATTAGATCTTGTGTTAAACAAGAATAAAGCCAAGAAACAATTTTAAATATAGACACAACTGATAGGACCAATTGGCATTCTGTAGTATTGTAAAGAAACAGCCAAAAATGCCCATTCGCTGCCTTGATCAGCCAACAGGGGAGGACTTGTGTTTTGTGACGATGGCTATCTTCGAGTGCTCCACAGCTCGGCTAGTAAGCTTACTCACGTACTACTAGGCCCTTGGCATTTCATTGCGTTTAGCAGTCCGTCAAGGTCCACTAAAAATCATCCTTCATGGCTTTTGGCATTATTCTGTTTAAGACTACCAAAAATTGAAAGAATATCTGAGTTCTGGTCGGATATCGTTGAAAACCCCATTTAGAAAATATTTAAACGTAAATTAAACTTTACTTAGATTGTTAAAACTACTGCTATCTCTTCCGCGGTCTGTTACGCTGTAATACCAGCGGGAAGATAAAGATAGGATACCAAATCTACAAATTTCTTAAATATGTGGCAAAGATATGGCTCTGGACTTTTTTAGTAGAAGAAATGTTGCATTGTAGAAGCGTCAATGTTTTCCACAGTTAAAGAGGGACAGTAAACCTTAAGGTGAAAAAATATCTATACTTGACCCCCTCGGAAAATGAGAATGCCCCCTAATCATAGAAAAACAGTGGACCTAAAACGTAGTCTTTCATAATCCAATTGATAACACGTTGATCTTGCGTGCTGCAGTTGATTAAACGGCCCGAAGAATCAGCGAAAAAGACAGGGAGCGTTACGCCTACTTTGCGATATGTAAGCGGATTTCAATCCGCAATTCGCAGCGTGACGCATAACACAAAGCGGGTAAAAACGATGTTTTCAAACCTCATGTAAGAAAATTCCCAATATGGGCGAAGAACAGGCCGCTTTCTGACGGGCAAGAAGTGAATTTGGTTTCTGGACAAAAGATCGAGAAATATATTTGTTTCTTCTAAAAGCTCTTTCCACTCAAGCGAGGCAAACCGTGCAGCGGCATTGCGTGTTGCGCTTGCCGGCACTTTGTTTAAACCGTACCCGTACCGACACGTTAAAGGGGAACAAAAGATACAGAAATGTTCACCACAATGAGGAGAAAAAGCACTGAACGCACGAAGAAATCCAAAAAATGAAACAAGAAAACGCCTTAATATCCAACCCAGTAGAAATGATCAATACGAAGAAGATAAAAGAAGTATGAGAGTACATTAATTCCACATTTCTGCCAAATCTTTAATTCCACATTTCACACTGGCACATAGAGATTTTCAAACTAAACTCAAAAGAAGCCTAGTATCTGAACGCGATTGGAAGGCGATGGTCAGCAACAAGCACAACAATTATTAAGAAATAGAATGCAACTAGAATCCAGAAAAGAACACAGGATAATTTATAGTCTGGAAGTTTCCAAAAATATAATTCTTCCCATGTGCACCCTTTTGTCCTGATATTCAGTTTTGGGGTTAAAAGCTAAAGCAGAACGAGGTCAACAAACAACTTCATGCTCCTAGCTCAAATTTGATTAACTGTTATTAGGCGTGCGTACTCCTAACAGGTGGCAAATGACTGATTTCCAGGTCATATGATTGTTAGAGCACCCTGTGACGCGCCAAAACCGTTATCTGGTATTTCCAATGTTCAAAACGTGTCTTCTGGGTCGCTTGGCAGGATTCCCCCAGAATTCACATTTGAGGTACAGTGGAGGGGGGGGGGGTGAGAAATATATCATTTGAAAATACATATGAAATTTCAAGGTAATACGGACAAATGGAAGCAATTAAATGTGTAGGCCTAAATAAAATTTATTGTAAAGAACAATGTTATGTTCATATGGGGATAACGTTGGCCCATAGAAAAATTGGGATAAATCAGTATCGTTCTGTCTCTACCTCTGAAGAAGTCTTACCAAGAAACGAGGCTGCTTTGCCCATTGTCGATAACTTTCTAACGTCGTGCATATGCATAGCTTTCATTAAGAAAATCAATGTTCCCTAACTACTCAAAATGTTCAAAAGATTTGTAGCAACATGTTACTGAAAAGAAGATCTGTTTATCAAACAAGTTCAGAAATATAATGGTAGCAAGGTGAAAGTAAATGCCAACACCCCTTGTGCCATTTTCTGTCTCAATAATGATAATATGTCTATAGTGTTCGAAAATTTTAATTTTTGTCCACTACCCAAAAAACTGATCCCGAGATGTCTCTGGATGTTCGTGAACAAACATGATTTCATTAGAAAGTGGTCTTGGTCTTCGTATGCTTGAATACTAAATCTGCTGGCTGTTCAGAATCCAGACAGTTGCATTACTCTAACGGTTAACAACCAAAGGCAAAGAAATAAAAATAAGAAACAAGACATAACAGGACACAATTGGTAGCTTAATGACTGCGTGAAATAGCTCAATATGTTCATGATGCTCTGTTGTAACATTAATGTCACTGAACATGATGTCATGATGACAATTAGCCATTGACCCCGTGATTACGATGCCCACAACTGTCAGTCACGGAGGATGATACTGATAACGACTAGTTCCCATTATAGGCATAGTTTCAAACTTTGAACATAACCTTACATTATTGATGCAGGCACTACACCAGGGTTTTTAATGAAAGGCCTGATTCGACAATGCAGTTTACACGAAAATGTTTACTGCAATTGCTCATAAATTAGGGTTTGGTCAAAAAGAAAGATGAGATTAAAAAATACCCTTTGATAAACAAAACGAGATAAACAAGCTAGAAACCAGCTAGAAATACTTTATTATTAATCAGTTCAGCAGGCTTCATATTTCAAAGACAATCTTGTATCTTTGTTATCTTTAGGGAGAAATGCTCGATGTAAGATGGCAGACATTCAGTCTGCATCACTTTGCGATATGATGCTAATTCTTTGATATAAACTATTTAAAGTCCAAACAATGCTTGATGGTGCAATGTTTATTTTAAGACTCAAACAAGAGACACCAGTTATCCGAGATCAAAAAATTATGCCATCTCAGATTCTGTCACATGAATGAATAGAAGCAACTGGACATTTTTGCTGTTTACTGAAGATTGCTTTGTTTATGTGGACGAAACACTGAATAAGACTTTTGAAACTTCCCATGGTAATTAAAATTTATGACAAGAGAAAAATTCCCTTTACAAATTTATCGGCAAGTTTAGATGTATTTAGCTCCTAGAATATCAAATGAAGAAGAAGACTAAACAATCGCATATGTGACTAACGAAAACATCAGTCAATATTTCTACGGATCTAAATGCTCACCCGTCAGGGGCGTCGCCGAAGGGGAGTACAACAATTTGTTCGTCGGCACATTAAGGATTTTTTGCCGGGCAAAAGAATCTATTTTTGTACTCACCCTGGAACCTTTTTACAACAATTGGAAGGTATAACTTTTTGGTCAGTATATAAGAGTATTATCTTTTGACCACACCCTTCAAAAATGAGACACGCCCTTTTTGTAGGCATAAAGCACTTCTTTACCCCTTCAAACAAATTTTTTGGCTTCGCCCCTGTCACCCATAGATCTTTCCCGTCTGCCTTGTTCTTTAAAAGTAATCATAATGACGGTTTGGGAGGAATTTGACTAGGTCCTTTATTCAGCGAAAGAAAGTGCCTAGTACCGATTGTCATAAAGCACTCGGAGACATGTAGTTTTCAGGCTCCCTCAACAAACTTGTAATCTTTGCAACAACCTTTGCCAAATACACGTAAAAATGACAAATACACGCCTCGTTTGTCTGAATGATAGATACAGAAGCAACTAAGAACAAAAATAAGAAATTTGGAGCAAAGGCCGCAGCTAAAATGTTTAAGCTTCTTAAGCCAACAGTTCCTATTAACCGACTTTCAGCCAAAGTCGAAACAGGCTTGACTAGCTAACACCAAATATTCGAAATCCAAAACAGATTGTCCCAGCATCCTATATAAAATATTGTATGTGGATGGATTATGTGGTTTTTCAGGAAACCACTCAACTGGTTTTCGGGTGGTTGCTGGAAATAAAGCCAGCTGTAACTTAAAAATCATGAAAATAAATTGAAGCAAATTGGGACCCTGAGCATAGAGACATCAAGCGATACAAGCAGAGCACGACGGGAAGATAGCGTCGCCAATTTGTCTGTCCATTGGGTGAGTTTAAATCATAGCATTCATGATACAAAGCAGTGACATGCACAGGTATTTCATATGCAGGATGAAATTGCATGGTCACAAGGGCCAGTCTTCTTGCAAGATAATCCTTACTTCAGTGTGAATTTATCCGCCTCTTAATACAATCAGTGGTCAAAGAAGGGCAACCTTGTGATAACTGATATGTGAAACAGATGTATCAGCGATCTCTTGACCTCAAAAATCGACAATTTCCAATGCAATAAACGTTGTATATAAAGATGGCTACAATTTATAGCTCTTCGGAAAAGGCTGTCACAGCTAGGAAATGCACTGGGAGAGCTTTATTCCGCAGTTTACCATACATAGGACGCAGAACAAGCAGTCAAAATATGTCATAATAATTTCATTAAGGGTTCCACGGCAACAATGACGAGAGCAACCAACAAATCGCTGTACATCATAAAGATTTTCCTATTAGTTGCATAGCGGCAATGGTGTCAGGTTCTCTTGTGTTATCAGCTTATTCTGTTTTACGTCAATACAACACATAACTATCGAACGGGGTCGTAGGAAGCATCTCAGACCACACTTTGAGGGCACTTTTTTACTAGAAAGGCACTTGACAAATCACAGCTGAAAAAGTTAATTTTCAAAACTGGGATCATTCGAAGGAAAATGCTTGCCCAGGAAGGGCATTGTGCCTGCAATCTACTTAAAATAATTGTTTTAGGGAAATAGGGCACCTCCCTTCACTGCCCCCTGGTTCATGTCTCTGCTATCAAAGAAGGTTCCTGATAGCTCGAAACCTTTAATAATTCTGTGCTTTAGTTGTTATTGTTGCATTTGGATACAAAGCTAATGCAGTCAACGAAATCTTTGGACAAAAAGCCTACACAGTGACAGTATAAAGAGTTGTTGTTGGAAATTTTTAAAGTCGTGCAAGAAATGGCTTGGAGGAAGATCATAGCAAATTCATGGCCTTCAAACCTCAATCTTAAAATTACACAACTTTGAGAGATATATACTAGTAAAACAAAAGCTAATGAGCTTTAATTGCATTTTGAAATTTCCTTCCATTCCAAATCGAAAAGGGCCTAATTTGTTTATATCATGGTGAAAACTAGACCTGTTTATTTCCATAGGCCTAAATGTATAAACCAAAGAATCAATATTCTTTGTGCTCAAAATTAAGTACAATTTATCAAGAAAAAATCAAATTGACAAAATCTTAAAGAAACTGCATGTTTCTAGTTTTCATATCAATGGCAGTTAGACTTGTATCTGGGTTACTTTCATTTTATCAGAATATAAAATATGGCTTTGAAGGAGCTTTTTGAGTCACAATTGCAAAAGTATGTTTAATAATCTAGTATCCATTTTCCTCTTCTAATAAAAAAGTGGAACACATTTCATTAGCAAAAGCCCTTTGTTGGCACAAAATGAATTTGAAACTCACATTTTTTAATTTCCTTTTTTGTTCATAGGTTTTGGAGATTCTTTTCAGCTTTTCGTTGATTCTTCTCCAGTTTAAGGATCCATAGCCTACAAGTGAAAAAGGTAGTTATTTACAAATCAACATTATCATACGAATCAACCCAGTAATGAAAAACAGATAACTTTTTTGAGGTCTAAATACCATAAAACTTTTAAAAAGTTATTGACTCTCAGTTCGCATTTCAAAGTGCAATTCCCATCACCTGAACTTTTCCAAGTGCCTGTAGAATATGAATATTTTCCAGCATCTGTGAAGCAGATAAGTTTTCAGTCCCAGAGACTAAATCTATGATGTCATATCGTTTTAGTTGTAACATTACAAATAACTTGATAAATCAGCAGGTTTCTGCAATAACCTTTGATCATGCTAAATTAATCTTTAAACGAATAATGCTGGCTGCAAATCTTTCTATAACATTAGGCCAAGATAAAACTGAGGCCTGTGGATCTCCATGGATTTAATTGTCATACTTGGAGGCAGTGATCTTTATGATTTTAGCAAAATAAAAGGTATCTGATCAGCACTTTGTCTCTTTATGAATAGAATTATGGTATAATTTCTGTTGGACAAAAGCTATAGTTCCTTGTAAGGAATTTTCAATTAGCTAGGTCTGTTCTATAATTGGCTAGGCTTTGACTCCTGAAAAGGAAATCTGGTAGGAAACAATTCTGGCTCATAACAATGACGCCATAAAAGTTGTTCCTGTCTAAATCTGCAAAATGGCATATGATAACTATCCATTATTTAACAACGAAAAATCAATAACAAACATTTAATCTCAATGCACAAGACCTCTTGCCATTGCTACATGAACTAGGAAGTTAAATCCACGTTTGTGCATAAAGTTACCCTTGTTTGTGAGCTTGTCGAACTTTCCTTTATATCAAGCTTCAAAAGCAGGAAATTGAGAAAGGACCATATTACAGCATAAGATATGACAATATTAGACAGCAAAGCCTGAACCAGGGGGCTGTAAAGCTTCTTCCAAAAATTTCCAAACTATTTCATAGCTCCTTCATAACTGGTGCTAAATAAAAAAAGCAACTGAATCACGGCCCCTTCGTATGAATGAAGATTTATCAAAAATAAATAAAGATTTTTTCCTTAATAGAATCTTCATGAACAGAGAATCTCTAGTCTATTTAAAACTTGATATGGCAAGAAAACATATTTGAGTAAACCCACACTTCTTAAGATTCAGCTATAGAAAGTTTCATCTTTAGAGTGGCAGGAAAATGATCAGTTGACGAAGCCATTTTGCATGCGTAAGCAATTTGTACTTGTTGCTTGCCTCAATAGAGAACGAATTGTTTGTAAACATAAGAGTTTCCTCTGCAGTATTTGATTCTTTTCGTTGATAATAAATCATCTCCAAATTGTCAAGGCAGAAATTATTGGAGTTCTGCGTGGGAGGGTATGAAGCACCTCTCTTGCAAAAAACGTGTGTATCAACCAGAGCGATTGCATATTTCATCCACCATCAAACAATTTAAATTCGATTCTTGCTTTTCGCTTTGTAGTGAGCAAAAACATCGACGGAGCAAAAGTCAACATCTAATCGCCATACATTCAACTTTCTAAGAAGTCAGAACAAGCCTGAACAGGCCAAAAAATTAATTCTATTTAGAACCTCGTTTGCGCTAGAACTCGTATTGGTGAGCATTGATTACGCAATCCTTCTAGTTATGTAAAAAGTTTTGATCAATAAAGTTTTCGAAGATGTTTGAACGAGAATTTTTACATCAAAACAACATCTACTGGAACGATTCTCTTATACGCACCAGGTTGACTTGTCAGACAAAAAAGCTTTTAATAGTATACTGTGAAATGCTTGCTTTTTTCAAAGCCATTTTCAAGTTCTGCACCACAAAAAATTGTAAACGAATAGTAGTACTTCAAAACATTATAAAGTTTTTTCATGTTTTTAAAATCTATAATTATAGCATTTAGTATTTCTCGAGGTTCCCAATACTATGCTTCCATGGTGTTTGCAGTTAAACGACCAAAGATAACAAAAGTGTGAGTTGATACCTGGTCCATCTGCAGCAGATGCTATCAAAATGAAGGTTAGAAAAAGTACCAGCATCGCATAGTGCACCATCACTCTTACAGCTGAAAGCAAGAAACAAGAGATTCATTATTCGAAGGAAATTTCAGAAACTTTTGATGTAATTAGTAATACAATAATTGTACCTACAGCTTGATAGATTAGAATTTATGCAAATATTCTCAAATCAAAAAGCTATTTCATCAAAGCTGGTAGTGATGTAGAGGTAATATAAAAATATTATTTCACAAATTTTGCTGATTTTTTTGCTGTGTGTAAGGCTTCAAGAGTAACAATTTGGAACACACAACGTTTTACACAGAATTCTTGATAAGTGCTTCTGGCAAGAGAAAAAGACAAGATTTTGCATTAAAAGAAGGAAAAATTGCTCAATAAACAGGAATGAAGAAATTCTTTCTGCTTTCTTAAGATTTTATTTGAAGAAAGATTTTATTAAAAGATGTCTGGATCCACTCACTTTCAAAAAAAACATTGGGCATTTTAAAAGTGGAGGTAGGGGCACATGTAGGCAAAAGGAGCACCTTCGTGTGCTGCAAATTGGAACTTAATCCTATTTGTGAAAAATGGGGGCACTTGAAAAGTTCCTACATCTGTGTCTGTTGACGTTCTATGATTGAACACTTCCGTACAATTGTTACAAAGTACCGTAGGCTCGTTTGAAAACGGCTCGTGTAAACGGGCCTTATAATAGCCATTTCTATTCTGTGGCCTTAAGAAGATTATCTTAGAAATTGGATAATCCTATCAGGAACCTAATAAAAAAAGCCCCAGGCCAAACAACGCATATCCTCGCATATATCTGCAGAAAATTGAACTTACATGCAGCATTTTACCACCAAAAAGGTCCAAACCATCGCAAAATCTAGTGCCAAACAACATAACTCTCCACAACCGACTAGTTAAATTTCCTACATCTTCAAGTGCTCTCGTACTAAATGACTTTTCAACGATGGCAATGGTATAAAAACAATGTGTAGAGCACTGTTGAACAAAAGTGAGGTTCTCATGTTATCTCATAATAAAAGAGAAATTCATTCTGGTAATTTGGGCAGATGTATTGGTCCAGGCACAGGTGTCTGAACAAAGGAGCAAGGGTATTCAGAGCAGGGTGTCAATTATAACTAAAGGATTGATTTAAAGAGATCTTTGTTTTAGGGTTAATTAGCCGAGGAGTTTGCAAATAAGCCATTCAAAGGATTTATAGATAAAAACAACCCACTGTGAACCCTTTTTATAATCTTGTATAAAGATCATTCTCGAATTGATCACTTATGGCTTTGTGGTCATTCCACTTGTTCGAAATGAGCAAATTCTACTATTCTTTGCAGGAAAAGGAAAGTAGCCATTGAATTTTGGCGCCAGAAGGAAGTCAAAGGAGTAAAAGTAGACGACACGAGCAGTAAACATTCAGTGACAAGAGCCCTACTTGTGTAAAGAATGGACGTTAAAAGGGCAGGTGTTAACTTAAACTATATTTATTCAGTAGCAAAATAGCTTGATGAAAATTGAAGAATGATCTTCTTCTGAGTACAGCTGCTTTCAACTCCGCTGTATTTTTCGCACGATAATGAAAAAGGAACATGGAAGTTTTTCCCAAAATTTAAGATTGGCTATGCTTTGTCTTTATCGCAAACACTGAGGAAATATTCGACCAAGAATATATGATTATGTTATTGGACAAAAAATGTTTACAGAAAAACGAAAAAGATAACAATATTTTGGTAGAAGATCTAGCCCTATTTAATCATGAATATTTTTTCAAATCATCCACGATGTTTCCTTAAACTTGAAGAGTTCCTTTGTTGGACCTTTTAGTTCAAAATCATCAAAAAGACATTATATGCGAAAGTATGAGCGTAGTGCATTTACTGAAATCTGATTGGCTAAAAATAATTTTTCATCAAGAGGAAACAAGTCACTGCTTCAAAGATAATTTAAGCAACTGCGCATGCGAATCTAAAAAGCTTTCATGCTTTTTCCTCTTAAGTGCGAATTGCTTACAGAGCTGCTATCCCTTCTCTGGCAACGAAAATGATACCTTACTAGGCACTATTTGAATTGTGATCAAAGTGATTTTTGCAGGGCTGACCAGTGTTAACCAAATCATGCTCGTAAGTCGTAAATATTTGAATCTGGGACGAATGAGGGAGAATCTGTATCAACCGAACAGTTACGGTAGATTGCGACCTGTCGTGTGAGTATTTTGGTATAAATCCCATTAAAGAAACTAAGTTCGAGTTGTTGGGGGTGATTTGACATTAGGACGGCAACCTAAGATTAAAATTAGGAACAAAATATTTCTTTTATCGATTGAAATCCTGTTTTTAACGTCAGGCTGTCGAATGTTTGAGGAATAATGCAAAGGTTTCAGTGACGTATTTTGCCATTGAAACTCATAAAAGATGATATGAATGGATATTTACCCATTTACACAGCCACCATGTATTTCAATTAGCACCTTCCACGGATGAATACAAGTTCAAATTCTGACACAAGGCAGCAAATTGAAAGGAATCAGAAATCCAATTGCATGTTATTGTATTCTTCACGTGTAATCAATACGAACATCTACTGCTCTTTACTTTCCGTTTGTCTAGGAAAAATGAGAATAGGGATACTCACTCAGTAATTATAACATGACTAAAATTTCATGCATTATTGCTGATGATACATTTGTGCCTTAAGGCAACCCAAAGTTGTAATAATTCATTTGTTTATCAAAGAATCTCGCTGCCTTGCCTATACAGAAACAGATACAGAAAGAATGCCGGCTAGATACAGATACAGAATTAGAAAGCTAAATATTGCCTAAGGGTCTTATTGCCTTAAAATCATTAAATATAGCAAAAAGGAAAATATGTTGTCAGCTACTTGACCAAAAAGGCCTTGGCAGAAGATACTTGTAAAGTATGTGTATTTGCAGGTTATCTTTTACCGTTATTATTTTTATAAGAATAATTTTAATAAAAATTTTTAAGCCTATGGATCATTCCATTTTTAAGAATATCATAAGAACTGCATTGGATTAAAATGCAAACCAGAAGCTAGACTTGATAAAAATTGGAGTTAGTTGCTGGAATTGTCTTTCCCTGAGTATAGATGTTATAGACATAGACGCAAAAGCCTGGAGAACAAGGGGCACGTCCTGGTAACGTTTCAGAAACAGGTAAAGTGTCTTTTTGCAGCTCACGGAGATGCCATTTTTGCTTTCATATAGCCCCCCCCCCACTTTCAAATTGCTTTCTCCGTCTACCGTTATATTTACGTTTTCCGTCAAATGAACGTAACGTTAATAAGGCTTTGATTGTGTATAAAGATTTGAAGCATTTTCATCCATAAAAAATGCATCAAATGTGTTTAAAAGGTCGTTCAGAACGCCATAGCCAGCCAATATATAAAAATTGTTTTACACTTATCATTTGGAGTAACACTCCAAGAAAATATTCTTTCTCTGTATTTTTTGGTATAATTACATTTAACACAAGAGGCTCGTGGTGATGTAATAAAGGCTGCTAAAGTATTAAGAATCTCATAAACACTTAAAAAAGGATTAAAAAATTTTGATAATCTACAATTAACCCATTTGAATAAAAGATAATTATTTTTGGCATTTTTAAAGAAATATAGAGCACTCATTACTCAATATATGTTGAAATATAACAAATTGTGAAATTAAAATAGTGTTTAATGTAAATTTAGAAAAATATTTGCGCACTACGGTTGGTCGCAATTTCAACTTGGCTGTCTTCTTTTAAATTTCACACGTGTTAATGGAAGCATGTGAAACAGTGTTCCTCCTAAATTTGTAAGCCATGCAACATGTCATGCACAGATCTCCTGGAAATGGGATTTTTATTAATAAACGCCGAATTATTTACCAGAAATCACTGATCCTATATAGGTGCACAGCTCAGTTATTTGTTGATCTTCACTTGAAATGTTTTTCCAACAGATGTTCATGAATTCTTAAAATAAATCCACCACATCTCATTGTAAACTTAATTGCTTGCTGACTTAACGGTGATGGTGCTTTAAACGCAGCTTACCGCAAATTTTCTTGAAACTGATCTTGAACCAATTAAAGAGAACCGTTCACATGTTTGTTCTCCTCGGTCTAACGAAGCTACACTAACGAAAACATCAGACACAAGACATCATAACGATGAATGATGAATTTGAAGATGATTCAAATTTTAATGACAAAGGTTTGACAGAAATTTCACTGATAACTTGGAGTTTCTATTGCCAAAAACTCTCGACAGGAACTGCACCTTTAATAAATAATACCTCAATGCCCCTCAGCTCTAAGGCAAGTTTGAAAGTGGGGCACTCCTACCAATTACATAATTGTAAATGATTTTGCCAGGCATTCCGGAGCCAGGGGGGCTCGGGGATGTAGTCCTCCAACACTTTCTTTGCTAAAGCATAATATCAAGATTATGGCATCAAATAAAATGGTGACAAACGACTTAATGGTTTGCCAATTGGTTTAGAAACCCCCAAATCAAAAATGTGCTCCCTGTTTGTAAATTACTTTTGCAAGACCATTGCCTCTCTGTTCTCTCTTGGCAGAGGGTCTGATAAACATAAAATTCAAACGATATGTTTATAGGACAAATAAATAAGCCTAAATAAGATATTTTTCTCTAAATTAAATTAGTAAAAGTTATCTGTTGCTTGGCAATAAAATGAGTACTTAATTTCATAAAGGTAGCGACTGGGAGCAAGCCTTGTTTGTGCCTTTTGCAACTTAACTCTAGCTGGTAGCATATAATCAATAAAAAATTATCTAATGAGTAGAAGCTTTTTTACTCTTTGAAACATTGGACTAAGGCCGATTAAAAGTAAACATTTGAAAATAAAGTTTTGAAACCATTCGTGTAACCTTATTTTTAGAATAATCATTTCGGTGTATTCTGAGAATTTACGACATGAAGTCAAAAAAAATACTCGGTGAAGCATCAACTGCTCTGAAGGTGTGCTCCCAAAAAATGCAATGAATCGAGTAGTAAGGTGATATGTTCATGTTAAGGTGGAAAGGAGGGCAAACATTCGTTATTGATCTTTGTATTGGAAAAATATTATCGAGGTGACAAAGTGGCGTTTATCAACACTCTGATGAACAATATAGCACCGGTCACTGTAACGCTTAGTTCTGGGAAAGTTAAAAAAAAGTCAATAAAAAGAACATTCAAATGACAATTGCGGCGATAATAACACATTTACGGCCTAGATTAATTGTTAGTGCAGACTTCAGATCAACAAGTGTCAAGAGC